AATACTATGCCAATACAAGCTTTTGAGGCAGGAGAAGGCCCCTTGTATAAGTGGTATATATCCTTCATACCTCATGCCCTTAGGGACTTTTCGCGCATGCAGAAGGACTCCGCTTGCTTGTGGCTGGGATCCTTTTCGAATTGGTTCCACATTCGAAGCTGGGAGGATGAACACGTCGCTTTTTGATTGGCAAATGGCCTTTTCAAGTTTTGGGCTTGGACGCTTTGGTACCCTTTGGTAGACTGGCCTGAATGTTGACTGCTGACTCATGAATCAGGGGATCTACTGAAAACAGCACCAAACACCCCCCCCCCCCCAGAGTAGGGAGCATTGATCAAGGGTCAACATAAAAAGGGATGTCGAGGTAATAAAGCAAGAAGAGCTTCAGCGTTGTTTTTGGATTAGAACCAAGCGGCAGCAGGTCGTGGATTTTGGGCTGGACTTTGTTGTGATCTTTGAGGGACTCCCCAAAAGTTGTTTCCGTCCTCCCATCACTTAACATGGAACCTCACAGGCACCCGGTCCCTTTAAAAAGGAACATAAAGGAACATGGTGCTGTGAATTGGTGGGAGGGTACCTCCTGTTATTTCGGGACACCCAAAACCAAATGGGTACCATCCCTGGGGGTTCCTCATTTTGAGAGAATAACCAACGGACGCATTTGGGATTGGACCCGGAAAGCTTCAATCAAATGGATGGAAGTGAAGCAAGTGGTCATGTTCTGCATCTGGCAATGCAGCTGTTGCAACAGTTGCTAGTTGGGTCCTGAAAAGCAGCTCAAATTGGGTTCACAATTCTCAATCCTCATGCCATATGGTAGTGGCTTTCCTAGTTGCCACTAATGAAAAGGGTAAGATGCAGTTGCGCCAGGCAAAAACCATCAACACAGAAAACAACACGGAATCCTTCAAGTCGGAGAAACCAAACAAGAAGACAGCGTGATGGCTAGACTTTTCCTTTGAATGGACATTCCTGGGATGGATAAAAACGCTATGAATAATTGGACAAACCACCAATCACCTGCAGGGTTTCGTCCATCAATCAGCCGCTTTGTGCATTGCCTGACGCCGCGCACTTTCCCCGAGCCTGGTGTCGAGTTTACATCCCAGGAAGGTTTTGGAGGGTCTTTGCCAGGCGCGTCAATCAAAGAGGACCTCTACGCTCAGTTCTTCATGCAAAGTAGAAAGTTCACCGAGAGGCAGCGAGCCGCGCTCAAGGAGCTCAAGCCGAAATTGGGCGGGGGGAATGGCTCAGGTGGAGTGAGGGAGGCGTCAGTTCGGTTTTTTGTTTCTTGGAGATGTCGCTTCGGACGAAACTCGCCCTTCTACCGAGTGAAGCGAAGAGAACTTGGAACGTGATGGCAACACCCATCCGTGTTTTTTTCTTGTCAAGCTGACACCAGTGATCAGGTAGCCCTTAGTTGGTGGTTTGGATTGGTGTTTTGGGATTAGAAGCCTGCTTCTCGTAGAGGGTAGATGGGATTTCACCACCAAACCGCCGATTCGGCCAAAAAGCTTTGCACCCTTGAATGGGAACCCAGCCTGCCACCAAACAGCCGATTCGGCTCACCCCCGATTTGGGGGGATGCTGAGAGGATGCATATTTGTGGCTGGACTGGTTCAGCATCCCGCAGCTGGAAAGCTATCCCAGCGATCCGAGCCCGAGCTCCAGCCTGAGCTTTGCCAGTCAGGACTGCCTTGTCGCACGTCTCGCATGGCGCGTGTTGCTTTTGAGAGAGCGTTATACAAAGGGGGCTGGTCCAAGGAGAGCCACATGGATAACGTGCATCTTGGGGATGCCACGCGCGCCCCCCACATCTGTGCCAGGCGCTAGTAGAGGCGATTTTGCATGAACTCTAAACAGATATCCCCTAAAGCCAGGTGGTTGCCAAAAAAAAAGTCGACCCCACGTGTTTCGGACAAGTCCACACCCAACGGAAGAAGCCAAGCCGCCCTTCAAAATTTTTGCTCAGCCCGAGCCTCCGACCTCGGGGCCAAAAGGGTGCAGCCCCACTTCAGCCAACCTGGCCGCCCGTTGGAACAGGATCTTCTTCTTCTTCTTCTTTGTTGCGTTTTTCTTCTTCTTCTTTTTTTTTCCTTTACGTTTCTCTTTTGTTAGGTTTTCTTTTTGGTTCCGTGCTTTTCTTTTTGGTTCTCTTCTGGTCTTCTTTTCTTCTTGGTTCTGCTGCTTGGTTCTTCTTTGTCGCCGCTTTCCTTTCTTCGTTTTTTGGTTCTCTTCACGTTCGTTGCTCGAGCACCTCCGTTTCGCGGACCCGGAGAGCGCGCGAGCTGCGAGCCGGGCCGCCGAAGGGGGTACCATCCTTGGACTGGCCGTCCCTTGCGGGTGAAATATTCGCGGACCTCCACTTTTTTGTGTGTGTAAAAGGCCCGGGGAAACCGGGGTGACGTGACCCCGACCACCAGTTGGGATTTTCAATTTGCCACAAAGGTCTGCTAAAAGATGTGATTGCTAGTGACTGGCGTGACCCACCGAGCTTAAAAACAGGCCCCATGCGGCCCCTTTTTTCTGTTTTTTTTGTAGCACAAACTGAAATGGGTCTGGGGTCCTTTGCTCGTTATCGGCAGTGAATCCATCTAGATGCGGGATTCTTGGAAAAACGGACGAGTGATCACTGCAACCTGGATAAGGGCTAGTAAAGGGCAGTCCCAACCATTGGTGCGGCAAGCTCTGAGGATTCTTCTCTCGGTATTGCAGAGACTCCTGAATGATTATGACTCAGGTCACCCTCGCATGAGCCATAGAAGGAGAAGTTCCGACTCCCCGTTATGGCTCTCAAAAAGGGGGGGTGTTTGTCTTAGCCCCCCCGAAAGAATAACGAACGAACAATGGCATCGGTTTTCCTTATGGTTCTCCACCCTTAAAATATGACACACCCAGACTCGTGAAGTTCGGCATACATTGCCTTGCATCAAAAGTCGGACTACCGAGCACACTGCATATGAAACATCATGGACATAAAAGTGCAACCAAGGGCTTCATCCAAAAGACACATCCCAACATCACACCTGATTCAGCAGGGATCCTCCAATCAGCTGGTAAATGCCATTTTCAATGTGACCAACTATGTATATTTTGAGCGTGGATCTTCCAAATCAGCTTGTAACTATGATTGGCTGCAACATGGCCTCGACTTCTATGTATTTGTTATTTGCAAGCTACCCTTAGTTCTGTGTCCAGGAGGACTTCATCCAAATGATCCCCGACTTTATCTCCATGTCGGACATGTTTGTGGTGCTCACTCCCCGATGTCGGCATGCGGTCACCGGCACCTTCTGCGGATTCGGAACGTGGACGGAGAGGGGGTGGTGCCGGCTGGAGCTTTGGTGCAAGATGCTGTCCGCAGCTCGGCTGAAGACCCAACGCAGGGGTCTCCTCCAAACATATCCTATATCCCAGAATGTGTTTTTTTGGTGTGCGCTGGACTTCAGTTAGTCGGTTTTGTGGTATGCTTATCCCTCGGAGTAAGTAGGTTGAAACCATGGTGATAAGTCAACAAATGCTTAGTCGACCCACTTGTAACCATAGTCACAGCCCACTTTTACGGAGAAGACGCAACGCCAGGAGAAAAGTTGTACCTTTGGCTGTTGGGCGCAGCCCTTTTTCCTCCAAATCTCCAGGGGTTGAGTGACAACTGATACGCCGCTCCTTGATCACATTGTTTTGCGTCATCATAATTATAGCGGAACACGATCCGAAGTTCGATCCACCGCGCAGGCCAAGCACGATGGCTCTTGTACATTGGTCCGCCATGTCCAAAGCTATCACCCGAATATATTTATCAGGCAAAAGCACTCCCTTTCTTTCTACCGCAAAATAGGGAGCCATTGTGACAGCATTGAGGCCGTTGGGAGATTTGAGGCCCTAGCTTCTTCGCCCAAATGGGTTCGCCCCAAAAGCTTGGGCCCAAGGGCCTATTTGATTGAAGATTTGGGACATTTTTGTTTTCCAAAATCGACAAATGGGTCCATTTTTCTCGTTTTGCTTTGGTGTTGTTCTTGTTTGGGGGGTTCTCAAAGTAGACCCCTGAGCATTGTCCCTGTCGTTAGGTAGGTACCAGAAACCAACCATGCTTCAGGGAAAAGCAACGGATTTAAGCGAGAGCCATGCTTTCAAGGTGAAAAACGAGACTGCGCCATGGCTAGGGACCTGCGCCATGTTCTTAGCCCGATGTTCTTGGAGTGTCTTAAAACAGGCCGGCCCCCCTGTTTGGTCTTAGGAAACCCCAAGAACCACGCGGCAAAATTGGCACGCCATGGTTTTTGGATTTTGGAACAACCAGCAACTGCGTTCGGTCATTTTCTTGTGCACCAAAGGTACTTGTCCTTTTATTGATGATAAATTTGACCTGAAAAATAGGCACCGCCGTTCATGAATCAGCAGCTTCGTCGCCCCCGGAAGAAAGGAATCCCCACTAAAACAGCACCCCCCCAATGTTGTGCTAAAATACTACTGCAACTGTGTTGTTACCATATGCCCGTTGTCTCGGAGCGGGGGAATCTCTGATTGAATTACGTGTTAAAGCTATGGCAGCGTGGACGGCTTAAAATCCTGGCACAAACAACGCTGTTTTCGCCTAGGCCAAATGCACTGTTACGTGGAACACATGCAAACCGTCCCGGCAAAAGATGTTGCTGTTGGGGAAGGGGGTGCAAATGTGTGCGTGTGTGTGTGTGACTTCCAGCTTATTATCTTTCATTGGTGGTTTGGTTTGGTGGTTTGGAGGGAGTGGATCCAGCTGACTCTAGTTTGAATGTAGGAGATAAAGCAAGCTCACGCAGGTCCTTTTGGTTTGCCCACGTTTTGTAACCAATCCAGACCACTCTTCAGCGGGAAGCTGAAGATTTTGGTTTGCCCAGGCCCAGATTTTCTTGTCTCGCTCTCTCTATATATACATATGCATATGGTCACCCCCCCCCCAGGGACTACCTTCCTCTACAGGTATATACAAATATGTATATGTATATATGTATATATTTCAGGAGAACACCAACTTCCCCGTGATCTGCGTATCGGGTCCGGGGGAGATCGAGTATGCCACCCAGTTCTTTTGGATGGATCGCCCGCCGTACGAGGGGCAGTTCACTTACAACTCGGACCGGGACATGGTCCTCAACGTGATTCGAAAAGCGCCTCGTTTGGAGGAAAAAAGCAAAAACCATGGCAACAGGAGGTAAGCCTGAAAAAGGCGGCTTGGATTGGTGGTTTGGATTTGGATTTGAACCCCTGGTGCTTGTGGATGGTGCATGGGAAACCCCTCCTTAGCCACCAAGCCACCAATCCAAACCACCAAAAAGAGGGAAGCTGAGGATGGTCACTTCCTTCTGCCTAGGTCGTTTTTGATAGTGGACAGTTTTACGACTCGTGGTCATCAACGACTGCGTCACTTCCATTTCCCAAGGACTTGCTAGACGTAAATGACACATTTTTCTGGTTTCAGGAAGGACCGGCAAATGTGGTAGGTTTGGGTGCGCGGTGGGGGGGAACTAACAAGACATAGATCGAAGTGGCCTGCCGTCGTTGTTTGGTTAGACTCCTTAGTGCACACAAACACACACACACTCTCTCAAGAAGTGCGACTCCTTTGCGAGACATGATGCCTTGCAAGCGGTGGACCCAACATCCTTCTAGCAGGACTGCTTGGAAACCCTGGGCAAGAACAAAACCTAAGGTTTGACCGGAAAACACAGAAAGCAGCAGTGATACTGTGGATGGACAAAATTCTGCACCACCTAAGATTCCCTGGAATGATGATTTCCCTATAAATAGCAGCAACCAATCGTTTCCCATGGTTTCAAATTGGTGCAGGTTTCTTTCCGTCCACAGTACCACAGTACATAATTCACGCTGCACAAGGAGGTTGGTGTTTCTCAACATAGGATTTGCTTTTTTGCATGACACCAGAAGGACACGCACCGCCTGAAGGAAAAGTTGTTCCAAATGTTGAGAGACGCCCAAGTGAGCGCCCAAAACCGATTCCTGCTGGCGTGGCCATGGAAGATGGTCAATCTGGTTTCGGAAAGAGTCTTGTAAGGCGTATTCTTTTTTCTTTACCCCAACATGTTTTATTTTCCTCTTGGTTTTCCTTTACAGCCACCAACAACAGCTGGGTACCAACTCCAAAAAGAACAAATCGAGCTACCCGTACTTGCATACGAGTTTTGCCGATGGGTCCGTGAATTCCGGAAATGAACCTGATTCGAGCTGTGGTTTTCTTGCTGCGATAGGAAGGGAATGAGAAATGGAACGACTCAGAGAGAAACCATCCCCAACTTGGTTTCCTTTAAGGGAATCCCCAGAAACGGTTCATTCCCAGCACCCAGAAGGTTATTCCCAACTGAGCACCAGCAAGTTTTTCTTTTGGCTTCTGCCCTGATAGGAGCTACTGTGGATGGTTGCGAAATCCGTTGGCACGAAATGAAACCATGGTGGAAACCAGAACGCTCGTTTGTTACGACAGTCGCCATCTTGACCTCCAAAAAGAGATTCGCATCAACCCGCAGTGGGTTGTCGAACAGATTACCCCCAAACCCCCCCTCCTCCCAACGCAAACTTCGAGCAACACCCATTTGGCTGTGGGTCAAAACCAATGCTACCATTTTGGGTAGGCGCACCACCCATGTCAGAACCTATTTTATTGGTTGGATTGGGATGTTCACTGTGGGATAACCGGGCTTTTGACCCGTGGCCATTTGTCATTTTTGCTCGAGGGACGTATATAAGGGTAGCCTCAAGCGGCGCCCAACGCTGATTCCCATTAGCCCCTGTACTAGGCTCTACCTGGAAAAAAACAACAAGGGGAGTAGAGTAAACTCCATATGGGTATGGGTCAGAATTAAAGCACCAGGAAACCGCAGGTTGTAGTCCTTGGTTCCATTTACTGGGGTTCCAAAACGGGTACCCAATTTTTGACCCACAGCCATATTTGCCATAGCCGCCGTCTTGGTACCACACATCTCGGGTGAAGCGCGATCGCTCAATTGGTTTTCGTTGGTTTGAACATCTTGAACGGCTCTTGGACTTGCTCTTAGCATCATGGTACGCCATAGCATTTCATGGCAGGTAACTTGTGCACTCGTGGAAGGGCCGGGGAATTCCTGGTAACTTGTGCACTTGGCCCGGGTGAATTCCTGGATTTCTGAGGCCGCAAGGCTGGCTTTAAACGGAAACCAGAAAGGAAGGCAATGCCGGAGAGCCCGACCAACCAAAAACCATCTCGGTCGAACGTCGTTCGTTGTTTCGAGGCGCCCTCGGGTCGCCAGGCGTTGACGGCGAAGCTCCGTGTGTTGAAGGCCCGGGGCAAGTGGGACGCCTACCGCTTCTACGTGGCGCGCTACGACACGATGCTGGGCCAGCCATGTCGTCAGCGGAGCCCGGAAGAGTTTCTGAAGGCGAGGAAAACATCAGTGGGGTGCGGGCGTGGCGTTTTGTGTGAGGCTCGGAACAAATGAAGCGGAGTTTTGAAAGTGGACCAAAAGCAAAGCCACCCATTTTGGACGTTTGGATTCTCATGTTGAGAAAACTGGGTCCTGTACAGTGGTTGGACATTTTGAGAGGTTCTCGGAATGATTTTGGGTGTGGTTCTCTTTCAGCCACCGGTTCGAGGGCAAAACAATGAGGATGTCACTTTGCTGGACCCAGCAAAAGCGCCGCCTGGGCTACTTCCACCTGCCTGTGGTCGCCGGAGTTCTAATGTTGTGAAATGAGGCGTCGCTTTTTGAGATTTTATGCCACCCGTTTCGGTCGCCAAAGGCAAAACTCTTTGAAGCTTTGACAAGACAACCAAATAGACACCCCGGAATCTTCCGCATTTGAGGTGGGGCATGACAGAAACAAGAGGTAGATCTGAAAGGGCAAGTGCGGTGCAGGCGATGTTAGCGATGAATGAGCGCCGAGGATGCTAGCTTTCTTGCGACAATCCTGTTCCTTGTTGACGATGTTCCAAGGCAAAATGTTTGGAAGGCAGATTTACAGCATAAGGGCCTTGTGCTGTTTCATTCTACACCATGATTAAAACCCCGAAGAACAGGGCTTCCGGCTTCCAGGTTTCACGCCGCGCATGTTTTTTCTCCTCTTTTTTTTTTTTCTCGGCGAGCTTTCCTGGTTGAACCGGTTTCTAGTTGATGGGTTTCCGATTCGGATATCGCCAAAGTTGGACCAAGAGCCGGGAGGTGGCCCTTGAGCCCTTGGCGAGTCCACCGCTAGGTGCTCATGGGCAAAATCCCGTTTCGCGAGCCACTTTAGAACCATGGTTGAAACCAGAACGCTTGTTGGGAAAGTGCAAGGGAAAATCATCAGAAACCAGGGGTTCTGAACGGTGGCGCGTTTAGCGGATTTCGCAACCATCCACAGTACGGTCCAAAGTAGTGGTTTTTGCTCTTGGCTTCCCTTTAAACCACAACAAAAAAAAAGCCAACCAACGCCCATATGAAAAACCGTAAGGATGGCAGGGCGCATTGCCGGTGTTCGGTGTGAAAGTGGGTTGCCAAGAGGAGTTCCCCTAGGCGCTCCCTGAAGGAACCCTAAGAAGTTTTAGGATTCCAACCAGACCTCCCGTTTGCCCCACCCCCGGGTTCCCATTACTCGTTTTTGTGTCGGTTTTTGCGAGGATGCTCTTTTCAGGTTGGTTTTTGCAAAGGGGTCAGTACCGCCATTTCCCCCAGACCTAGCCCGCCAGGACTTCCGCCTCCCAGGCTTGAACTTCCAGGGGAAGTCTCGGAACCTGACGCCGGTGGCCTGTGCCGCGCTCTCGGGGGATGCCAAGATGATCGCGAAGCTCGCTGACATGGGCCACGATGTGAACAGGCGCGGGTGTTTGGACAACTTGCGATGGGGCCCTGGCCGCGGCTTTCTTTTTTTGGCGGTTTGGGGCAGGCGGTTTGCTTGGGGGATGTTGAGGAGGATGGGGGGGGGGGAGGCGCAGTTGGTGTTGTTGTTTGGGGAGAAGGCAGGGACTGATGATTTAAATTTGGGGAGAGATAGGGCCTACAGAAAAAGCCGGGAGGTGGGCTCTTGGGACCGGTTGCCGGCGCGCCAGTTTCAAGGAGAGCTGAGTCATTTGGCCATGGGTCAAAAGCAAAAGCCAAATCGTACCCCCAGTGAACATCCGATTCAATCCAACCACTCAAATAGGTTTGCACCGCAAACCCCAAAATGGGATCCCAAAACGGTTTTGACCACCACAGCCATTTCATCCTCACCATAGTGGGGAGGGGTGGGTCCCCTATGTATTTGTGCTAGCCATCAAGGGGAAATGGGTTAGAAATGGGAAACGATCTCCAGTCGAAAAGCCCCTCCAATTCCATATGTAAGGTACCTTGCCCCGCAACCATGTCAACAACACAAAGAACCAGGTCAGTATGTCTTTTCCCCATCTGATACATCGAACATAAGATGCTCAGATTCTGCTTCAGATTTAGCTACCCAACACAAAGTAAGTGTGGAGCAGAACCCAAATACGTCGCCCTGCATCTCGAGGAAACTCTGTTCAACATCACTCAAAAAGTGATGTTCCAAAACAACAATCCACACCTCATATATTGTCTCAAAAAAGCGGTGCTCAAAGCAACCAAAAGGGAGTATGAGAACCCTGATTGCCATGGCTTTCAAATTCCACAAACAAGTCCAATTCCCTCCCGTTTGCACTGACCTAGTTGGAGACATCCCCACTGGCTGCTAGTCGAACCCTTCCTCCCACAGACATGGCAGACAGGGGGCTTGAAGAGGAAATCGGTCTGCCTTGTTGAGAAAAAACATGTCTTGGGGTTTGAAGAGGAAACCGGTCTTCCAGGTACCCTCCCACCATGTTAGTTTCCAGGTACCCTCTCTTCCACGCACCTCCCAGCCCTTTGCGGGGGGGTTTGAAGAGGAAACCGGTCTTCCAGGTACCCTCCCACCATGTTAGTTTCCAGGTACCCTCTCTTCCACGCACCTCCCAGCCCTTTGCGGGGGGGCTTGAAGAAGAAATTGGTCTTCCAGGTACCCTCCCACTATGTTAGTTTCCAGGTACCCTCTCTTCCAGGTACCCTCTTTCCCCTCCAGGTACCCTCCCAGCCCTTTGCGGGGGGGGCTTGAAGAAGAAATTGGTCTTCCAGGTACCCTCCCACCATGTTAGTTTCCAGGTACCTCTCTTCCAGGTACCCTCTTTCCCCTCCAGGTACCCTCCCAGCCCTTTGCGGGGCTTAAAAAAGAAATCGGTCTTTCAGGTACCCTCCCACTATGTTAGTTTCCAGGTACCCTCTCTTCCAGGTACCCTCTTTCCCTTCCAGGTCTTGGCAACCTCTTACTATGTTAGAAGGAAGGGTTCCCCTTTGGTCCAGCTTTTGTCAGCCTCCGGCTCGAGGTCCGTTGGGCCCCTGCCGGAACTCTACATCTTCGAGGCCTGAGGAAGGGCACGGCAGGTCTTCTGCTGGTTGGTGTGGTCAGTGGCTTGGAGTGGTGGGTTGAAAATCCTTCGTGGTTGTCTTGGGTGGTGCGAGCACCATGTTTTTTGGTTTTGGGGTACGAGCCATCACCATTTGGTTGCCAATTGAAGGTGAGCTTCCTTGTGCAGGGGTGATGTTGGAAGGGGAGATAGGGAGCCCCGTGGGATCTGGTTGTGGGTCAAAACATGTACTAAAATGGCACCTTAGTAAATGAAACCAAAGACTAAAACCTGCGTAACCCTAGCTCTTCAATTTTGAGGAACACCCATCTCCCTCCCTGAGTCACTTCCCGGTTCACAGACACTTTGGCGACTGTTTTTGGGCCGATGCAAAGGCTGAGGTCAGCATGGGTGTCTCTTGGCTTCAACTTGGGGATTCCGTGAATTTCCAGTTGGGGTTGTCCTAATTTGCAGGGAAGAAATGGGGAAACCTATGGCGTTAAGGGAAACCAGGGAAGCAACCAAGGGATTTATCCATTCTTTAGGGAAACCAGGTTTTCAGTCATGCCTTGAACCATCATGTCTTGACAGGGTTCCTGAAAGGATACATCTCAAAACCACCCTGCCTCACAATCAGCTGGTATTTGGCATTGGGGATTCAACCCTCGCCTAAACCATGGTTGCCCATGCTAGGATAACTAGGTTATACCCATGGAAAGTGCAGCAGAAACTAGTCCCCTTACCATTGTTTAAACCCAAGTCGCTTGAACGGATGCTTGAGTAGGGTTGCTTGGTCTCCCTTGCTACCGTGGATGGACAACATCCACTTCGCACCTAAGAAACCCTAGAATGATCACTCCAACAATGATGGCGCGAACGGATCTGGATGGACAAAATCCACTTCGCAGCAAGTTGAATCCATGGGAAACCATACCGCTTGTTGGTTTTTTTCAAGGGAATCATCATCCCCCGGTTTCTGAACGGTGGTGCGTTTAGTGGATTTCGGAACCATCCACAGTATGGTCCAAAATAGTGGGTTTCCCTCTTGGCTTCCCCTTAAACCACACAAAAAGAAACCAACCAACGCCTTTCATGAAAAACCGTAAGGATGGCAGGGCGCCTTGCCGGTGTTCGGTGTGAAAGTGGGTTGCCAAGAGGAGTTCCCCTAGGCACTCCCTGAAGGAACCCTAAGAAGTTTTAGGATTCCAACCAGACCTCCCGTTTGCCCTGTGTCGGTTTTTGTGAGGATGCTCTTTTTGTGAGGACCCCTAAGAAGGCGCTCGGATGGCCAAAGAGCCGTTTTTTTTTTTCTTCTTTTTTTGGTTCTTTTTTCGGAAGGCGAAGACGCCGCTGATGCTGGCCGTTTGGCTGGGCTACCGGAACCTCGCCCCCGTCCGAGCGCTGATCAAGTGCAGGGCCGACGTGAACGCCGTGACTGGCTTCGGCGGCCGGACGAGAAATACTGTGGATGGTTGCGAAATCCATTTCGCATTGCTTGTTGGTATTTACTGGCGAATCATGATTCCAGGGATTCTTGGGTGGTGCGAAATGGATTGCGTCCATCGACAGTGGGACTCGGGGGGGTCAAGTTTTTTGGGGATCAGACAACGGACAGCAGGTATGTGGCCTTACTGGTTTCAGTTTGTTTGATAGGCTTCCAGCACTCCAGCTGATATTTGGAAACGGATCTTTGGACTTCAACTGTGTTTGTTGACATTTTTTTTTTTATTTTTTTTTTTTTATAATTGGACCTACTTGCAGAGGGTTCAAAGCCAACCAAGAACAGGATTCCTAGATTTATCTTCCATTTGCTGAAATGAGTATTCTTATATTCTCCCTTGTTGACCTTGAAGGGAGTCTATCACTACTGGACACATTTTCGGAAGGTTTTGTTGGGTACCAAAAGGCAATCCAAAGGGGGGATCATATTTTATGTTCATTGACATGCCTTTGGTGGGGATACCCTTTCTGAATGGTTTTAAAGGGACTCTAAACGAATCCACACATTTTAGCGGTTCCCTTATTGGGTTGATGAGTGCAAGATTTCGGTACATGGTGACCAGCGTGACCGGATGGCCCCGTTTGGGACCTTTGGGGTGAACCAACGGCTTTTCCGAACAAAACACTTCAAGAGGTCTAATGACCTTTTGCTTCTTCCAGTTCATTTCAAGAACAGCCCAGGTAGATGGGGAGTTTATCGGTGAGTCTTGTCGACCAGGCGCCACAGCATTTTCCAGCAGCGTTTTCCGCATCAAGTGAACAACGAACGAGCTTGCCATGAATTGGATGGGGTTAAAATAGTAGGGCGCGCCTGTTGCAGATGATGCAGGGGAAGCTGGAGATGCTGGCTGGGGATGCTGGAGATGTTGGTCGGGCATGCGAAAGATGCTGGCTGAAGGTGCTGGAGATGCTGGCTGGTGATCCAGCCCGCTTTTCGCCTTTTCCATGGTTGCAGATGACAGCTTTTTGGATTCAAACAACGAGCTCCCGCCCAAAAAATCGCGCTGCAATTTGTGTGCTGCCAACTGGTACGAAGCGGATGTTGTCCATCCACCGGGTTCGATCTTATAGGGAGCCCTGTGCCTCGTGTCATGCTTTTTCCTGAAGATTGAGACCTCTTCGGGCTCATTTGGATCTTTTTTGTTTGCCGGCATGATAAATGTCCGAGGAGGACAGGCATCCTTTCGCTCCTTACTTGGGAGTTCAACCAACTGAGTAGGTTATAACCATGGTTGTAAGGAGACTATTCTCAGTTACCCCACTTACCAGGCAAGGACCTACTAAGTTGGTTAAAGACCCGAGCAAGCAAATGACACTCACCTGGAATCATCGGACCTTGCCCGCTGAGGTAATCCTCTCCTCGGTTTTTGCAGGTCCCCGCAGGCGGTGGACTGTTTGGTCTCACAGCGAGCGGAGGTGAACCAACAGGTGGGAGACACTCAGAAACACCTGAAACATAAGAACCCCCCCAAAAAGGATCCCCGAAAAATGAATCACAGTTCCCGACTTTTGCCGGTTTTCCAATCATTTTTGTTTCAATTTTCATTTTCAGGTCTGGATTTTGGAGGTAGGGAGGTCATGTACCACATATATTAGGGGTACAAGCTTATATTGTCATGTAAGCCTCCATACCTCCAAACACCATACCTGAAAACTCCCTTGATTCTTTTTCTTGTTTTGTTTCGGGGTATGGGAACCTCGTGATTACCCATACAGTCATGGACCCCTTAAGGAGGGCTATGGGAAAAGGAGGGGAGGGGGCGCGCTATCCCTTGTGAAGGGCTTATCCTAGGCTATCCAGGGTTTCCTCCCCCCCCCGCTAACAGGGAAATGGAGTCACTTGAGACACCATCAAAACCGATTCGGGTAGGTGAAGCTTAAGGGAGAATCCCATGGGTGCGGGGGTTGCCGCCTTTTCAATTCTGGAAGCATTGTGCGGAAGGCCATTTCGACCATTTGAATACCGAGCGGTTTTTCGGCTTTTGCAGGTGGGATCCTCGTACATGTCCCCTTTGGGGCTGGCCTGTTGTTGGGACGCCCCGCCCGAGCTGATCGCGTGCTTTTTAAAGCACGGGGCCGACGTGAACCCCAAGTTGAGCCTTGGCTGCTCCAGTCTTGCTGGGGGTTTCTCTTGGGGGTTTCTCAAAAAGGTTTCTGGAGCTTGGTGGTTTATCCAAAGGAAACCAAAAGAGAATCAGCTCAAGTGATACCCCAACAGCATGCTGGCGCTGTTAGACCCTCGAAAAGAAGCCCCGGAACCCTGCGGAAGTCTCAGACGCTGCCCACCCTCGCGCCCTGTCGTGGAACGCGGGCTCTCAGCTGGGGAACAAACGCCAACCAGTTGGGCTTGAAATCCTTTTACTGATTCAGCTTTATTGCTTGAGAGCCATAGCAAGTGCAGCGCTAGAACCAGAAGTCAAGCAGTCTTTCGGCGCTGCTCATTTTGTTGTATCCTCAGCATCCTTTTGGTGCCGGTTGCTGGATAGGGTTTCGGAGGATGCCCGGATAAGCTGCGGAGTCTGGTGGGAACGTGGATCATGCTTTGTGCCGAGGAATATTTCTAATCCCCAAAGTGAAATTGGGGAGGGCAATGTTGACTCGCATTATTTCATGTTCACTTTGCCCAATTTAGCAGACCAACAATGGAAAGGGGATCCTTTCTCCGCTTCCCTCAAGTTGACCCGTCTGTTTTGTTCCGCGGAGCTGCGCCATGGGGGATCGAAATCGCCCGACTCTGCGTGCTTGGTGAGCCAACTGTCAAGGTTCGAACTCAAAGCTGATGAATTTCCTGGGGAGTTCTTCCAGCAGCACCAAAAAAGGGGGTTCCTCAAGGGAGCCAATGGCTGCGGTTGATGTAAAGAAACCAGCGAGCCAACCGCACGAACAAGCCTCAATGTGCAGCGTTTGCAGTTGCTTCCTACTTGTCAATATATTTGGGTCTGTCCGAAAATGGGGAATCCCTAAAACGGGCTTTGCCACTATCCAGAACGGGTCCCTGTGTTTTTGAACACGGGGAAGCATGTTCACGGTTTATCGCTTGATTTGAGATTTTAGTACCGTTCTTTTCTATTGTCGGGCTGTGGGTTTCGGTTCATAGAGGGTCCTAAACCTGCAGATTTCACAGTCTGGCGTCTCTGGGCTCAAGTGGGGGATGTTTTCAGAGGATGACACCTTTTGTGCCGACTTTCCCACAAAAGCCAGCCCCCTCCCCTCCCCGTTTTTCCATTGGAGAAGCACGTTGATTCGTTTGCCTCACGTAAATCTCTCGCATACTGGGATGTTTGGCCAGGTTAGTAAGTGGATAGCCACTTGGGTGTTTGCCCCTAATAACAAGGTTAACCCCACTTAAGGTGACTTATAAGTGGGTTATAACCTAGGTCGCAAAGAACTTGCCACTTAGATGTTCTGGGACGCATCGCTAAATGGTTACTAATCCTGGTTTTCTCGTTGACTTACAATGGTCAATGGGTTACCACTAGGGCAAGGCTTTCCACTTAGCGAGTCAATTCCCAGGCCAACCAACTCGGTGGGTTACAACCAGGGCAAAGCTAACCACTTAGCGAGTCGTCCCATCCAAGCAACTTGGCGAATCGATCCGAGGAACGGCTTGGGCAGCGTGCACCCCCTGGCGAACCTGGCGATTTCCTCCTCCATCAGCCCCACGTGCCTCAGCTCGGCCGCGCTTCTGCTGGACGCCAGGGCCGATCCCAACCACCAGTATACGCCGAGAGGCGGCCGGGGTTCATGGCTTTCGTCGACCTCCAGTTGAAGTCCCCTGGAAAAAATGGCCATGGGTCAAACCCGAATCGGTTAGCCCCCAGTGAACATCCCAATCCAACCACTAGAATAGGTTCTAAAATGGGTGGTGCACCTATCCCAAAATGGTACCATTAGTTTTGAACCATGACCAAATGAGAAAATCATTCCAGTGATAGCTTCCCTTTAAGACCGGGGGAAACTGAGTAACATATTCTTAAGCAAATGGAAGACTTTGGGACTTTGGGATCACTCCGCTTGGTGGTTGGTGGCTCCCAGCCATTCGGTTCCTTAGCTGTTTAGACTTGTGTTTCGTGGTTGGGTTTCCATTTGGGTGTGGCTCAAAATTAAACGATCGGGGCAAAGCGCAGGTTTTGGTCCATGTTTCCACTGAACAGGGTAAGCCATTTTGGAATTCCGGTTTTTTGAGCCACAGCCATGTGACCCACGAAAAGTTCGTTTCTTTTAGCAGGGGATCTGAAAACGGGCAGCCCAGTTCAGTGTCCAGGATTGTGGGTGTCCAAGACTGAAAACATCTTTGGGTCACGGCTTTTTGACTGGAAACGGCTTTTGACGAAACAGCAGTTATAGTTCATTTGATGGTCACTGCTACACAGGATTGTGGGAGCACTCAGGGTTTATCCAACCACTTCTGTAGGGAATCTCTCCCTTTATATGGGTGGTTCGTCTTTGGGAAGCCTTTTTTTTGAATCACAGCAGTGGTCATTCCAACTTTTGGTTTCCCTCAATCACTTTTTGGTACCCTCAAAACACACACACACACACACACACACACACACACACACACACACACACACACACACACACACACACACACACACACACACACACACACACACACACACACACACACACACACACACACACACACACACACACACACACACACACACACACACACACACACACACACACACACACACACACACACACACACACACACACACACACACACACACACACACACACACACACACACACACACACACACACACACACACACACACACACACACACACACACACACACACACACACACACACACACACACACACACACACACACACACACACACACACACACACACACACACACACACACACACACACACACACACACACACACACACACACACACACACACACACACACACACACACACACACACACACACACACACACACACACACACACACACACACACACACACACACACACACACACACACACACACACACACACACACACACACACACACACACACACACACACACACACACACACACACACACACACACACACACACACACACACACACACACACACACACACACACACACACACACACACACACACACACACACACACACACACACACACACACACACACACACACACACACACACACACACACACACACACACACACACACACACACACACACACACACACACACACACACACACACACACACACACACACACACACACACACACACACACACACACACACACACACACACACACACACACACACACACACACACACACACACACACACACACACACACACACACACACACACACACACACACACACACACACACACACACACACACACACACACACACACACACACACACACACACACACACACACACACACACACACACACACACACACACACACACACACACACACACACACACACACACACACACACACACACACACACACACACACACACACACACACACACACACACACACACACACACACACACACACACACACACACACACACACACACACACACACACACACACACACACACACACACACACACACACACACACACACACACACACACACACACACACACACCCATATGGGCTTGTCTGAAAATAGGAATCCGGCCTCCCCCCCAAAAAAACGAAGAAGAGAATAAACAAAAAGTAAACTGGCTTCCTTTTGGTTGCCCTGAAACCAGAAAGGCAGTTTGAAGGCCACTTTGCAGGGTATTAAGGGAATCCTCATGATGACCAAATAGAAAACATTGTTGCAAAAATTATCGCAAATCCCAAAGATGCTTCTGATAAGCGAGAGGCAGGTCTCCAAGAGCACCGCTCCAGTGGCAAAACACACCCACCGATGCAAAATACAACTCCCTTCCGTGACCGACGCACGAAAATATGGCTGTGGGTCAAAGATCGGTAATCAAAATGGGTTGCCCTGGTAAATGGAAACATGGACAAAAAAAGCGGTTTTTCTGGTGGTTCAATTTTGCCCCGTACCCATATCAATCCGGGCAGCGTCGCAAAAAAACGCCAGATGGCAGACACGCTTGCAAAAATCACTGCTACTGATGCAAAAAGAACTCGAAGCCTGTATCCCACACTTAGAGGCTCGTGATAGATATGATGCGAACACTTACTGTTGTCCACTGTATTAGGGAGGAAGACGTGGGGCATTTTAATTGAACCCCCCACCAAAATCTAGTGAGGGACACAAGTCACGCTCACTGTGGCTAATGATGAGGGATCCCCACTTTGCCATGACCCCTATTCCTTGTACCCACCTTTTTTTGTTTCTTGGCTTTCCTGGTCACCACCTCGTGTTTTTTTCTGTTGGCCGCCCTTCTCCCCGTGTTCCTCGTCTCGTTTTGGTCCGGCGCTTTCCTTGGCCGCGGCCAGGCGTGTGGCGGGGCCGGGAGCTCCTATGCCGGGGGGTCACGGCGCTCGGGGGAGGGGCGGTGCCGCTGATCGTGCACTACTTCGCGGAAAGCTCCACGACTCCCCTGGGCGCCTGGGAGAACTTCTTCTCCTTTTTTTTTGGTGCCCGGGTGTCCGGACTTTTTTTTTTGGTTTTCGGGGGGGGGGGGGAGAAGGGGGGGGGGCGCTGGTAATTTTGTTTTTTTGTTTGGGGGGGGGGGGGTGAACCTCTTGGGGTGCGCGGGTTTCCTCTTCTTTTTTTGTTTTTGTTTGGGGGTGACTCCCGTTGTGGCGGGTCGGTACAACAGTCGCAGCAAGGGCACCGGGCGAGCTGCGGCAAAAAAGATGTTTCCTCATGTGCATGTTTTGTGTTTTGGGAGGGCAATGCTGACCTCGGATTAATAACCCCCCTGTTTGTTAATATGGGGTGTCCCTGGTGTTAGTGAAGTTCATTAATTTGGAGTGGAACACACCCATATTAATAAGCAGGGGTATATTACTCCGGGGTTGGCATTACCATTTTTTTTCCGGCTCTCAAGGGAAGCCAAAAGGAACACCAACAACATGCGGGTTGCGAGTCCTGAAGAAAAGCCGAGCGGGGTTCTTGTGGGCCACACGGGCCGTTTCCAAGCGGATGGAGGCTGGGTTATAACCTGCCTATATGCAGGGGACTAAGTGGGTAACCGAACGTGTACCGTTACCGCTTGCTAGTTTGGCGAATCGAACACCCTGTCTACCAACCCAACCGAAATGCACCATCCATCCGATTTGGTTTCCTTTATTTGGGACTCCAACCAAAACCGGTTCATTCCCAAAACCCGGACTAGGACTGGGTCATCTGCTGCCTCTCGCAGCAGCAACCCCAACATCCCATTGTGCATGAAACGTCAATCGATCAACTTTTGATTTGGTTGGAACTCCGGTGACTCGTGCAGGGTTCCCGAAAAGCAATGGATTACTATGACTAAGTGACAAACAGCCCAGCTAATTGGGTGTGTATTGAGGGTACCCTTTTCACCTTAACCCAAAACGAAAGCCGCGTTCTTCGTTTTCAGGGCCATACTGCATCATTCCACCATTCCTGACGTACCCAGCTCCGGCCCGCCAAGGATTCGCCTGCTTCTTCGGCGGTCCGGAGCTCGTGGATTTGCTCCTGGCCAGGCGCGCGGACGTGGCGCGGCCGAATTTGCGGGGCACCACCCCGCTGCAGCTGGCACGCTCCCCAGCAGTGCTGGAGGCGATGGAGGGAAGATGTTGACGAAGACACTTTTTTGGTTTTGCTTTCCGCCTTTTGGGTCCAATGTGTATTTTTTGTTTTAGATTTTGTGTGTTCTTGACGAAGATATTTTTTTCGGTTTTTCTTTCCGGTAAGCGTTTTGAAAGTCCAACAGTTTTTTTTGTTTTAGATTTTGCGGGTTCTTGCTTTTCCTGTCTTGCGTTTGTCCTCTCTTATTTTGTCCTTTCTTGTGTTAGTCTGTTCTTGCTCTTTCTGTTGCCTTTTCTTTTGTTAGTCTTTTCATGTCTTTTTCTTTGTCTCTCTAGCTTGTTCTGTATTGTTAGTGTTTGTTTTTGGCATTTTCTTTGCTTGTGATAGTCTTTTCTTGCCTTTCCTTGTCTTGTGATAGTCTTTCTTGCTTCTTTTTCTGTGTCAATCTTTTCTAGCTTTTCGTTTTTTGTTACTTTTGGGTGGTGTGGGGTCAAACCATCGTTGTCTGTTTGCTTTCCTTTCCTTCTTTCTTTGGGGTTCGTGTTTCGGTTTTATAGTTGAGGGGATAATGCCCAAGTTGTGCCAGCTGCCACCTTTGTTGTTTTAGTCCTTCTTTCCTTTTTTTTGGTGCGGGGGGGTTGGTGGGTTTCCTTTGTTCTGTTTCTTGGGTGGGTCTTCTTTTTCTTCTTGGTATTTGCGCAGGAACCTCCAGGGTTTGCGCAAAAAAACAACAACACAAACAATACAGAACAAGCAAGAGAGACAAAGAAAAAGACATGAAAAGACTAACAAAAGAAAAGCAACAGAAAGAGCAAGAACAGACTAACATCGTGGAAACCATTGGTTTGTGGTTTCACACATCCTTGAGGGTGCCTTGTTGGCAAAGGGGATTGGCAGTGGTCAAGAAAGCACCAAAGTTTTCTTTCGTTCTAGTAGTAGGGCGTGTCATTTGGCTCCCACAAGAAGGTTCTCGGATTTTTTTGAGAACTCTTTCCAAGGTTCCAAGAGCCTTTGAGGGCTGAATTTGGTGGTTCCCAGCCATCCGGTTCCTGGGCTTTTCAGTTTTTTAGTTGGAATAAGTGGTTGGGTTTCCGTACTTGACCCAACAGTTTTATTCACTTTGAGCGGATCAGAAAACGGACAGTCCAGATCTCCCAGAGAACTGACCGGCCAGTTTCCTTTGTCGGTTTAGCGACGTAGGACTATCTAAACCATTTCTTCCCTTTAAAAATGGGGCAATGACCACATCATTTTGGGTAATGACCCCATTTTTTAAGGGTCATGGAGACTCCACACCAGTTTCGGCCGCTGCCCAGTTTCGGTTGGAGCGATTGGCCTGAAGGTGTTGCAGCTCCACCTTGGCACCTTTTCCATCTGACCGACTCGCGGCGATCGGCTCATCGACTCGCGGCGCGCACCTTCACTCGGCGATATAAACGACGCCGGCCGAGCAGTTTTTCGCCAAGACGGAGTCGGCCGAAGGGCCAATGCGGAAGCCGAAGCGGGGGAGGGGGGGGGGGGGTGAAATTTTGGCGCCGCAGGTTTGCCGGGTTTGGGGTGGATCGCATTTCGTGAGGAATCGGTGGATTTGGGTAGCCAAACCGCCAGGAATTGGACCACAGGATTCAAGTCCATGTGTCCAGCCAGGAATGTTCCCAGAAGGGGGGGGGGGTTCCGATTTGGGATTTATAGCCTTGATCCATTCGAGATGGGAGGTTTCCAAGTAGCCAGATTGCTTGAACAAGCTTACTGGTTCGATAGGCAGGGAATGAGAAATGGAACAACAAATCCCCTTTGGTTTCCTTTGGGAAACCCTAGGTTCATTCCCAAAACCCTGGTCATTCCCTGCTGAGCAAAAGCAAGACAAACAGGCCATGAGAAAAATGCATCTGGACCGAAAAAGGGTTTGCAGGTTGGCAGTCTGTTCCGTTTGAGGTTGAAAGCGGCGTGTTGGGTTGCCAGAAGTGCCAACCATCTTTGCCGCGCACAAACCCTGTGAGTACCATAGCATGGGTTTGGAACTGAGCGATCCATTTTCTGGAAGATTCGGATTCCTAGACATGGCTGTTCTCCAAAAATGGTACCCGATATGGCAAATTTGTATATGGAAACCATGCCTAGAACCTGCAGGCAAGCTGCAGCTGTTCGAGTTTGAGCCACAGGCACCTCAACTAGGTCCCCCAGCTAGGTGCCCTTTCTCACCAGCTTTTTGGTTAGGAGGGTTCCCCCACTAAAATAGACGTCCAGAAAAAAGTTGGTAGCCTTATTTTAACCTCTCTACTGGAGGACCTAGATGAAATCTCCACTTCTTTTGGATCCCTGATCCAAAATCGTACCCCAATGGGTGCCACTGAGCTGTACAGAATCTAAGATGGTTTCCACTATCCATATGTACGGGTGTATCACCGAAGTACAAGCTTTTTGAGTGTTTCTTTTTGGTGACCCCCCAAAATTTCGGTTTCCCTTTCAACCAACCCACAAACGGACGGGCGGCCCCCCATTTGAGAGGGCGGAGGACCAGCATGGCTAAATACCCACGATCCTCCGAAGGCGGTTTCCCAGTAGGTGCACATGGCTTTGAATTCTAAGGGGAACCTCAACAGTGGTTGGTGGGTATGAATCCACTACATGATGCTCACCATTTCTTTACGTTCAAACTCAAATAGAGGACCCCCCCCCCCAAATGCTCTATTATTTTCTCCGTTCCTCGTTGCCCCCTTAAAAATATAATAAAAGTAAAATAAACAATACTAAAAACAACAACATGAAAAAACAACAACAACACTAAACAAAAATACCTCCGGCTTCGCTCGGCCCGAGCTTCGCAGAAGAGTTCGCGCTCACGCCGATGAGAATAGAGCGATGGCTTTTCCCGTGGGCGTGGCTCAAAGAAAATACGCAGCGGGGGCTGGCCCCGAAAAGGTTCTTTTCGTTCTTGTTTCCTTTTTGCTTCTTCTTTTCTTTTTTGCCGCCAAGTTGGGTCGTTGCCGCTTTTTGAGCCACGGCCAAATGCCATGCACTGATTTGGTTGGAAAACCAACCAGGGGTTACCTTTTTATGTGGCTGGGTTTTGGGGACGGATCGAGCAGGAAATGGCAGCTCGCCAAAAGTTCGGGGGTCTGATGGAATGAAGAAGACACCCATTCCCGTCGTTTTCCGAAGAACCCAGTCTCGCATGTCGAGACCCGAAAGAAAGAGCCTCGCCGGGTCTGTCTCTCTTCTAGGGGTACCTTCCATTTCTATTGTTTCCAGGGATCCTTCTTTTCAGGAAACCATGAAAAACCCAAGGGAAACAGCCGGTTTTTGAAAGAACGATGGTTGAAAAGAATGTGGAATCAACCCCTAGATCTCTGCATATCCTGGTATGAACTTCTTGGGTTCCGCGGCATTGCACTCGCGGACCTTTTCCCCAGTTTCACGCTGGGAGTGTTTTGCGAAGGACGCGGCCTCGTGCCATCGGCCTCATTATCGTCGGCCAGTCATCTTTGGACGAAAATGAGGAGGGCAATGGACGCTCCCGGATGAATTTCCTACTCGCCCCCATTATCGGCCAGTCATCTTTGGTTGACGAAAATGAGGAGGGCAGTGGACGCCCCGATGGATGGTGTCCCCTCTTTAAGTGGAAGTGACATCGAAGGCCGTGTCCAGCATGACTGCGAGTAGTTTGGGGCCGAGAAAAATGGGTTACACTTCTGTGTCGCAACCGCAAATTTCCGGATCCCCAAACATGGCGCCCTTTTTTATATTTATGTATATTTGTTTTGTATTTTCCCTGCATACAAAAGGCTTTCACACACACACACACACATGTAGTCCTTCTAGTTGGGATTTCCCGATGTTGAACACTCCGTTCGAATCTTCGGCTCCACAAGCTGGATTCATTCATTCTCCTCTGTTTGCTTGGGAGCTGCGCCGTGGTCTTCCTCGTCCTTTGCCGTGCGTCAGAAGAGTTGGAGCCCCAAATGGTGTTGTTTTTTTCTTTGGTTTGCCTTGAAATCTGCCCAGAGAATTGGGTACCCCCCGAAAACTGTACGCACACTTGCCTTGAATTTGTTTCCCGGGCTACCTCTCGAGACAAAAAACCGATCCGAATCACCAATAGTCGGGAAGAGGAGGTGGCTTTGTCTCTCTTTTGTGTAGGGGACCCCCCAAAATGGCTTTGGTTTTCCGCTGGTTTCCCCCTAATTCCATAAAAAAAGGGGTACCAACTCCAAAAAAAGGGCTGGCTTGGCGCAGCTCCGTGGTTCGACCGAATCATTCGCTTCGACCGGTAGGTTCGACCGAGCGAAGGAAAACAAGCATGGGGTTGACCGTTCGTCCTGGATTTCGAAGGGTCCTGGCAAAGCAGAAAGCCTTTATTGTTTGGGTGTGTGCCATTTTGTGAGGGAACCGTTTTCGGGGCGAAGGAAGGGAAACCAAAAGGAAAGCCGCAATTTGTTGAGCGCCCCTGTGTTCATACATATTGTATATGTTAGGGCTTTCTCACTTCCTGAGTTCCGTTCGGACTTTAGTAGTCACTTTTTGGTTGGCTGGACCATTTTAGCGTTAAACAACAGGTTCAGACTTTTTCTGGCCAAGCCATTCAGGAAGTGAGTGGATTTCGAAGTGCGCAAGTTGCAAAACAACAAGAGATGGCAATGGGACCCCCGGATCGAAGTAGAAAAATAGGCCAACGAAGGGGGGCTGGGGGCCCCTTCAACAGCGGCCTGAAGCCACTAAAAGACATTGGACACCGGGACCCCGATGAAGATCAACCAGGGCAAACCGGGGTTTATGGTATCCCCAACAGCAACCCCCATTGCACCCTTCCGGAAACAACAAGTTTGGTGACTTGTGTTTGCCAATGGGTCTGTCTTTTTTTCAGGGACGCCACACAATGATGGTTTGCCTTTTGGTGTCCCCTAAAAAAAGAAGAAACACCTGCTTACCCTCCAAAAAGGACAGACCGTCAGACCGAGTCAGACCCAATCCACTCAAGCGAGTTGGGAACGGATTTTCTTGATACCCCTGGCTATCGCGAGGCGCTTGCCTTCGCCCTAGGATGGGTTGATGGGTTGATGGGTTGCCTGGCGGGCCATAGGCAAGTTGGGGGAACCATGGTACAACCAGGAAAAGATAGGACGGGCTACCAACTACTATCGGCATTACCAGGAAATTGGGGGGTAGCCCTCCCCTCCCCAGTCTGGATGTCGACGGTTCAGAACGCACGCCTTTGTCGAAGAATTCTTCGAGAGGGCAATGTTGGGGGGCTGCTTTCAGTTTGGCTTTTTAGGCTTTTTGTGGACAGTTCATCCATGGGGCCGGGTCCACTCAAGATCATTCGAGACCGATACAAGCATCAGTACTCAGAAGCATCTCTAGATATGTTACATGCATTAGTTAAGAGAATGCCACAGATTGCAGCAGGGCAACAAGGCTTGACCTTTCACAGACTCCGTATGGCCAGCGCACTCAAAGAGCTGGAGAGCTGGGGCTTGGAAGAATGGGCAAATTGATGTCGCCCGAAGTTACTACTTACAAGCCTTAGAAGCTGAAGGCAAGTCACCCGATTCGCCTCTTCGCGGGCAGTTGCAGCAGAAGCTTGCCCTGTGTGCACATTCGGAACAAAGAGTGGCAAGAATGTGTGGACATTTGCGGTAAGCTCATTTCTGCTGGTGCTGGAGAGTCTGCCAAGGTGCAATATGGCCCTGGCGTTGTCAGAGCTCGGACAGTCTGGTGATGCTTTGATCCACATTGAGAAGGCAGTTCACCTTGAACCCGAAGACAGGATGATTCAGAAACTCTTGGCCACTTTGCGAAGATCCTGTGCCATTCCACCGTCTCCAGGGCAAAATATCTTGATTTTGGCGATGATGGCAGCTCACATCAGCAGCCCAAATAGCTTGAAGCATTTTGAGGCTTGCTTGAAATCAATTGAGGACCAGTCACAAGTCCCATGTTTGATGATATCATGGAGTGCAGCCAACGAGGAACTTGCCCAAAAAACTCGGAGCTTGCTGAAACCGCGGAGGTCGCAAGTTCTGTGAAGAGCAGCCTACACAGCTGTCCCAGTTTAGGCATTATCTGGCTTTGATCAAAAGGGTAGACGACGTAGATGAAATAGCCAAGCCGAACATTTCACTTTGGGTGACTTTTTCAGATGCTGATGATCTGTGGCATCCTCTTCGTACCGAAGTCATAGCATCAATGGCTTTGAAATGTGACGGTGATTCATCCGTGTCGTCTTTCGTGTATCCATCATATGCAACACGGCCAGATGGAGCTCATCCACACACGGTGAAGGCAGTTGATGATGGGCTTCGAGATGGCACAGTCAAGCTTATTCGTCCTCACTTTGACCGAGGCCTGCAACAAGCTTGTTCTCGTCCGAGCGACGAGGAGTATTGGATGTACACAGTTCGCTGGCAAGTTCACAAGACTTTTTTCCAGGAGGCAAGCAACGCCTTGCTCGAATTCTGTGACATGGCCTACATGGAGTTTGTGCGGCATTTCGGAGGTGAAGCTGCAAAGACGATGTACTCAGACTATGGCAGCAGCGTATGGGCCTACTTTTACCATTACGTCACAAACAAAGAGTCATCATCTCGGGCAATCAAAGTTACAGCAGCACACAAAGAGGCAGCGACCAAAATCTTGCCGGCCCTTCGCGAGAAGCTGCCAGAGGCTGGTTTGAACTTTCCGGTTCCTGACCATGACCATCTCGCTTCCATTGTGGCTGTCCTTGAGGGGCATGTTGCATTGTGCACATGCACATCGTATCAACACTTGCAGACGGGTGACAAGTCAGCTTGTGAAAGGTTCATGCGTACATTCAACATGGAAATGCCAATTCGAGCTGGCAGCGAGGAGTGCACACAGCGTCTCAATTTGTTGCTTTTGCATCTCCATGCGCCTCTCTGGGATATGGTGAAAAATTTGGCGCCCAAATATTGACGTCAACCAGTTGAAAAAGGCCTGCTGTGAGCGGTTGTCCAGGCAGCTGACGCCAGGCTGCCGGAAATGTTTGAGGATGTTTAACGGCTGCAAGGCTAGCGGAGAGTCTGGGGACTCGGCTGTGAGGTGCTGGTGCTACGCTGAAAACAATGTTGGAGCCGCTGCATCTTTGACTGGACAAACAGTAGGAACTTCCATGCGCCCCGGCACAGCTTTACCCAAACATCTCAGTTTTCTGAGTTGTCATGCAACTTTGATCTATTGAATTTGGGCATCATTTATGTCATGAGAAGTTATTGTACTCCATTGTAAACCATATGGCTATGGTTCGAAACCAACAAGGTGTGAATTGGTTGGCTCAGCGAATTGGTTCTTTCCTCAAAGTAACGTGGATCGTCCTGGATTTCGAAGCGCGCAAGATCCGAATCAAGAAGACATGAGCCACAATCAAAACCCGGGTAATTGGAGGGTAGTAAGGGACAATCCCGGCCATAAATAGCTGCGGAATTCCGCCTTCTTGATTCTTGAAGCATGGTTCTGGGTCGACCATTCTTGTGCCAGGTTTTGATTATGACTCACATGGAATGGGAGTGGATCTAGGAAGAGAACCCGGCCTTTTCCCCTGCAGTGGACTGAGAAGAAGTTGGACACCGGGACCCCGATGAAGATCAACCAGGGGCTTATGAAACCGGGGTGTCTGGTATTCCAAACAACAGCCACCCCCCATTGCACTCTTCAGGAAACAACAAGTTTGGTGACTTGTGTTTGCCAATGGGTCTGTTTTTTTTGGTAGTTACCCTTGTCTATCTTGGAATGTTCCAGGGGTCTGGTGGTACAAGGGAAAAGCCTAGAGGTGAACAAATAGGAAGGGTTACCTACTATAGTGGCAGTACCAGGAAGATGGGGGGTTAAAACGTCTCCCTACAGCGGATGTCGACGGTTCAGAAAGCTTGCACATCTTTGGCGAGCAGTTGTTTTCCGGGATGTTCTCCCCAGGCTTTTCTTTTTTTCGGCAATGTCTCCTAAACATCGCCTGTTGCCAAAAGTGTGTCTTCTCTTTGGGGTCTTCAAAGGGCTCATTTCCGGCAGCCAACTGTTTGTTTCTCACTTGCGGGTCTTGAAGCTGTGTCGCGTGCCATGAGCCATTGAACATTTGACTCCATCGCATTTCTGAATTAGGGGATCCGATGATCTACCTTGAAAAGCCACTCAAAATTGGGTTGCCTCCCACCCCGTAGACAGTAGAATGAATTCCGAGCGCAAGCACAGCTGTGCAAGCAGAAGACGAGCAGTGGCAAGGCCAACCAGAAACCACCAGAGCAAACAACCGTGTGTTTTTTGCTAGCAAAACACTACTTTCCATCAACAATCAGGTAACCCTTGGTTGGCGGTTTGGATTGGTGGTTCGGGCACTAATTAGAGGGAAGCTAGAATGTTATCAAAGGAACAAACAAACATGAAAAGAGAATCCAGTGGATGGACAAAATCCTGCACCAGTGGACAATATCCTGCACCACTCGGTGGGCGGTTTGTTCCAGTGTTTTTGGGGTTTCATCCATCCCTGGTGCGAAAAGGATTTTGTCCGTTTTTTTTGGATGTTTGCTTCTGAGAGTATCCCTTCGAAGGGTGGCTTGAGAGACCATTCTGAAGCGCTCTTGTGCCATTTTGGCACAATCCACCACCGTTTGGGGGGAATTTTTTTTTGAGAGACTTCCCAAATCAGCGTTTGGGGGGATGTTTTTTTGAGAGACTTCCCAAATCAGCGTTTTTTTTTTTGAGAGACTTCCCAAATCAGCTTCACCTCACTGATTCACCTGATGCTCCAAGAAGACGGTCGCCGTTCTTTTTTTCTTCTGAAAGCGACCCATCGCCATGGGCCGAGGGCCACGGACGCCCAAAGGCCGGGGCCTGTGGAGTGACAGGAAGGCATACACAGATTCGCATGTACGTCGGTTGCATGTATATGCATATATATATATATATATATATATGTATGCATGTATATGTATATGTATATGTATATGTATATGTATATGTATATGTATATGTATATGTATATGTATATGTATATGTATATGTATATGTATATGTATATGTATATGTATATGTATATGTATATGTATATGTATATGTATATGTATATATATATATACATGTAAGCTTCTGTACGCAATGCATGTACTGCAATGCATTTGTGTACTGTAAGTGCAATCAATGCGATGTACTGCAATTTTCACGTCAGGACTTGCGATGCAATGTAGTGCAATGCAATGACTTGCAATGTCTTGCATCATGCAATGTCATGTCATGTAGTGTGATGTAATGCATGTAATGTTGACCCAGGATCAATAAACCTGTCCCATTATTAGGGGGGTGTTCCCTCCAAAAGTGGTCTGAATCCAACCACGAAACGGAATTGGGCCCCCCCGAATCAAAATCAACCGATCGGGGTTCTGCTTAGATCCGGGGTTAGCATTACACAGCCAGCCCTCATGGTACAAATCTGTGGAGCTCCGGGGTGTCCCGATCCAGGATGGCGCTTCGCAGGACTTAGAAGGAGCTCAGGAAGACCCTTGGCTTGAGGAGAACACTCGATGGAGACGGTGGATGGTGGCGACATCCGTGAAACACGCACCACCGAACTCAGAAACCCTGGTTTCATTCCCATGGTTTCACTCGGTGGTGCAGGAAATCCATTTCGTGCCGCCTATATAAGAAACCCGGGTTTCTGAGAGTTCCCCTGTAAATACCAAACGTTACGGTTTCAACCATGGCTTCATTTCGTGGTGCGAACGGAATTCGCAACCCTCCACGGTATTCTGGCGACTCTGGCGAAGCTCGCTGGAAGCTCACTGCGAGAATTGAGCGCCTCAAAGCCACGGTTAGCGCTCTCTCGCACTCCGATCAAGGGCGTGATTTCACAGGGCTCCTTAAAAGATTCATTTTGCCCATTTGAAACATGGCTTTCTCCACCAAAATAAAGGGAAACCACCATTTACAAGGCAATGTTCAGGTGTATAATGTAAGGATCCCTGTTTCAAGCGCATTTTCCCTTTCTTGGCGGAACATGGAATGCCCCCATCACATGGCATCTTTTGCATGGTTAAAAAGAGAGACCCTGTACATTTATTGGGTTTGCGTTTGACCTTGTTTCCTTGTTCCTTGACTCCAGATTTTGAAACCTGCAGCACAAAACCGCGTTAGGATCCAACACTGGGCCCTAGTGACGGACACCTAGCTTGAGGCGGAGTAAAACCTGGGTTACCCTCTAGAGATGTCATTTTCTGCTGGGACAAAGCTGAGGCCTTGAACTGATGGACATCCAGGTGGTTGTGTTGAATCACTCAGCGGTACTGATTCATCTTCAAGCAGGTGCTTGGTCCAACCCGAACCTCGACGGTCCAACTTTTGATGTAGCGGTCCGTTGTATCCTGGTTGGCGTACCTCTGAAAGGCGGGTCGCACACAAATCTAAGCTCGAAAGCCCGGAAGCTTTCCGTCTGCGTGCTGCTGGGTTTGCCTCGACAAGTGGGACTTTTGGATTGCCTTAGAACACCATTGATCCGTTTGTTTTTTGTTTTTTTCCTTCCTGAGCAAAACGCATAAGGGGGCACGACCTCAAAAAGAATCACCATTGGGCTTTCCTTTGAACAGCCCAAAAAAGGGGTTTCAATAACAGAGACACCCAGATCTGCTGGCCCGTGTTCTTACCCAACTCAAGTAATCCGTTCGCAATCCACACCCTCCCTTCCTGAGTTTCTGGATCTTACTCTTGGGAAGGCCCCAGCAGCCAAAATTTCGCTGCCTTTCTTCAGCCGATCTCCGGAAAAAGAAAAGGCGACTCAGCGCAAGGCGCTCACAAATTTACGAGTCGAAGCAGAGCTGGGTGCGGCTCAAAATTTCGAAAGGTGGAGTTGCGCAGGGTTGGGTTTTCGGGTTCCATTTGCCAAGGTGCCGTTTTTGGTACATGTTTTGAGCCACAGCCAACTCGCTTCTGGCCAGGGCCGAAGCTGGAGCCAAAGCCGGAGCCGCGGCCTAAGGCTTTCCGGAGATTCCCAAGGAGAAGCATCTGAATCCGAAGCTTCGGATCTTGCGCTGCAGCAACTTGTGAAACCAAGCTTGGGTTTGTCATGGGCATCCCCGAAAAAGTGGGCTGGGTTTTAAGAATGTTTCCGAGAACCACCCCGGCCAAAAGCCGGGTACCCTAAAAAACGAACCGGAAGAGCGCAAGACGACACCCCCACTTGCTGAGCCTTTCGGAAGTGAAGACAAGACAAGTCTTGCAGCTTTCCGGTCGCGCAGAAGTCGTTTCGTCTACAAGTTTCCACAGTTTACCCCTTGGCGCCATGTTGGGTTCCATTTTCTTGTGGGAGCCGCAGGTCGATTTGTTTTTCGCCGCTTTTTCTTCGTCGAAGGATTCTTGGGGAGCCAATGGCACGCACTCTTCAGCGTCGCTGGGTCGCGGTTTGGTGCCAACCACATCTTTGCCTTTGACCGAAACGGGCGGCTCGAAGTTGTCTTTTCTGAGGCTCGGAATGTTTCCTTGTTGGTTGGCTTTGAAGGACAGCCAAAAGGAAGGCCGCAATTTTTTGGGGGGCCCCAAAGAAAGACAGACCCTCCATGATGACAGACCCCAGGAGTCCGCGCCACGTGCAAACCGCTTCGGGTAGACCAAGGCTCAGGGAGAATTTCAACAATCAATGGGGTGCCTCCGCCGCCTTTTTGAGTCTTTATATGGCTGTGGGTCAAAAATAGGTACCCCAATTGGAACCCTGGTAAATGGAAACATGGACTAAAACCTGCGCTGGCCTGGTGGTTTAATTTTGACCCATACCCATATGGTTCTGGGTGGATCATTTTAAGACCAGGTTCGTTTATGACTCATCTGGGTTTATGGTCGAACGTTGATCAAGCTAATGGCAACCCCGGATTTCAGTGATTAAACAAAAGGGTTGTTACCCACAAAAGTGATCCGGATTTCCACTAAACAAGAGAGAGAGAGAGAGAGAGAGAGAGGGAGACCGCGATCAAAATCAACCAGGGGTTTTGCTTACTCCAAGGATAGCATCCCTAAAAGCCCGCAACAGGACATCAGGACATTGACCACATGCCCACCAAGAACAGGTTTCCGGTTGAATCTCCTGCAGGTGTCTTAGGACAGAATCTTCATCGCCTGTTTTATAGCGAGCTCACCAGGGGTATAATGAGCTCACCATGATAAACTCAGTTGTTCAAAGACGACCTTTTGCCCTTTTGGTTTTCCCTTTTTGGTCTACTTTTAGTAGAGGTCCCAAAAGGTGATCACCTTTTTCCAGGTCCAGAAAGGGCAAGTGAGTAAAGGATCCCTCCGGAGATTCGTTTCAGCTGGAAGAGTAGACGTTGGACCCTTCGCCTAGGCCCCGGAGGAAGCGCAGGAAGCGCCAGGCGTGGAGTTTTGAGTTTTCTCCCTTGGGCCGTGGGGAGGATGGTGTGAGTTTTGTTGGCCCGGCAAGGGAGGGAGGGGGGAAAGGGGGGGTTTAGGGGACCACCCCAAAATGGTGGCTTCCCTTGTGGTTTTCCTTAAACCAACCCAAAAGAGATTACCCTAAAAACGAGACAGGCTCAAGAATTTGGCCTCCCTTTCCGTTTTTTTTTTGTCATAGCATATTATTTTGGTTGGGGGGTAAAACGTACTGGATGGGGGGGGGGGGGGGTGGAATGAAAAGTGAAAGAAACTGACCAGTTTGAGGAGTCTCGTATTTCAGGAAATGCCAAGTTCAAACAGAAAGGTCGAACCAATTTCAGATGTGTATTTGTTCCGGGCAGCATCTGCTCTCGTCTTTGTCTTTATACGGGTGCGGATGTCAACATAAACTAGTGCACGTCACGCTCAACCTTGAAAAAGGTGCTAGACAGGGCAAGCCTTCGGGGTTCTTCTGCTCAACTTGCATGGACGAGGAGGCAAGCTTCGGCTTTCCAACTGCGCCTGCGCTACTCGCGTTCTTGCGCGCCAATTAAATAGAAGGACACCTCTACTCCATATCCACGTGGTTGGCTGCATATGGTCGCGTCGTTGTTTAGGCCCCCCCTCCCCCCCAAAAAAAAGAAGAAGAGAACAAACAGAGAGAGGTGGCTTTCCCTTGGATTTCCTGTAACAAAACACACGATACCCTCCAAAAAAAGACACACCCGTATTTGCCCTGAGAGCACTTGAATTTCTCGAGGCATAGCCAGGCACTTCACGAAAAGCGCTCCGTGCGTTGTTTCTCAGGCGGTGCGAATTGTCGAGGAGGACACATGCCAGGCGGGGTGTTTTTTAGGTTGGGGGAGGCTTGGCAACGTTTCCGAGCCACTGCCCAAATTGCTTGCATCCTTCAAACGTGGGGGAGTTCAATGGAAACCCGTGAATTGTGATCAACTCTTGATGTGGCAAATCCCGTCTTTGTGACCCCTGATGTTTGGTCCCTTTGTGTTGGGCAATGACCACGTCAGTGACCCCTGGCCAAGGTTGGAGAAGATCTTCGTCCTTTGGCTCACCCAAACGAGTGTTCCCAGAAAAGGAGGACGGTTGGTTCCGACCACCAAAGTGTGTACCAAAGTTTGGAGCAGGCAACATGGGGCTTGTCTTTTTGGAGCTGGTACCTTTTTTTTGGATGGTCTTGGGAAACCAAGAGGAAACCCACGATGCGTCTTCATGTTGAGGTACCTGGTTCTTGGGGATGGTCTTGGGAGACCAAAAGGAAAACCCACCATGGAGGATGCCTGGTTTTTGGGGATGGTCTTAGGAAACCAGGCATTTAGGGCCTCGCTCCTTCACCAGCCGTGGCTCATTCGCAGGACGTCGATGTCGGAGCCCGAATGGATGGGGAATGGCAGGCCTGTTTTTCTCCGAGATTTGACCGGGGGAGACGCACTAGATGGCCCTTCAGAGGCAGGAACTAACTCGTTGACAGTCAAAGTGAAGCGATGGCGGTCAACAGGAGCTTGGTAATGCCGACCAAACTTGATAAATCCCCACTACAACCGACCGAGGGACACCCCATATTCAAAAACAGGGGTTTATTCATCCGGGGTCAACATTCGCCTACGATAGCTTTTCTGATTCCGCTTGACACTTGTCCCAGGGTGGACAATTTTACATTTCTATCTGGCGCCTAGCTTTGGTTGTGGCTATGAAGTGGTTACACGGAAGCTGTAACATGCCAATCCAGGTTTCCTGTTGGTGTCCCTCTCAAAACATGGCCACGGGTTTGCTTTGGGGGACCTTGTTTTTCACCCAGCCCTTAAGACGCCCTTCATGATTTTGGCTTGTTTGGGCTCCCTTCCCTTTCAGCCCTCAAAGGAGCTACCCAACTAAGCCCTTCTTTTAAGCCCACCCCCCCCCCCCCCCCGAATTCTTCCGCCCCCATGAGTTCACATTCGTTTGGAGCTGCTCTTTAGACCAGGTCCGACCTTTGGGCAACTGAGCCCCCCCGCCCCACAAAAAATATATCTATTTCTGGGGACTTTTGCCCCACCCCACCCCCACCCCACCCCCTCTGGGGCTCCCACCCCACCCCCACTGGGCTCCCATCTCACCCCCCTCTGGTTGGTTTCCCTTTGGCCCCTGCGTCAACCTTCTGGAGGTTGCCTCGTCCCAATTTCTCTGAGGCGCATAGGTGTCCTTTTTAGGTTAGTTTGATTAAAAATAGATGGCACTGGTTTAGGTGGGGTTTCTTCCATTTACCAGGGCCATCTATTTTTCCCAAAAGGCCACGTATGGGCGCATAGGTGTCCTTTCTAGGTGAGCCTTTTTGAATCATCGAGGGGTTTCACCGGTTATGGCTGGGGTTTTTCAAACCATTTACCAGGGTTGCCTCGTTCCAATTGGGCCATGGGTCAAAATCCAAATCGGTTAGCCCCCAGTGAACATCCCAATCCAACCACTCAAATAGGTTCTAAACTGGCTGGTGAATTCACCTACGGGTCCCAAAATGGGATCCCAAAACGGTTTTGACCACCACAGCCATTTCAGGGCCATCTATAGTTTGGATGGGTTTTGCAAACCATTTACCAGGGACACCCATCGATTTTCAACCAAAAGGCCGCCCATGCACCGAGGCGTCCGAGAAGTTGGCCGCGTGGGCGGAGGACACTCAGCGCCTCCAGCGGTGGCTGACCTCCCGGGGCGGCTTGGCGCGGGATCCCGGGCCCCGTTTCGACGAGCCGGCGCGCTTCGGGAGTTTGGCCAGGGGTCAGAACCTTTCATTTTTTTTTTTAAAAGAAACATTTTTTCCCCCTGTTGGTTTTAAAGGGAAGCTATCACTACTGGAACTCTTTTTTGTTTTTCCAGGGGTCTTAAAAAAATGGAAGCAACCCATGCCTCCGTTTTGGGGCGGAGGAACACCCACGTACCGGGCCTGTTTTGATGTTTTTTCAGGGAAACAGGGGTTTGACCCACAGCCATTTCAGGCAAATGCTTTGGGTGCGGCTCAAGAATGCGACAACGATTTTTTTCAAAGGGAAGGGAAGAGGAAGAGTAGACATAAAAAAAACCTGAACATTTGAGCCGCAGCCACAAGAACTTGATTTTAAGGTGCTTGTTTTGTTTTTGGGCACTCCCGCCAGTTTGGTTGGTTTCCGAGGCCGAAAGGAACACCAACCTTGGTAAGGGTTTTGCTGTGGCAGGTTTTGCGCCATACAGAATCAAGGGTTGCGCTTTCCAAGGGAAATCCTCGGTCGGGTTTGTTTGGTTGGGGGAAACCTAAGAACAACCAGGCATAGGCGATGGACAGCTATTGCGAGAATCCAAAGGCTCTTTGGACGACAGGAAATGCGTATTTCTGGAAATGCGTCACTTTTTGCAGGGAGTTGGATCACGGCCCATGATGTCAAAGCTCATGGGAACTCCGAATTCATGAGCTCCTGGTTGACTTTGAAAGGGGGTGGGGCTCCGGATCACTCAAATCGGGTGGTTGATCTGGGGTTCCTATTGCCCACATGTGCCACGGTCAGAATGGAGGTTGGTGCATTCCCCAGAGTTCCTGCACTTTAGTCGCTTGTCGGGCCTGGGCGATCTTGGTGGACCTTGCAAGCAGGTGTGCTGACTTTTTAGGTGGCCACGCATAGGAAGTGCAATCCCTTTTTGTTTTTGTTTGCCCCGGTAACAAAAGACAAGTGGTTGAAAAGTCAAACAATAGGACAGTTTGGCTTGGTTTGTTAAAAGAGCACTCAATCCAACCCTTTAGCCCGTTCTGGTCTCTGTGTAGCGAGGGGCTCCTCTTTTTTTGGGGCGAATTCATGTCAAAGTCTCCACATTCGCGCTGGAAAGAGATGGCTCCTGTCAGGGACTTCCTTGCCTATGGCAGGGAGGGCAAGCTCATTGAAGGGTTGTAGCCCCAAACCCCCAAACCTGTCCAGCTTGATTCTGGAGCTCAAGCAGTGTCTGCAAAACTCTGGCTTCCACTTCGCTTGAAAGCGACCTTTCGAAGGCGGGCCACGGGCCCTTGCAAGCGACAATCCCTGCGAACAGCAATGGGGAACTGCAAAGCAAGCAAAGGAGGGCAAACGCAGTTGCACGGGCAATCACAGCAAGCGCAGGTGGCGACCCTGTCCGTGGTTTGCCCCTTTTATGCCTCGCCAATAAGGCTACTTTCAACAAAAAGACAGACCCACATGCGTTCGTTGCCTTTGTCATTTGAAGTCGATCGCCCCTTACTTGTTGCCATTCAGAATGCAGCTCCATGGGCGCCATGGTCAAACAGCTAGCCATCGAGGTGTTCTTGAACAGACTGCACATCGCCACCAACACAGGGACGAAGCCTTCACGCAAACAAAACGGGGGTGCAGGTGCTGCGCATTTCAACGTCCTGAAACTTGTGGACACCCTTTCTCAGGAGCTTATCGCCTAGCGACTCCGCTGACCCGACCCTCAGCTTCCATGTGAAACTCTTCGAGGGTCTCTTTAATAAACGTGTGGATCCGATTGTCCATGTCTTTTCCGACACTGTGTGCGTGCTTTGTGGGTGAACAAATCTTGCTTGTTTGGAGAGCCCCCAAAGAAGTGAACCTCTGCCCCACTGCCTTTCTTCGAGGCTCTTTTTGCCCCTTGATTTTTTTAAAAGTATTTCCCCCCCCTTTAAGCGAAACCCCAAACCTTGAACAGACGAGCCGCCCATGTCAAGACCAGTCCGGGCCAGGAATCTCCACTTCTGGAGGCTTCCGATGGGTTTGCCTTTGAATTCGAGGGACCCCCTCTTTGGGTGGTTTTTTAGAGTAGACCCACCAGCAACACCGCCTTTCTTGGGGGTCACCCAACAGAAGACACACCCACATATATATATATATATATCCCCACATATATATATATATATACATATATATATATATATATCTGTATGTATGTATGCATATACATATTTGTATATCTATAAATGTGTGCTTTTCCGAAGGCTTCCAGTTGAGGAAGTTCTCAAACTTCCCCCGGCTTTGTTTGCTGTGTCCATAGGCGGTGAAGCTTTCAGGGTTGGGGTTCCGGAGCGGAGAGAGCCCTCCGGGGCTGTGGTTGGGGTTTTATCCACCAAACCACCCGGCTCCAACCACCGGGCTCTATCCAAGGAAGGAAAACACGCAAGAGTTTCTTCCATTTGCTGAAACGAAGATTTTATACTTTCCTCCGGTGGTTTCGAAGTGGATCTGTCACTGGACATATTCGATCTGCCATTTTTTTCCTCCAGGGGGCGAAGAAGCAAACGCAGGTGGTGCCGTTGTCCTTTGCAACTTGGGTTGGGGATTTGGATCGCTCCTAGGGATCGAGAAGGCGAAAACATCAGGATAGGGATGGTCATCAACCAAGCGAAGAGTTATTCTTGGACTTTCTTGGATCAGCGTAATGCATAAAGCAGTACTTTAATTCTGGACTGGATTGGGTTGGATTGAATTGAATGGGATGGCATGATCGAAGTGAACCCAAAGGAGGTTTGATCATGGCCCATCGTTCTACCCGCTGAAACCATTGCCAAGCCAGTGGTCTCCAAATGGGCTCCAGATGAACATGGGGCTGAAAAGACGACCATCGCTTGTTGGACCCCGTTTTGGGTGTTCCTTCTACTTATTTTACGGGGGAGTTTCTCTACAAATCAAGAATTCCGCAAAAAGGGATGGTTCCCGTTCAACAGGGGGTGTCTCTCGTTTCCCAGCCCCCCCATGTTTTGTTGCGCTCACAAACGGGGTCTCTGGCAGTGCCCCCTCCGCGTGACTCCAGATGCTGAAATGATGTGAAGCTTCGACGCTCGGAGAGGGCAAAGACATTGGCCTTTTCCAAGGCGACCAAAGTCTATGGTATGCTTCACAGTTTTATACTGCGCGCAAGCAGTTCCGAACAATGCCCCTCCATCAGTTCGGAGAATTCTGCCACACGATGCGCAGAGAGAACCTCTTTCTGGTTGATGTGGTTTTGCATTGCTTGGGAGGGCTGGCAATTCTGGGTTCACGAGATGGAGCTGGCAGTTGCGGCGGCAACGAGAGGTCAGGTGGACACGGCCTTGTTTCTGTTCAAGGTCGTCACAATGGCTATCATCCTTCCCACACCTGTTTCCCCCGGCCATCACTGCACTTTGGGGTTTGTGATTGATTGCTGGAGCCATGGTGGTTTTCTCTTTGGGTTTTCCTCTAAACCACAGAAAAAGGGGGTACCTTCAAAACGAGAAGCCACCCAGTCGGGGCATTTTCCCGTGACTTGGGCGTGGATTTGGCTTCGGAGAGCCTCACGAGGCTCCAGGGAAGTTGCTGCGGCTCCGGGACTACTTCCCTCTGGAGATGGCGGACAACGCGCTGCAGATACTGGAAAATCTGCCTGAAGAGGCGAGAAAAAGGAAGGGGGGAGGGGCGCGAAGTGGAAATTTGGCGCTTTAATTTTTGGCGCTTTGATTTTTTGAGGGAGCCTTTGTTGGGTAAAAGCACATCAAAAAGAAACTGCCCAAGGACAAGCCCATGTCTGCCGGCACTAGCCATTGTGCGTCAGAGCCGGCTGAAGGGGGCACTTCCGTGGGTATGATGCTTTGTTCCGGGGCACTTCCTCTGACTCGAGTGGGAAGGCTTACCCAAGACGACAGGGACGATCGCAGGTGTTTCTTAAACGGGGAAGCCGTTTGAAGAACTTGAGCTTGGTCGCAGGTCTTGAGTGGCTGGTTTTCGGAACGGATCGCACATGATCAAGCGGCGATCTATTTAAACACAACTGTGGATGGACAAAAAAGTCCGTTCGAACCGCTTTGAAACCATGGGAACCCCATTCTTTGAATGGTATTTACAGGGGAATCGATTCATTCCAGGGTTTCTCAGGCAGTGCGTTTTATGGATTTCGCGACCGTCCACGGTACGAGCTTGAGTGGGAACGGGGGAGCGGCTCCCCTTGAGCTTGGCTCCCCGCAGTTTTTGATTCATATGACTCGGGTGGACTTTTCAGGACACTCCGTGTTTTGTGCTTCAGAAAGCTCATACCGGCGAGGTCGAAGGCTTCTTCGACGCTCCTCGGAAAGGAACCGCCTGGCCCCAGGATTTTTGTACCCCCTGGTGGATTCATACCGTGGATGGTTGCGAAATCCATAAACCGCATCACGAAATGAAACCATAGGAAGGCATTGCTGGGTTTCTTAGGTGGCGCGAAATGGATTTCGCCCATCCAGTATGGGCGTGTCTTTTTCTAGGGACCCCATAAAACCCCCCCCCCCCGCCACAAAGCATGGTGGTTTTCCGTTTGGTTTCCCTTCAACACCGCCAAACAGGGGTGCCCTTAAAAAAGACAACCCCCCCACATTTCCAAGAGAGGCGTTCTTTTAAACATGAAAATCAAAAGTGGACATTTTTGGAGGGTGCCTTTTGGGGGGTGTTAAGTTTTTTTTCCTGTCAAGTGAAGCTAAACGGACACCCCCCCTCGGTTTTGGGGGGCACCCTTATGTGGCCACGTACCCAAATAAAGACACCAACCAAATGCTGTTGGGCTCAGTAACCCTGGTCAACGCCAGTTTACCCCCCTATTAATCAACCCCAGTTTATGAAAAGGAAGGTGTTCCCCTCCAAAAGTGAACAGTCCTCACTAAAACCAGGGAAACGCACCCCCATACTAGTAAACAGGTTGGTGTATTACTAAGGGGTGTTCACGAACCAGGGACTTTAGTGTTTAGTGGTGATTTCCATTTCACCCTCTCAGAGTTATTCACTTTTCGCGGGGGATCAGAACATGGACAGCCCGGAACCGGGGTCTCCAACCACCGAAACCTCCGACTGAACCGACGGAGCCCTCCTTGTGCAGCGGCTCGAGCGCTCGATGCCCTGCAGCTCGCAGGCGTGGCAGCAGAGCCTGCAACAGGGCGACAGCCAGCCACAGCTTCTGGCGCGGCCCTCGGAGCCGGGACCACGGGACTCTCTTCAACGTCCGCCCGGAGTTGGCTCGACCGGCGAAAAATGGGTCGCCCCCTCTGACCCAAAAATGGGCCCAGGGTCTTTTTTCGGGTTTTAGGGGACCACCGAAATGGCCTCGGCTCGCCTTTTGGTCTCCCAAGAAAAACTGTCCATCACAGAAATTGGACCCAACCGAATTCCCGCGGATTTGTTCGAACCTGAGAGCTGCGAACGGGTCCCTCCGGAGCCTGGGGCAGAGATCCCATAGCTTGCTGTTGGGGGAACAATACTGGCTTTATTATTTTAGCATGATCGAAGTCACCCCCTAAGTGCTGGGTTAAAGGGAAACAACCACATTTTCTGACTTTGATAACCCTCAGAAGCAGTCAAAATAATGACCCAGCAATACCCTACATGGACTCTGCTTCCCTGCATGGCACGTCCCCCTCCCATATTTCCCATTGCTCGCAGAACACCGTATCAGGCTAAGCTGCATTGACTGAGTGCCCCAAGCCGAGTTCTAATGGCCATGTTGGGAGGCATGCTTGTACAACTAACAGTCAATGGTTTTTTTGGGTACCTGCGAAACCACACCTCCAAACCCATCAACATCAATCAGGTGGGTGTGTCATTTTTTGGGAAGGCAGCTTTTGGGGGTGGGTTTTGAAGGAAACCAAGAGGCTACAACCATGATTGTGGGTGGTGGTCAGCTGGGCTGATCGTCTCCTCACAACCGTGAACTTGCAACTTACAACTGATGACCTACTTGCCTGACATTGCTTGAACACGCAAGTAAGGCCTGACGGGGAGACGTGGTTGATTCTTTGAAGGTTCCCCTTGGCTGCTTTTCAGGGGAGGCCTTTTTGGCACGCGCCAGTGTCGGACTTTTTTGGAGAGACCCTTCAAAGAGTACACCCCTGTCCACGCTGCAATGAACGCCACCAGAGAAGTTCATCATCTTCCAGGAGCCAGTCAGCAGCGTCCGTTGAGCCATATCCTGAACCCCCCTGGCCATGATCCAAAGACTTCCCCGACTGACCAGACCCCAAAGAAGAAATCTGACAGCTCAGCCGTATTTGAAGCTGATTTACCCTTAACTTGGCTTTCCTCAAGGGGTATGTTCCGGGGGTCTGGTGGTACCTTTGAGTGAAATACTAGGTGATACTTAAAGCCGGATCCCTAGGTCTGCGGATGTCATGGACATCCCCGAGCTGGCGCCTCTGAGGCGCGGTCACGTCAAGATCTCGCGAGGGGCGGCCACGGCTTTTGGATCCCGCCAAAGGCGCCGAAGTTGAAGTCTGCCCTGGCGTTATTTTTCTTTTTGAGGTGCTCTGGGGCCAATCCTTGGGGGGATTTGTGGACCCTATGCAGATCGACAACTTGTGGAAGCTGATGGGCAAAGACCAGTCAGTTGGGGTGCCTAAGTCTACCCACTCCCTTCTTTTTGAACCCCCTCCCGCTCCCAAGAAATTGGGTGGTGTTCCGGTTTCCATTTAAAACCAGCCAACAAGCGTACCTTAAGACAGGGACACGCCCACGCAGCGTCACAGATCTATTGCCCTCTCGGCTCTACTTTGCCTTCGGATTCGGCAAGGAGCGTGTTCTGGCGCATGCTGCCCTCTTTGAGGGGGAGGCCGACCTTGCCCATCTTCTCCTGTGGCAGGCGGGGGAGGAGGGAACTGCGTTGCGTGAGGCCGAAGGGAAGGTGCCTCCCGGGGGGTTCGTCATTTCCGGTCTCTGAACTATAGCAACTTATCAAGAAATTGGTAAATGTTGATGAAGGCCTCCTGACTGACCAAAGACACGTGCCATTTGCTGATAATTACAAGGGGGGCCAGCAAAGGATCTTCAGTCTTGTTGGTTGAATGCCGCATAGTTTTCTGCCCCTGTGCCAGAAAGCGAGCTCGTAGGCTTGGCGCAATTTCTGGGCGACATTCCAGCGAAGCTTTCCAGGTACAACGTCCCGATGGGGTTGCCACAATTGAAACCGCTTCGGGTAGAAGTTGATGGATGCCTTCGCCGCCTTCTCAATTCTTGAAGCATGGTTTTGGGGATCGACCATGTTGCTACCCATCGGCTTTGTTTGTGACTTGGCAAACCATTTTTTGATCGGTTTCCAGGGTAAAGTGCCTGGCCGTCATGGCCAACCACACCCATTTCCATTTTGTGAGTTCAAGAGGCACCAAATATTTGCCCTTGCCCAAGGCGGAACAACAGGGTCCTTGGGGGCGAGTTTGTTGGGTTCCGTTTCAATTAGTGGAGTACTCCTTTGATCACAACCCTTTCCAAGAAGCGTAGGTTCTCATCCTCACGCCGAACCCAGTATGGGTATGTGAAAACAGTGACTTGTCCACTGTTTTTCTTTTAAAGCCCCCCCCCAAAAAAAACAAAACAAACAACACACAAAAAAAGAAAACGGGTTCCCTCACAAAATAGAGGCACCCAAATGGGGGTTTCTCAAAACGATGCTGGACCATAAGTGGTCTGTTTCCTGCCGTTTTTGAATCCACCGCATTTTTTGAGCGAAGTTTCAGGGGAAACCGAAGGACACCCACTCATTTTGATTGCTCCACTGCCCATCTCGTACATATTAAACCCAATACCTTGATAATCCAATTCAAGCCTTCAAAAAGGTAGGTTTTCAAAACACCCGAAAGGCCTGTGTGCCAACTCAGTAAATGGACACCACCAGAACATTCAACTTTTGCTTTGGTGTGGACGTCCAGTTGGAGCCCGTCCCAGAGGGACATCCCGTCTCGGCTCTCGGCTCTCGGCTTTCGCGTCGGAAGGTACGGCGCCTCGGACTTCATCGGGCGCCACGACGACCAGGCGCTGGTGCCCTTCTTTGGCCGGGAGCCACGGGACACGACGAGAAGAGACGAACGGGGCAATAGGTGTTTTTTTTTCTTCTTCTTTTTTTTCTTCTTCTTCTTCTTCTTCTAATAAGAATAATACTAATTATGTATGTTGGGATTTTAGACTCACTTGCCCAAAGCGAATCGACCTTTTTGGCCTTTTGGTTTTCCTATTTTGGTCCATTTTCAGTCATGCCTCAAAAGGTTAACCTTTTATTTCTGCGGCCTTTGGGCAACTGAGTTGAGCAGGGTTGTGGTTGATGGTGTTTCTCTAACCACTTCTGTGATTCTTTTGGGAATCTCCCGCTTCTTTGGCTGGGAGCCACAGACGAGGCCATGAAGACACGAAGAAAGAGACAGGAGCCCTTAAAACCGTTTCGGAGGCGCTTGGTGCGTCCCTAGGCTTGGGGTCACCATGTTCTTTTTGACTAAGCTACTGAGTTGGATGAGCATCCAAGTAGCTGCTTCAAGTAGAAACAGGGGTGTGGGATCACAAGGTGTTTCTCCAACCTCTTCTGTGATTCTCTTGGAACCTCCCCCTTAAAAAGGGGGGAGAATGTCTTTGGGGTTAGGCCCTTTTTTGCTGTATCACAGAGGTGGTCATTTCCCATCCCTGTTTTTGAGGGACCCAAGCCTTAGGGAAGGAATGCACCGTTTTGGGATTCCCTAACGGAAACCACCAGTTGGATGGTTTATTGGGTTCATTCCATTTCTCATTCCCTTCTGGGCACCAGCAAGTTTTGTAGGTGGAAAGGGACCCTAGTGGATCCCAGGAGTTCGTTTCGCCCCCACCCCTCGCCATTTTCCTTTGGGTGTTGAAGGGTGGTTCCCTTGATTAACTACTATATTGGCAAATGGAATCACTGGGGACACCAAGAAGAGGAACGCCGCCATTTGTTGGGTCCTCCGATTTTGAGACATAGCCATGCCATGCATTTTTGTCAGGAATTCGACTGCCTGTTTTGACAAGGTGTTATAACAGGCTTGCATAGACCGTTACTTCCCAGCAAATGATGATGGACCCAAAAAAAAGGGTCCAATTCCCAAATTGAGATTCCTCGAACAATGGGTGGGTTTTCTGGGTTTCATGTTAAGCTATACGGGGGGCATCATCACTTTGGTAGAACTAGAGGTCACTGGGAGAAACGGAGGTGCCGGTTTTCGTGCCTCTGGATAGACATGACATCGCGGACGAGCTCCAACTCAGAACTCTTGGGGAAAGGCTTGTGATTTTCGCCACCTGGAATTCATTTGAGGTAGTTTACAAGGAAATTCCATTCGGAAAGCACCCATTTGAGGGGTCCCTACGTTGATGTTCACCTAGGCGGGCAAATTAACACAAGCTCGCTGATCCGGGGGCAAAGCGAGCGAAAGCCCATGATGAAGGTTCTCGACTGGGAGATTCCTTATTTTCCTGTGGTGGCCCAGACGCCATCCAAAAGGGTCCTCTGTTATTTTCCTGAAATTTTCCATATCCTTTGGAAAGGTTCAACAAGGCGGTTTCAGAACGTCATCATCAGGTAACCATGGTTGGTGGTTTGGATTGGTGGTTCGGGCACTTGAATCCCTGGTTCTCGAGGGGAAATGGGAGGCCACTTCCAAACCACCAGCCACCATTCTTGACGGTTCCCAGCCATCCCCTTAGGTTTTTAGGTCTTAGTTGGTTTCGTGTTGGTTTAGTGGTTGGGTTTCCGTTTAACCCACAAAGTTATACACTTTTGGCAAGGGCAGACCAGCAATGAGAGGGACGCTGAATTTCCGGTGTAAGAGGCAGCAACGTCTGCCATGCTTTTCTGAGGCGACGGGGTGGTCTATTCGCGGACGGTGGCGGCGATTTGGTACCTTACCAAGGCCGGTGGTTTCATTGAAAGAAGCTGGGAAGACGTTGGGTATGTGTCAAAAGATAGGTTGGACCCCCCCCCAAATGGGTGGGTTTTCCAGTGGTTTCCATTTGAACCACCCAAAACAGGGGGTTTTCTCAAAAAAGAAGCGCGGGAGGAGTTTCGTTGTCCTGATTTCCAGCTGATTCAGAGAAAGCGAATTGGCGGTTTTTGGATGTATTCTGTGAGGAACCCTGGTTTCAACCAGTGAAACCCAAGTTCACCTCTCTTTGGCCCCGCCCAGGACTGGTCGGAGGCTGAGGGGGGCAGCCTGGTCGATCTCGAGGCAGATGAGGAGAAACTCGTGCCGATCTACAACTCCCTAGTGGTCTTCGAGGTCGGAGTTTTGGCCCTGGGCGGATGGAGCGTTTTTTTTAGCTCACAAAGGGATACCTTGAAGGTAGGACTTTGGCCCTGGGCAGATGGAGTGCGTGTGTGTGTGTGTAGTGTGTTTTTTGTTGGCCGAAAAGGGGTAGCAGAAGCTAAATCTCGGGTTTTGACCTTGAAACAGTAGCCACAATTTCTGCGATCCCCCTATGCTGACACATGCCCATTTTCTATGTTAGGGTTTTCTCGCTTCCTAACTTGCCGGACTTTGGCGGATTCTTTGGGCTTGGACCATTTTTGTGGCCTTTACACAAAATTTGGTCACTTGTTTGGGCCAATCCACTCAGGAAGGTAGACTTAGGGCAGACTAGATATGAAACAGAATCTGAACATATTTTCAGCGTGCCCCAAATGTGGCCGTCTCCAAAGGGGAACACCCCGGTGGGTTCTATTCAAACCCAAAGGTGGTACCCATTTTGATCGGTTGCCACAATTTCACGAGCAAGACTACAGTAGAGTGGGGCAGCCCTCCAGGCTATTCGCTCGACAACAAGCCAGGTGACACATACCGGGGCATCAAGCCATTCGGCCAATGGGCCAACAGCATCGGAATGTATTTCGGGGCTTCATCTGTGCTGATCAACCCACAAGAGAACGCCAATGGCGTTTTGGAGGCAAAGCACCTGCGAGCAAACTGGTGGGGCTTGGGGGGGTGGGGGTGGGGGGGAAGCACTTGCTAGTTCAGGTTGGGCAGTCCTGCGGGGTCCATTCAAATGAAAGCCAACATCGGCCGCTGGCATTCTCACAGTCCTTTACCTGCGTACTTTTTTGTTTTTTTCAGCTACTTGGCTTGTTTGAAACACACCACTTCAAGCAAGCATTTTCCGATGCAACTAGGGCCCTACTGTGGATGGACGAAATCCTGCACCACCTGAGAAACCCTGGAATGATTCGATTCCCCAGCAAATACCAATAAAGAATGGTTTCAACCATGGTTTCAAAGTGGTGCGAACGGACTTTTTCGTCCATCTACAGTATTTCAATGCCATAGTGCAGCATACGCGAAAGTTTCCAGGACGTCCGGCCTTGCCTCGTGCGGGACTAGGATCGGTTTTATTCTGGGCTCAGCATGGGGTTTTTGCGGATGTTTCGAAGAATCCCACGAAATGAGCAAAGAACCCGTACGGTGGTATGTGGGCGTGGCTTGTTTTAGGGGAGCCCCAAAATGGCTTCGATCTTCTTCTTGGCTTGGAGTTAAAGCCACCAAACAGGGGCCCTTAAAAAGGAGAGGCCCAAATAGTCTTCAACCCCGAGCCTGCGTGATGTTTCCATGTTGGACCGGAGGGTACCTGTCCCTTTCTTCCCTGAGGGTGGTTTGGGGGCAGCGGTAGCGTCTCAAGCTTTGGTGCAAATCGACGTGTCTTTATTTAAAGGTACACCTTTCTTGGTGGCTGCAAAGGGAAGCCAAAAGTGAAACCCAACATTTTGTGGGGGTCAACGACAATCTCATTGGCGGGTTCCATGCTAATTAACTAGTGGACAGGAGGGTAGTTGGAGGTGTAGAATTGCAGAATCTTTTTGTGTTCGAAAGGGACCAAACGGGAGCCGGCACCTATTTATCGTTGAGTGGGTGGCCTGGTGATTACACTTACCTTCGGAGAATCCACAGAGGCGTGCTGGCTGCAGACCCAGTGATGAGAAGCGCCGGAGCTGGCAGAGCTGCCCCCACCGAGCGGCCGGTGTTCACTATGGGCGACAACAGCGTCGAAGCTATGGACTTCCTGCTGTTTCTATACGCGGGCTCCGAAGATGCTTTGGCCATGCAGTCAGCAAAGACTGATAGATCTCCTCACGATGCGCGACAGCTGAGCGACCTCATCGCGATGTGCGACTGCTGGCGGAACCCGCCTCGCTACCTCCGTGACGTTGAGGTTTACCTCTTGGCGGGGTGAACCAGGGGGGGGAAGCCTGGAACAGTTTTGGGGGGTTGTCGGAGTTGGTACCCTTGGTTTTAGTTTATATTTCGCCAGAAGGCAAAAGGAGAGCCGAAATCCATTCAGGGGTGATACAAAAACACACACCCATGCCAATTTGGGGAATCGTGTTTGATCTCTTTTTCAATTTCGCGCAGGTGCCGCACTGGCACGCGGTGTCCGCAGTCACTGCGCAGCGCTACCGGCGCCGCGATCGATTCTGGGGGTCTGTTCGTTGATATCTTTCTTGGGTGGTTTTAAACGGGAACAAAAGGACAATCATCAACTTTTGAGGGTGAGACCAACCCACAACGACCCCACATAGGGGGTTCAGGCAAACATAGTAGCAAGGGTTCCTCTTAAGGAAGCGATGACCAAGGACATGGGAGTTTCATTCCTTTCAGCATCCTTTGTTCTTGACAATCACCACACACAGCCAAAACGGCAGGGTTGTTGCAAAGAACGATTGTTGAAATTGGTTTGGGGAATCAACCCTCAGAACTGGCTGTTAAGAAAAACCACCTGTCACATGTACCTTTTGTTGTTTTTTTTCCCCAGCGTTTTTGTTGACAATTGCAAAGTGCTTTTGGTGTCTCTTGAACACCACCGAAAATGGGGTGCCGACAGAAGACCCCTCAAAATCACGCCGCCTTTCCCTGACACCCCTCTTTTCGGGATTTAGATCATTTCAGGTGGTTTCCTCTTTTGGTCTGGATTCATCTTGGCGAAGTACGATGCACAACTGGAAAAACGAAAACAGCGGAGGCAACCGTCATGGCTTTTCGGTGCGCCGTTTTAGAGCTTGGTAGAAAGCATCGGCGGCAACTTTTTGGCGATGAAGATCTCCCCACGATCCCGAAGAGTTCCATTGAAAGAGCCACGGCGCTTTCCGAATCCGCTGCATAAACAGAGCTCATGTGCACAAATTTGACGTGGAGAAATCACGGAGTTTCTGAAATTCGGGTTGCCATGACTATAGCTTCCCAAATATTTCGTTGAACTTAGGGAGTTCTCCTATTTTCCCCTAAACTTGAAAGATGCTTCTGGCAGTATTCATGATGATGGTTTGCGACAAATCCCTGCTCGCCTTCCGCGCAACGGACGCAGGTGTTTTTGTCTTCCACCACTTGTAAAACTTGTTTTGAGATTTCTCATGGGTATCCGGAAACTGCCTCTGCTATTGAACAGGAGCTGCGAATCATCCGCGTTTCCCAGTCGGGACCTCGAAACAGTCATGTTGGGTGAGGTCATTTCCCGGAATTTGACAGCCAAATGGCGTACGCAGGCATTGTTTGGTAATGAAAGACGATGGGCAACCAATAGTGGAAAGGTTACCGGTTGGCATCCCCCAAGCGGCTTTGATGTTGGTTTCTTTGCCAGATGGATCAACCGTTTGACAAGTGCTGACACACATGGAGATTTGCGTGTGTCTCAATTAAGGACCCCTCCAGAATAATAACCCTACCCGTTTGAATAACCCATATTACATATATAAACTCCTATGGTTCGAGCATGCGCCCCGGACGTGGGTTGTTCTCTCCAATGAGCAATGCGCAGCATGTTGCTTGTGGGGAAGAACAAAACCGAATCCATTTGGCCATTTGGGGGATATACATTTCCGTTTGCTGTTTTTTGAAGCGTTTTGAAGCGTTTTGAAGCGCTTTGAAGTGTTTTGAAGCGTTTTGAAGTTTTTTTTTTTTTTTTTTTTTTTTTTTTATAGGCCCCCTTTTTTTAAATAGGCCCCCCTATGTTTTTAAGACAAAGCCGACTACCCGCGAGCCGCGGATTTCTCGGAGGTACTCCATTTTCGGGTGGTGGCACCAGAAGGACGAGCCCTCGGCCGCCAGCTCGAGCCGAAAGCCGACGAAGGCGAAGAAGGCCTGGCCTTGGGACCAAACCTCTGAGCCAAGGTTTGCTGGGGCCACTAAAATAGAGTACAGAAGAAAGTTGGTACCAACTTATTCTAAGCTCTCAAATCTGGAGGACCTAGTCGGGAAACATATGAATTGCTTCATGGTTCATATATGGGTCAACGTGAATTATAACGACCTCACAGGACCTCACCCCAAATGGTGGTTGGAGTAGCCCCCCAACCACCTTATTTCAGGTTGGTGAAACATTATAAGTCACCTAGAACATGGCCGTGGGTCAACACCAATGGGATCCCATTTTGGGGTAGGTGCACCACCCAGTTTATTTGACCCATAACCACATGCGTTTTATATTTTTTGGTTCATATAAAACATGGCTACGAATTTTAATGGCAACCTTCTCAGTAGTGGTTGACCTAAATGATGTCCACCTCATACAGTTCACCCCTAAATGGGTCTGTCTGTTTTTGATGTACACCTTTTTGCTCTGTTTAAGAAAGACACAAACGGACACCACCATTTTGGTGGGTCCCCGAACAAACGACACACCCATTTATATATATATATATGTAATAGTTGGATGTACAATGTTTTAACTGTATTAAAACATATTCTATCCAAGGTTGGGAACACCGGGTTGTAGGTTGCCATTTTCTATGAAACCAAGGGAATCCCTTCAAGGTGGCAAAGTAGTCCTGGGAATCAACCATTTAGTATGACAGAAAGGATAGGAACCACCCTCAACAAAGGTGAGTGGACATAATTCCTGATGTTAATGATGTCCACCAAAGGGTCCCCGATTAAGATTCATTCCCATGTGGCATCTTTTGGGCAATTCCCAAGGGCAACTTGTTGTTTTTCAAGGTGACTGAGCGGCTGATGGAGAGTGGGAGCAGCTTGCAAGCTCCCCAGCTGTATGGGCGTTTGTTTTTTGAGGGTACCCTTTTGAGGGGGGGTGGTTTTTAACCGCAAACTGCGGGGGAAGTTATGATACCCGGCCCTTGTTTTAATCGCACACACACACACACACGATCATATGAGCAACGGAGCAAACTACTTCTAGTGGAGGCCCCCACCCCATCTTCCACATCCGGGCTATGTCAGCGAGGGATGATTTGGCAGTTGCAGGTGGTGCGAGCGAAGAAGAGGACGCTAGCGATGCTCGGGCGCAGTGGCCCATGTTCTGTTTAGAGCAATTTGTCGGGGTATCTTCACGAATCTTTCCAGAGATCCTTCTACCAGACCGCCAAAAACCCGAGGGAGAACGGCAGGTGTTTGAGAAGAAGGATGGTTGAACAGATTGAGTAATAAGCAATAAGCCCTTAGATGTTGGGAGGGAGGGGCCCGTTCTTTTTTGAACTAGGGATTATCGCCATTGCAAATCAAGTGACCGAACTGGGAACGGCAGTTCTACAAGGCGACGGGATTTCCTTCTCAGCCGGTGAGCTTCAAACCCATTTCACGACATTGTAGTTGAATCCGCTTTCAGCAGAAGCGGCACTAGTAGTACTAGTAGTGCTAGTAGTACAGCAATTCGGCCTAGTATCATTTTTGCCAGCTTCCATCTTTGATCAGCTCAGGAGTGGCGCAAGCGACCTGACGCAACGGAAGACGCAGAAAAGCGGCAAAGCGGACTCCGCGTCGGTTTTGACACAAAGCAGCCCTTGACCTTCCCCCGTCAATTTTTATAGTTGGAACCCTCTCGAAAGTGGTTGGTGGATAAACATCACCTAGTTTTGATGTCCACCAAAGGATCCGCGCCCCATTCAAACTCAGGCCGATACGCGTCGTGGTCGCTTTCAATCCTTTACTCGGAGTTTTTATGGGGAGAGGCAACCCCTTAGAAGGGGTTTCAATCAACCACTAAGGTTTCTATCAGGGAAACCCTGACCATGTCCCCCACAAGAAGCAAGCTTTGACCCTCAAATGACCCAATTCACCACAGTTGCTGCTGCTCAGGTCGCATGTCTCCCAAAAATCAGAAGTATGTTTCCACAGGGGTCAACGATTCTTAAACCACAAACCGGCGGTTGAAAACACAAAGAATCGGATCCTTGGCATAGCGGGAAGTGGCCCCTTGGGCGAAGTCGCCAGCGAAAAGGGGCGGTAGTTCGGCGAAAGATTTCGTCGATCCTTCTTGATGGAGTCCGAGGAAAGGGAAAACCCCACTCGCAAGCGATTTGGGGAGACTTAGGTTCAGGCCTTAAAGATGAAGTTTAATTGGGGATTCGGGTGTGACTTTTTTGATGGGTTGCGGATCCTTTGCACATCAGACTTCGATGATTCATGTCCAACCATTTGAGTTTGGTGGTTCCCTAGCAATGGCCATTTTTGAGTTCTAGTGTGCCCATATTCCTGGGTTTTCGTTCATACCAACTGGTGCGATGGATTTAGTCCATCCACACCGTGCAACATTGGTGGCATGTCTGCTATTGAGCCTGGCTCGCTTTCTCGAAGGCTGTGCTGCTCGAGCTTGAGGCGTAAAGGAGTCGCCAGGCTGAAGAAGTATGAATTTGGCTGATGCTTTTGACTTGGAAGGTGAGGTGCCAGTAACTCAGTTGGAGTGATCCAGGGCTTACTTGTGGCATTGCCTTACAGTAGGCTCACCAAACATGAACCACAATCAAAGGTAAGAGTTTTGGTTGGGCAAGGGCTGAGGTATCGTCGTTAAACAACATCAAGCGCAAGGCCGGTGGCAAAATTGCGCGCAATGGGACGGGCTCCGAAGACGCCCGTGCGCCATTCTACAGCGCCTCAGGCTGGCGTTGCACAGAAGCTACCTCAAAATATGAGGCCTAAAAGTGTACAATTCCTCTTGGAGGCAAAGTGGCCTCAACAAAGGTGGCAAAAGGACCACGCTGCCAGCGCTATCCTTTCTAACCCGGAACCCACAAGGCTTGGTTTGTGTAGCTGACGGGAAGCGAGAAGGAAACCACTCATTTTCCCCTTCGAAAGACTCATCGTGCCCCCCTCAAAGTGTAGGTTTCTGCAATTTTACCGCCTTTTGCAGTTGGCTTCGCAATGTTTTGGGATTTCACCCACTCCCGAAATGGGCGGAGGGGGGGGGGGGGAGAAATCGGGCACTCGCTCTTTTTGTTTGTTTGTTTGCTTCGAACTTGTTTGGTTGATGCCCATGTTTCCCTTTGGCGTATTCCCAAAACAAGAGACTTTTGCACTTTCCGGGGGTTCCCCGGTTCACAGCCAGCCCATGTCAGCAGCCAGAATGAAGCTAGACGGTCGTTTCCATTTGCGCAGGTCAAGCCATTTTTGGGTTAGTCCATTTTTGTGAGCCACTTCCAGTTGGTGATGGGATTGGTGGCATGAAATCAGAAACCGAAGGAAGGTACCCAATGGTCCAAACCGGGCCAGCCAAATTCAGAGGGTACCGTTGGGATCATTTCACAGGCCACGCGGGCACTACTCTCTGACAACAGTGATGGCCCGATTGCAGCAACCCGAACGGAGAGATGCAACGATTGATCATCGGAGATCCAGGGTTTTCACTTCCCTTCTTGGATTCTGCAAAAGTGATCACGTCAAAGGACGGCACCAGCAAATCGCAGTTTTGAACAGGCCAAGTCCAGAGACCCCTGTGATCCGGAGCCCCATCTCAAATTTGCGTTTTGGCGCCCAAAACAAAAACACCTTTTCTTGAAAATAGGGACCGCCCCGCCAAAAAAAGGAGAAGAAGCCAAAAGGTTGCCCCCCCCAAAGAGAAAAGAAAAGAAAAGACACACTTTGGTTGCCCTTTCAAGCCAACACAAGGGGCACCTCCAAAAAAGGCACCCCCCCGTTGGTTTCCTCCGCCGCGCTGCGCGCTGCGCGCGTCGTCTTACCAGGCCGAATCCAACCCCCGCGGAAAGAAGCGCGAGAGGCTGGGCCGAGATTGCAACATAAAATGGGCGTGTTTTTTTTTTTGGGGGGGGGGGTGGGGGGCAAAATCCCCGGTTTGGTGGATTTAGAAGGAAAGTCAACCTCCTGATTGGTGGATCTAGAAGGGAAAAGTACCGGGAGAACCATCTTGGCTTTCTTGTTTGGGGGCCGTCTGACGAGCCCAACACGGAGAGACGGAACTGAAGGCTCGACCTTTTTCCCATGGTGCGCAGGAAGCCCCACCGAAAAAAAATGCGTTTTTCCCCCTTTGGTTGCCCTTTAAAACCCACAAGACAGGGGTATGATCTTGACCCAAACGGCTTATTTGCTGTTTGGCCTTGGTTTTGGTCTTTGGTTCGGCCAAGAAACGCAGTCTTTTGAATGTAACAAAGAGAGAGAGAGAGAGAGAGAGAGAGATGCCGTTTGCGTAACCACCGAGGAATGCGCAAATGTTCAGAGTTGCCACGCACCAGCCAGTTGACCTTCATGTCTTAAGGAGGACATACCATGACTTTCTTCGTTCTCCGGTGAGCTCGTCTCCGGTCAGACTCATGATGGATGCAGCGTATTCCACGCAGAGCACCGGGCACCGGGGCAGTGCTACTGACGCGCCGGGTGAGCCAGCGGAGTGCTTTGAGGATCGATCGAGCCAGCCACCCCATCAGCGCCGTTGGGGTTATTTTGTCCTTTTCGGTCAGTTTTGTTGAACGCGTTGGTCCACTGCAGTGAGCATTTTGGAGGGGTTCTCACAATTACTGTTCGGCTCCGGTGGTTGTCCCTTGAAGCCACGGCGAGGATCATGTTGAGGATGTCACTTTGAACCCAGACACAGTGCCATCGAAGCTCCGAAAGGACATTTAGCCCCACCAGGCATTTACCGGACGTGCCTTGAGACGGTCTCCAACATGTCATGGTTGGCTTCCCTGTGAACTGGACACCATGGTTTAATTCACTACTGTTTGAACAACCCAGTTTTGGTTCCCCTCAAACAATGGTGCTCAGGGTTGATGGTCACAATTTTTGCCAAGCTGGGCAAGGTGACTCTGACAATGGCCACCCATTTCGGGTGACCCTAAATGGATTCTAACAAGTGGTGCTGCACATGAACCCATTTGTTACAACCTGTTTGGTCCCTTGAACATGGAATTCATTGGATCTTCCATCTTTTCAGATCGCCGGGCCCACATGTTTGGGGGAGCAGTCCTGCAAATTAATATGGAGAGAGAGAGTGAGAGAGAGAGAGTGGTAGAAGAGAGAAAGACAGAAAGAGAGACAAAAAGGAGGGCGAGAGAGAGAGGCACCCTGACGATAAAACAGGTTCTTTTTTGGGCAGATATGTTTGGCGGTCCCATGTGAACTTCTTAGCCTTGCTTCCACCAGCAGCGAAGGTGCGACATAGCTTTTGGACCGTGTTCCTTTTTAAGGAGGCTCCTGCCGCCCTCCAATTCTTTGTTGGAGGGGTGTATTTGCATTGTTCCAGATTTGTGGCTTGCTTGTTGTGTCTTGTCGCGCCATACTGTGGATAGACGAAATCCTGCGCCACTTGGAAGCCATGGGAAAGCAAGGTTAGTTGGTTAGAGGGGAATCATCAGAAACCAGGGGCTCTCAGGTGGTGCGAAATGGATGTCGCAACCGTCCACAGTAGTATGCAGCACTGGTGACGTTGAGTCGCTCTGTTTGTGGTGCGATGCTCTTCCGCGCCAGGCTGCCCTCAAAGGGCCCGGAGCTCGGGGCGTCGGGGGGCGCTTTGGGGCTTTGTGGCGGGGCTTTGGGGCGCTTTCGGGGGTGAGGGCCTGAGTCCCAAAAGTCAACCGAGGATGTGCGGGTTTAGGGGGAGATCTCACGGGTGTCCTTTGCTCTTTTTGTTTTTGGCTTGGGCGTGTCTGCTGAGAAAGCCGGAAAAATCTCAGCCTTAGCTCAGAAAGCTGGCTGTAGCTCAGCCCCAGGCCATCCTCGGTTGGTGGTTTGGTGGTTGGCTTCGAACCCAGTTCCTGCCAAGTCCCCAACGTCCAAAACCTTTGGGCTCCAACCCACCAGGAGGTCTCACCACACCCCAATGCCAGACTCCAAATCGGACTAACATCCAAACCGCCGAGCCTCAACTGACCAAATCGGCAAATGGGGGTAAGGTGAAGGGTTGGAAGCTATACTAGGTCCCCCAGCTAGGTGCTCTATTTGGTTGGGAGGGTTCCCCTACTCAAATAGACTACAGAAAAAGAGACCGTACCCTCATTCTAACCTCTCAAATCTGGAGGACCTAGGTAGGGTTTCATCCATCCTGGTGCATGAATGGAATCATCACAGTAGGCAGTCTATTGATTGTTTGGGGAGGACATCCCAGCACAGTTTGCCAAATGATCGGGGGTGGCCGGCCCCAATTTTCCCATGTCCTTTTTCGCAAACATTCGAACCATTGGGTTTGTCCCTCTTTTTTAGGGGACCCCCAAAATGGTGCTTTTCCTTTTGGTTTCAAAAGGGGTACACACCTATTTGTCCAGGGCTCAAGCGGGCTTTCGCGGCTCACCGTCTTCGGCTCAATTTTCCCATGAATCCGGCGAACTTTTTCAGGCGCTTGGCCAAAGCCCCTTCGAGGCGAAACCAAGTCGGCGTCGCAAGCGGAAGCCTGGGCCTTGGGAGAGGTTGCTCCTTGATTTTGTTTTGAGACTTTGCATTGGTTTGCGTACATATGTGATTGCTTGCTGGTGTTCTTGTTTGTTTCTTTCGTAAGCTTGCTTGCTTTGTTGGTTGCTAGTTTTCTTGTTTGTTTGTTTGCTTGCTTGCTTGCTTGCTTGCTTGCTTGCTTGCTTGGCTGTTTGCTTGTTTATTGGTTGTTTCCTAGCTTGTTCGTTTCTTGCTTGTTTTCTTGCTTGTTTGCTTGCTGGTTTGTTTGGTTGTTTGCTAGCTTGTTTGTTTGGTTGCTTGTTTGTTTTGTTGCTTGGTTGCTTGCTTGTTCGTTTGACTTTGCTTGTTTGCTTGTTTGATTGCTCGCTTGTTAGTTTGCTTGCTTATTTGATTGGTTGCTGCTTGCTTGCTTGTTGTTTGACTTTGCTTGTATGCTTGCTTGTTTGTTTGACTTTGCTTGTTTGTTTGACTTTGCTTGTTTGCTTGACTTTGCTTGTTTGCTTGTTTGCTTGTTTGCTTGTTTGATTGCTTGCTGGTGTTCTTGCTTGTTTTGTTGGTTGCTTTTTTTTGGTTGCTTGCTTGTTTGTTTGTTGTTGTTTTTGTTTGTTTGTTTGTTTGTTTGTTTGTTTGTTTGTTTGTTTGTTTGTTTGTTTGTGTTTTGTTTGCTTGCTTGCTTGCTTGCTTGCTTGCTTGCTTGCTTGCTTGCTTGCTTGCTTGCTTGCTTGACACCGCAACCACAAACAAGACACACACACACACACTCGCAGAACCACAAGGTCCCCCCAAACAAGAAGTACCACGCAACAGCCGGGGAAAGCAAGCAACACCGCAACCACCCCACCTCCCCGCTCTCCCCCCCAAGCAAGACACACCCCGCAACGAAAACAGATGCTCCCCCCGCGGCCCCCGGCCCCCGCCCCCGGCCTCCCCCGTAAAACAAGACACACCACACACCACACAACAGCCGGCGAAAGCAACGCGACCGAGGTCCAGGACTCCGAGGCGTGTCTCCGTCGGCGGGTGCAGCGTGCGGCGCGGCCGAAGCTTCCAGGTCGGGTTGGGTGCTGGGTCTGGGAGGGCTGACGGTGGGAGGCCCCAGAGCCCAGGTTGCTCCATCCGTCCATCCGTCCATCCGTCCGTCCCTCCATCCAGTGGGTTCCACCTTCCCAACACCCCGGCCCTGCAGCCAGCCTTCCAATTTTCCCAGGCCGGCTGCAAGGGCCAGCTTCAGGAGTGGAGGCCTTTCTTCAAGCTTCACCCAGCCAGCTTGAAGTGGGTGTGGCTCAGAATAGGAAGGCCACCAAGTCGCCATGATTCTCCTTTTGGTGGTAACATCAGCTTTTCGGCGTTGTAGGGAACCCAAAATGAGCGGCTTCCCGATCCAAGGTTTGGTCACAGTTTTAGAAGTCCATGGTTCATTTGGGAGAATGGACATGAGTGGAGTTTTGACCATGGTCAGGGAACGTGATTTCTTTAAACCAACCCGCAGGCCCCCTTCCTTTCAGGACCTTTCGGGGCGCAGATGAAATGTTTGAGGCACGAAATAGATTGTCTTCTCTCTCAAGGAAAGAAGGGACCCAGAGATGGACATCTTTTCCAGGGATCTCAGCTTTCACTTTTCGGTGCGTGCCTTGCAGGGAGGACTTCGCTGAGCGCAAGAGCCTTCGAATAGCCTCCAGCTGGCAACATTTCAGCTCCGGAACCCCTACCTGGTCTAGAACTGGTGAGACGGGCACTGCGCATTTCCAACAGGTTGGACATCCCTCCAACCCGGTTGGTTGGGAGAGAGGCTGGCTGTTTTGACTCAAGCTGCATGTGTGTTTTCTGTGTAACATACCCGTTTTGGGGGTGGTTCTTAATCACAGGCAAGCCAAGAGGCAGCCCCTTTTGGGGGTCCAAGGGCCCCTGTGGATGGTTGAAAGCGAAATCCAGAAATCGCACCACCGAAATCAGAACCCCTGGTGTCTGATGATTCCCTTCTAAATGCCAACAAACAAGGCTTTCAACCATGTTTTTTGAAGTGGTGAACGAATTTTGTTCATCCACAGTGGTTCGGCACAGCCCACTCGAGGGGATGAGGAGCTCTGGCGGCATGTCTGGCGCTGTGTCGAGGGCGAGGCTAGGGCCGGGACGTCTGGGCAGAGAGTCATGGCATGGCAACTCACCATAAGCAAACACGTGGATTGATGCATTGACATTTGTTTTACTTTTGTCGCTATTTTTGTTTTGATATGTTTGCATATTGTTATTAGTAAAATAATACTACTACTAATAATAATAATAATAATAATAATAATAATAATAATAATTAATAATAATAATAATAATAATAATAATAATAATAATAATAATAATAATAATAATAATAATAATAATAATAATAATAATAATAATAATAATAATAATAATAATAATAATAATAATAATAATAATAATAATAATAATAATAATAATAATAATAATAATAATAATAATAATAATAATAATAATAATAATAATAATAATAATAATAATAATAATAATAATAATAATAATAACAATAAAAATAATAAGGATAACAACAACAAACATAACAATAATAATAATACTAAACCATTTACTTTTTAGAGGCCCACCACTTTTTTGAATCAGGTAGGCCGTTCTTGGGTTTGGGTCCCTCTGAAAGTGGAATGGGACCTCCATGTATGTAGGAACTCTTCACCTGCTACCTCGACCATGCATTGTTTGAGTGTTTGACACGTGGACGACCAGCTGGTGGGTGGTTTATCTGAATCTTTGCAGGGTTTCATCCATCCTCCATCCTGGTGCATGATTCCATTCACAGTAGGCAGTCTATTGCTTCTTTGGGGAGGACATCCCATCACAGTTTGCCACACAAATCCAGGGGCACCCAATCGCGTCAGTTGATTGGGGGTGGTGCCCAACCCCAATTTTCCCCTGTCCGTTTTCGCAAACATTCGATCCATTGGGTTTGTCCCCCTTTTTTTTAGGGGACCCCCAAAATGGTGCTTTTCCTTTTGGTTTCAAAAGGGGTACAAACCCATTTGTCCAGGGCTCAAGCGGGCTTTCGCGGCTCACCGCCTTGGATCAAGCACCAGACGCATTTGTCGGGACATGCCCCATTGCCATATTGAACCCACCAGGGGCTCGCTCCTCGGAGGAGAATTCATGGTTGATACCATGGCATGGGTGAGTAGATTTGCTACGTGGTTGACCGTTCTTTTGCCTCGGCTTGGGCATCGTTTGACATTGAGAAGTTTGGCAGTATGAGGCGAAGTTCGTTGTATGAGGGAACCCTGAATCTTCACCCCTGGCTCTTGATGAAAAAGCGGAAGATGATTGCATGCTTTCCAAGATCGGAACCCTTCTCGCGAAGTGACAGTCTGACCGTGGTATACATTCAAGCAGCTTTGCATGCTTCTGAACAACCTTGGCTGGCATGTCCCCGGCAAATTTGCAAGCACAAGGGATGTCGCACAAGCAAAGTAGATACACAACTCCAGACCCTGTTCTTACCACCCAAGGACACACCAGATTTATGGCGACTCCTGATGAATACCCCCCGCCATTTTCTTTACCAAAGGTGCCTTTCTAAAGGCGCCTGAATTTCTTCCACGAGCTGATCAATAACGCAGGGGTTTCATCAAGGGGGTCTCAACATGGCTCAGGTTTTGACCAAACCACCAACTCAAACCCAGCTTCTTTTTAATTGGCCCACCTAAAAAAAGGAAACACAACAAAAAAAGCAAAACCTCACCCGGTTTGGACCCTGAAACCGCCCTTACAAGTGGGAGGGCTCACCGTCCAATCTCTGCTTCTGGCAGGCGCCAAACAGCGCCCACGAGCCGAAGCCGCGGGAGCCGTGCTATGCCCTGGTAGTGTACCGGAGCCGCTCGGCTTAGGCACCTCAGTGGCGGGTGGACATACCAAAGGCCCCCCCCCCCCACCCGTATGGTGGACACTTAGGGGCTATTTTGCAACCTCCTTCTTTTCGGGTATTGGTTTTTAGGGTTGAGTCTGCAAAATAGACTCTAGGTGTCAATGGCACCCCCTCCCTCCCTCAGTCAAATTAACATGGGCATGTGTGTGTCTTAAGTCTTAATGTCACACGCTTGTTTGAAGGGACAAACAAAAGCACAGACTTGGCGGGTTGCTCTACGTGGAGACACCCGAGTATTGCCAGCGGGGCATTTTTGTAGTCCGCTCTGTGGGTTAGGGACTTGCAGTAAAGATCCTCCGTTTCAAGAACCCGACCCAGAAGGAGCATTCCGGGTCAGAAGCGAAATTGGCGTAAGCTCGCAGACCGTTAGTAACCGGTTGAGGGAATTCAGCAGAGGCAGCATCTTCAAATATGTCTTAGGTTGGTTAAGGCAATCCCAAAGGAAAATACCCAATTTTTGGTGCCTGAAGCTGTTCACATTTGGGCCACACGGGCGGCTCAAATTCCTTTTTTTCAGGCTCGGGTGCCTTGTTTTTTCAGGGGGAACAGGAGGAACACCACCATTTTTACCCAAATTTGAAGGTCTATGTTGAGACAAGCCCCAAATCTAGAGGGGCCAGTTTCTCAGTTGCGCCGAATTTTTGGAGCCCACAGTGGACCTTATTCGGGTGAACACCTGAGACCCTTGGGTTTATCTTTTTAAGTTGATACTGCTCCAGGGTTTCCTCTAAGGCCCTTTTTGGAACCTGCAATCGTGGCGATCGTTTCAAGGGAAACCACCAGTAAAATGATGAGCTTGTGAAGGGGGACATCCAGTGACCCCTGTCTCTGTGAAGAATAATTCAAGTGCCGCCCTCCATGTTCGGGGTTTCATTCCTTACATTTCTGGGTTTGGCTTCTCGCGGGTGACAACGTGCACCAAAACCTAGAGAGATTCTCAATGCCAACTATGCAATCCCGGAAGGCCTAAGACCGCTCGAACATAAGATAAATCAGGAATTTGCGACTTATATTATATATACGCATCACAATGATATATATATATGAATGGAATTCTAGCAGTGTACATGGAACTATACATAGAATTGCATTACATTCAAATACAATTATTTCATTGCTATCACAATTCGATGTGCATTATCTCTCTATAATTGTAACTCAATACTTGTTGTAAGCAAACCAATCAATGAGAAATCCTTCTCTGGAAACATACTGTGGATGGTTGCGAAATCCATTTCGCACCACCTTAAAAAACCCATGGTTGAAACCCTCAGTTGCCCAAAGCCGACCTTTTAACCTTTTGGTTTTCCAGTTTTGGTCCATTTTTAGTCATGGCCCCAAAATGTTAACCTTTTATTTCTGGGTCCTTTGAGCAAGTGAGAATCCATGTTCGTGGGTATTCGCAAGGAAATTGGATCAGAAGCCAGGGGTTCTTTGGTGCGTTTTATGGATTTCGCTTCACGTTGCCGTGCCGAGGGCTTACGGGCAAGCAGCCGCCAGGCTGGGCAGCCGACTTGGGCGTCGGTTTTCCCAGCCATGGGGGCTGTGGAGGGGGAGGGGCGGGGGAGGGGGAGGAGCCCAAAACGCCACCCTGATGAAGCCCCCCAGCCCTGCCATCATGGCCCATGCTCTTGCCGCCATGCCCAGCCATCCCAGCCATGGGAATGGAAGCGCCTGGTTTCCCATGGAAGGCTTAACAAGGGCTTATTTAGGGCTTGCTTGGGCTCCCTCCTCCTCCCCCCCAAAAGGGCCCCCATAGCATAGAGTTCCTTAGACGTTTGCTCACTGCCGGAGTTTCCTTTGGACGTTTGCCACTTTTTGCGGAAGACCATAGTGGCCTTTACACAACGTGTGATTACTTTTTGGCCAGTCCACCCAGAAGGGACATATCACACTACTACAAGTTGAACTTCTTTTTTTTCCAATGCATATTTTTTATTTTTCCCTGTTGGTTTTAAAGGGAATCTATCAACTTAAGCAAATGGAGGTTTGTTGGACCTCCAATCTCCCCTTGGCTTTTTGTGAACGCCCAGCTTTCACCCTCGGATCGAAGGGCGCGCCACCTTCGGCCACTACGCCTGGGCCTCGGCGCAAAAACCCTTCAGGGGTTTTCTGGGGCAACCGGCGACCTGACGTTTTTTTTGAACCAGAAATAAAGGCTTAACCGTTTAGGGCTATTTAACCAAAAATGTTGGTTGAACTAGAAATATTGGGCTAGCCTTTGGGCCATTAAACCAAAAATGGGAACCCAACAGTGATTGTCCCATGAGGTAAGTTGGCTCAGTATGACCCACAACCCCCCAGAAAAAAGAAGAAGCCAAAGGCGCACTCTTTTTGGTGTCCAAGTTGGCAGACCTGTGGAATGAGACAGGGAGTGGACAAGTTCCTTCAGTGTCCTCAATTCGATGAAGACAGCCTGCTTTGTCTACTACGTTGGTCATCTTGTCTAGGTCCCCCAGTAGTGCCCTTTTACCCTTTTTGGGGGGAGGGTTCCCCTACTAAAATAGACTACAGCAAAAAGGGTACCCTTATTCGAACCTCTCTATTGGAGGACCTAGTTGTTTTGTTTCCTGGTTTGTACTTGCATTTTGCAAGAGCTTGAGAATGAACTCTGACATGAAAGCCAAGGACGTGTCGTATTGCTCATGGAACCAATATTTGGGCCCTTCCTCTTCCCGGCCCAGTTTCTGTCCAGCATGATTTTGCCTATGTGCCCGGCTCACGTGCCCATTGATTGAACCCTCAAATACCCGACCAAGGGATTGCTTGATTGCTATTGGGTTGGATCTTTTGACTTCAACTGTTTGGGAAATCAATGGTTTTCCATCCGACCCACAAAAAAATATATATCTTTTTGCAGGGTTTTCCATTGGACCCACAAAAAGCAACTTATGCAGGGGTTCTCCATGGGACCCACAAAAAAGAGTTATATTCATTGCAGCGGGGTCCTGCTAGAAACCAAGATTGTTCCAGATTGAGGTCACCTCCAAACCTAGCGGACGCCTGACTCCACGCGTTGCGTTTTTGGCGCGCCGGGGCCTTCTTTTCTTGCGGCACTTTGGGATGGGTTTTACGCGACAGTTTTTCCGTGAGCCAGGGGAATGCCCGTGACAAAGTAGTAGGGCAGGATTCCGATCCCCCTGTTGTTGGCCGGTTTTTGTTTGTTTGGCTTTTGTTTTTGGGGTGCATGTTTAGTAGGGGGCTGCAACCAAAAAGAAATAAGCTTTTCTTTACCACCGTACGCATGGATTTTTCTTCAACAATTCTACAAGAACGGAGTACCCTCCCATGGAAGTGGTTTCCGCAGTAAGACGATGTTTCTCCGGGACAGGGAGGCGCCTCCCCATGTTCCGGTAGTGTTGGAGGGGCTGCTGAGGATTCTCCGGCAATCCGAAGGAAGAATGCAAGCAAACACCGCATTCTTCTTGCTGGTTCTCGGCAGGGAATGAGGGAATGACCCCGATTTGCACCATCCCCCATGGTTTTCTTTAAGGGAATCCCTAGGTTCATTCCCAAAACCCTGGGTGATTCCCTACTGAGCACCAGAAAGGCTTTGGAAGCCTTTGAACAAGGACCAAAATGAAGAGGGGCAGAGTATGTCGGGGAACCCAAGACCCAACCCAAAGCACACAAAACGCGAAACTTGAGGAAAACCTTTTTGGGCCCAACATGGGTAGGGGACCCGACCCCCCAAAATAGTTGTTTTCTCTTTTGGTTTCGCTTTAAACCACCAGAAAAGGGAACCCTCGAAAAAGACACCCAACATCTTTGCAGCGCACCCCTTCTGTGTTCCCCATTGCCTGTCTGGAGACCCAGAATCGGGAGAGCCGCTCGAACGCCAGCTAGCTAGCGACCTGTTTCGGACCTCCGTTTTAGCGTGGGTGTATGCTTGAAGGGGCAGAGTTCATATTTTCGGAGTTGGTCCCCTTTGACCAAAACCGAAACCGAAGCTATTTTGCCAGGGGTTGATTCCGTTTCCATTCTTTTCAACCATTGTTCTTTTCAAACACCGGCCGTTTTCCCTGGTGTTCGTGCGGTTTTTGGAAAGCAGGATCCCTGGAAAGAATGGGGAAGGTACCCCTAGAATGGTGTATGCTTGAAGGGGCAGAGTTGTTAGGAAGTGGGTGATAATCATGGTTATAACCCACTTACCACCGTTATAAGTCTCCTAAGTGGCTTATAACCAGGCTTACTTGCAACTGACTGCTCCTTTAAGTGGGCCCCAAAACTGGTGGGGGTTGAACACTTTCCACAACCCAGGGGTCCTTCTTTCATTCTTTTTCAGGGAGCCACCAAACATCCAGGGGCAAGACCCTGAGTTGTTAATGTGGGGTCAATATGGCTTTTGACTGCTTCTGGGCGTTATCAACGTCAGAAATTGGGTTCGGTTGTTTCCCTTTATCCCTGCCGCTTGGGTGACTTTGGTAAAATCATGGGCCCAATTTGTGGGCAACCGCAAGAACCGGTGGGGGCGACCCCAAAAACCGGGGGCTGGTCCTGCAAAAGGACCAGGCACCCCCGCCACACGGTGGACGCCTAGAGTCTACTTTGCAGCTCTCTTTAGGTGGTGCGTCCTTTTTCAAAGGTACAGGGACGCCAACAGGAGAACCGAAGCCATTTTGGATGTTGGCCGCCCTAAAACAAGACAAACCCAGAGGAACCCACGCATCCAAACATTCCTTGGCCGCCAAAAGGACCACTTGGGGGTGATCCTAACAAAACGACACGCCCAAGTGGCCCAACTTGAAGAACCATCTCCCAACTTGGGACACCTCTCCTTACCAAACCAATCCAAGCCACCAATCCAAACCGCCAACTTGGGGGAAGCTGAGAAGAAGAGAGACTAGTAACCCACTTACCATGGTAAAGTAAGTCCCCGAGAAGACTCATGACTATGAATTGACCAGAAAAGCGAGTCGTCCCAAACCACCAAACCACCAAACCACCAAACCACCAAACCACCAAACCGCCAATCCGCCAATCCAACCAACTAGGAAGAAGCGGAAAAACACCCAAACCTTCCCACCAAAACAATCCAAAATACCAATCCAAAAAATACCAATCCAAAAAATACCAATCCAAAAAATACCAATCCAACAAATACCAATCCAAAAAATACCAATCCAAAAAATACCAATCCAACAAATACCAATCCAACAAATACCAATCCAAAAAATACCAATCCAAAAAAATCCAATCCAAAAAATACAATTCCAAACAATACCATTCCAAAAAATACCATTCCAAAACATACCAATCCAACAAATACCAATCCGAAAAACCTAAATAGAAAGAAGCTGCGAAGAATCGACCCCACGCGCCCCTAGCGGCGGACCAGGCCCTCCCCCCCCCCAGCCTCGGGGCCCGAGGATGTGTTGGGCCTGGCGCGGAGCGCCTCCGCGGCCCAGATCCACGCGGCCCGGAACCCCGAGCTTCTCTTTTTTTTGGCCGAAGCCCGCAGGGGCCGGAGAAAAGCCGCAAAGGAGCCGCCTTGTCTTTTTGTGCTCTCTTTCCTCTTTTCCTTTTTTTTTCCTCCAACACATGATACATGATATTGTTTGTCACCTTGTCACCGTCGTTTTTTTTGTTGAGGTTATGTTCTTTTCGGTTGGGAGGGGGGAGGGTGGCAGTTAGCTTCAGTTTCGTGGGGGTGGGGTGAGTTTCTTTTGGGGAAGGGCAGGCAGATGGTTCTTTCCCCCCTTAGGGAGGGGGTGAGTGGTTGGGGTCGCCGGATCTCCCCCCCAAAGTTGGCCGCATCAAGCCAAATGACCTCATGGGGCAAACATGCGGCTCTGAGTTGGAACCTCAAAGTGGACATCATTCGCGACCCATCGAATTCGATGTTCACCATGTTTTCTGGCCCCTGAACATCACGCAACCATGCGCGTGATTTTATTTAGCCCCCGTTGATTCTTTGGCCCCTACACAGGATGGCAAAATCCTGCAAAACTTTGAAACCATGAGACACCATAGTTTCTCGGTACTTACGGGGGAATCGTATCATTCCGGGGTGTTTAGGTGGTGCGAAATGGACTTTGCAACCATCCACAGCATGTCCGCGCGGAAGGCCCAGAGTCGGCCTGTGAGGCCTACCGACGGAGGGCGTTGGCGACCCACCCGGACAAAGGCCGCTCTTTCGCCGGGAAGTTGGCCAAGCCCCGAGGTGTTTGCTCCCCAAATTGATGGAGCGACTCTTCAAAGAAAGGGGTCCGTTGCCCAACAGGAGATTCTGGTCCTAAACATGGCGGGATTTTTGGGTTTCCATGTGCTGTAAGGGGGAGGTTTCTGGATAAGTTTCGGCAGAGCTCCGAAACCAGCCCCTGGCCTCCTTAAAAGGGAAACCACAAAGAGGCTGTGTAAACAATAGACAATAGTAAGCCATCTTTGAACAAGGGGATAAATGGAACGCTGAATCGACACTTGGTCTACTTTACCAGGCCACACGGTTTGCGGACAGCACCTGCGCCCCTGCGCCCCTGCGCGGTTCCCAGAACCTCAGTTGCCCCTTTCCCGTTCGAATCGACCGGATCTGACCTTTGGGTTTTCCCCTTGGTCAGAGAAGTCCTTTGGCAAAAAGTCCGAGGGCAGAGTTGACCTTCTGGATCAGAACCCCAAGAAGGTTCTAAAGACCATTTGTTTGGAGTGGCAGTTGGTGTCCTCATATCCAACTTGGGGGTTTGCATGGGTCAACCCAGAAATAGACCGCGACTCGGATAGGGCTGGTCTTTGGTGTTGGCCAAAGTCGCTTTTGTTTAGCCAAGACATGTTAGACTCACTCTTGTTGAATCAGCCCAGTTCTGCTGCAGCAATCCGATTTGTTCAAAAACGCTTGTGTTCTCCCTCCTTTTTAGCATTTTCTCCCAGCGCCTGGTTTGTCCGCAGGCGGCAACGTGGAAGAGTTCCGCCGGGTGGTTGCCGCGTTTGAGGAGCTGGCTGCCGCTTGGAAACCAAAGTGGTCCACTTTTGGGACCAGTGGAATTCTTAGAGCGTCCCTTTCAAAAACAAAATGGTCCTCCAGGAGCCCTCAGTCAGGTTCCAGGGTGAAGGTCCCAAGGAATGATGACCTTTTATTTCCCATCGCTCCGAGCTCGGGCGAGTGAGGAAGAAACTTGGAGCCATAGGTGTCCTTGTTGGTAGTTTTGGTCGAAAAATAGATGGCGATTCCTGGTTTACCTGGTTCAATCATCTACCAGGGAAACCCATCTATTTCCCCTAGAAGGACGCCTACCTAGCCTATGCATGCAAGATTTCCCCGAAAGGACGCCTATGCATGCAAGATTTCCGCCCTTTTTCCCCAACAGCTGAAAGCTTTGGGGTCTCAGCCCAGATAGGCTCCGGGGTGGTCCGGGGCGGCCCTGAGGTAAGGTTCCCACGAGGGTTCCACCAGGGATCCAGAGGTTCTGCGAGGGCTGCGGTGCGAGCAGTAAAAAGAGCACCACATGCTGTTGGGGATATCACGTGAGCTTGTTATTGATATGGGGGTGTTCCTCTCCAAAAGTGATGAATCCTAAAAGGATGCCTATCGTTGGACCCCTTCTCGTGATGTGCCAGCGTTGCGCCGGTGAAGAGTTCCTCTCGGGAGCTCAGGACGCGCGGCGCCGCGCCGCCTACGACCGCGCGCTGCGCATGTTCGGGCGAAGCGATGGCACTGGGCAGAGCTTCGAGGTGCGGGAGGTTGGGAAGCGGAGGGCCTCCGGGCGCGCAGGACGAGCCCAAAAAGCCACCCTGATGAAGCCCTAAAGCCTTATTTAGGGCTTATTTCATCGTTGTTGTTGGGAAACATTTGAACCATTTTTGCTTATTGTGGTTTAGTGGTTGAAATCCAACCACTAAACTGCAAAAAATACTATGGTTAGTTGGTTGAACGTCCAAGTAAGTGGTAGCGACCATGCATACAACCGACTTGGACTTACGACGATGAGTAGATTATAGCAACTGGATGAGTAAGTAAGTGATCACTATGGCTAGTGGTTACAGGGTTTTGCGCTTTTAATGGGAATCTACTTGCTAGTTTGAAACCAGCGGACGGGCTTGGCGGTTGTGGTTCTGGCTGATTTTGGGCTGGTTGGAGTCTTACCCTGGATGGTTCTCGCAGGATAGATACTTTAGTGGCAACTGGAAGCACTGGCTGGTGTTAAGAGGTTCTCTGCTTGGTCTCCTCTTGAAAAAGCCCAAAGCATAGGACACCGGCGGAGATGGATCTTGGCGCCTTTCAGCCATAGTTCATCAATGCAGTAGACTTCCCTAGAACTAGTTCCCCTTTGTATTTTTTTGCTTTTTTGGGGTTCCTTTTGTTTTCCACTAACCAGGCAAACATATATATCTTTTGCTGGGGTCCTAATTCCAGCCAAGTAAAGAAATATAGGGGTTCCAAGCCATACTCAACGCATTGCTGAGGTGTTCGAGCTAATTAGCAAGTAGGTTACAACCATGCCTAAACCCTAAACCCCCCAGTTACCCCACTTAGAACCATGATTGTAACCTAGTTGCCTGACGTTGGTTGAACATCCAAGTATGGAACACCTATGAGGAAGTTTTCTGGGGAAACCAACATGGTTAAGGGAAACCAAGGAAACACAAGGGAATCCAACCCTGCTTAAGGGAAACCAGGGAAACCAACAAACTGAGGGTTTATACCAAGTTGGTTGAACATCCAAGTAAAGCGAAACCAAGGAGAAAGCAAGGGAAGCTATCCGTGCTTTAGGGAAACAAGGCTTTAAGACTTCGGGAAACCAATCAACTAAGGGTTACCCTTCCTCCCACAAACAGAAGGCACCCAGTGGGAGGGTGGAAGATCAGTTTCCTCTTGGAGGTGCCCTCTGTCAGGTGCCCTTTGTCAACGTGGGAGGGACGGTACTGCTGTGGATGGTTGCGAAATCCATTTCGCACCACCCAAAGAAACCCCGGAATGATACGATTCTCCTGTAAATACCAAGAAACGTTATGGTTTCAACCATGGTATGAACGTGGTGCGAAACGGATTCTGTCCATCCACAGTAGGGGCCCACAACGTGCGGCCACATGTTCTCCCCGCGTTTCCTCAGGCCACGGCGGCCACTTCTCGCGCGCCAGGAGGTGCGCGAGCGCCTCGGCTTCACTGTTCTTAGTGCCTCCCAGCCATCCGGTTCCTTGTAGATCTGAGCCCAGCGTTGGATCATGTTTTTAGGGTTGCTCTGAGGTGCTCCCTCAAGAAACCATGGCAGCTCTGAGGATCTCTGGTGGTTTTTCGTTTCTTTTTCTTTTTAGTGTTTTTTTGCAGCTCTTGGAGGGGTCTTGACTGCAGTTTCCCATGTTTTTGGCTTTTGCGTTGCTTGGGCCTGTTTATGTTTAGTAGGGGGCCGCAAAAAGCGAAGCGGTTTGCTGTCGTACCGAGGGTTGGAAAGGGAAAAAGTGTCAAACTGGGGCAACAAACATATTTTTCGCAGGGGCGAATCGCATGGGGTGTCGTTTTTTAGGGGGCCACCCCGAAAAATGGCTTCCCTTTACCGCCAGAAACAAAAAGGAAGTATACCCACATGGAATCTCCAAAAGAAAGCAGGGAGCTTTGGGTGAACCCCATGGCGCGTGTGACATTTGCTTGTGGTTTTTCAAAGGACACCAAAACAAAACCATTTTTTTGGGGGTCATAAGGGGCCCACATGTTCTCATGGGTCGTCCTGCTTGGTTAGCGAGCGATCACCATGGCTTTAGAGGGCATCAGCATCCTTGAAGGATCCAAGCAGTTGTTTTTTTCAGCTTGGTGAAGATTCGACGATTCGATTCGACCAGTTTCATTTTGGTGAGCAATCACTTAGCAGCAGAATCGATTTGGGGGGCCTTTTTTGAGGGTACCCCTTTTTGTGGTTTTGAAGGGACACCAGCAGGAGAACCATTTTTTTTTAAAACATGGGAGGGGGAGGGGGTCCCCTTATCCATTTGTTTTGCCAAAGGACACCTAATGCCCGGAATGCTTTTCCAGAAAACCATCAACCCAAGAACAACGGAGCGGTTGATTCAACAAATTGACGCCCAGGCAGGGTGTTCGGCCAAGTTAGCAAGTGGTTGGCCCAGGTTATAGCTTGTTGTAGCGTTATGACCTAGGCTAACCACTTACCAACTTGGCCGACCCAACAACTTGGGTGTTCAAGCTACTTAAGTTTACGGGGACCCAATTGCCGACCACTTACCATGGGGCATTTGGAGGAGGCAGTAGCGATCCCGCAGCCGTTCCCCTTCCTTCCACACACAGAAGGCACCTGTGGGAGAAAGATCAGTTTCCCCTTAAAGGCACCCCCTGGCAGGTGCCATGGCTAGGTGGGAGGGAGGTAGTTCCGGGCTGGAAACGTCACACTCCCAAAAACCGGATTCCTTTTATTACCGCAGCCTAGGGCACCTGTCAGATGAGTATGGGTCAAAATTCATCCATCACAAAACCGCAGGTTTGAGTCAACTTGCTTCCATCTACCTGGGTTTCATTTTGGGTATCTATTTTTGACCCACACCCAGCTGGCCATGGCAACGTGGGAGGCATTTTCCACCCGGCCGCCATCTGACCGCCCGAGCGAGGCGCTGCAGCTGCAGCTCCTGGCTTCGGCGGCGATGGAGCGGAGGCTCCGGGAGCTGCCGCTGGCCCAGCTGCAGGCGACGCGGAGTGATGGGATGGGTCGCTCGACCCGTGGGAGGTCTCTGTGATACTGTGGACGGTGGCGAAATCCGGCTTGTCCCATTTATAGGGGTTCCTCTATCCCAAGTGCACCCACAGTATGGGGGAATGGTCAAAAGGTCCGTGATACATGGGATGACCATTGCTTGGGGAACCACTAACAAGCCACTAGAGAACCACCAAAAAGATGGTATTTCAAGCACTAAATGGGAAAGTTGCCCGTGATCATTTGGGGTCCAGGAATATTGCCCCCATGCGGGTTGATCAATATTGATCACCCCCATGGGTGTACACAATATGGGATATGGGGGTTCCCGAACCCATTCAGATCAAATCACTTGAAACAAGTCCTTGGGTCAGGTTCTGTGCCCCGGCTGAAATCTATGGCGTCTTTGCCCAAACCCCGGTTCGCCCACGCTGCATCTGAGTCAAGCTGTCGGTTCGTCCATCCGGCGCCACCGAAAAACCTCGCAGCCTACTGTGCATGGGCGAAATCCATTTCGCACCACCTAAGAAACCCTGGTTTCTGATGATTCCCCTGTAAATACCAACAAACAATGGTGTCCTATGGTTTCAATTTGGAGCGAAATGGATTTTGTCCATCCACAGTACGTCCCTTAGCATTCTGAACGAAAGGTGAAGCATCAGAGATGCCTTTGGGAAAGATGCGAACCTCTGAGTTCGCTTGCTGGGAAGAATCCCACGCTGGCGGATTTGTCGGAAACTTGTCCTGTTTGATCGTTTTTTCAGCTGGGGATGTGTTAAAATAGGGGGACCCTTCAAAATGGGTGGTTTCGTTTTGGCTTCATTTGAAATCGACCCAAAAAAATAGCGCCCTCCAAAAGGACACGCCCATTTGCATTTCAGAATCTTTGTGCTTATTTCTCTTGTTGGTTCTAAAGGAGTTCGGCAGTGGACATATCTTTAAATATTTTTCCAGTGGACTTCAGCAAAGGGAGGTCATTCTCTTCCCTCGACCATCCATATGTTTTGCGCCTTTTTGCCGGTTTGCACGTGAAACTGGTCTTTGGGCGCCATAACATATTTTGGCTCCTTTTCCAACTCTAAGTTTTCTTATTCCTTTGCCGTCCCGAAAAGGGGTCTCACGTGTTTCTCATGCATTTCTCATGGGTTTCTCAAGCGTTTCTCAAGCGTTTCTCATGTGTTTCTCATGTGTTTCTCATGCGTTTCCCATGGGTTTTCCATTGTATTCTTTTTGCATGCTCATTTCTTCTCCATCCACACGGGGGGTTGCTTTCGGACAGATCCGCCTTCCAAGTTTCCCATCAGAAATCCAGGCCCTGGATGAGCTGCTGCGGGCGAGGCTGTGGGGAGCTTTGGGCCTGTCGCGGCGTCAAGTTGTCTTGTTTTGGGTTGCACCCCCTCCCAATGGTGGGTTTTCCTGCTGGTTTCCCTTTAAGCAAACCGTTTCAAAAGGGGTAGCCTCCAAAGAAAAGGCAGGCCCAAGCTACTTCTGCCGGCACCGCTTGGAGGGCAATTTGAGGAGAGTCACTTTTTAGGATGTTACGTAAATGGACCCAGTACTTGTACCTCCCCAGGCCGACCTCCATGAACCTTTTTTTGGCAAATTCCATTACCTTGCCATAATCCTCTATATCCTTGATTTTGGATGATACCATTATAAATACCTGATACAGTAGGCAAAAGGGTCCAAAATCTTGAGAGCCACCCAGGTCAACTTGGCGATTCCCAGCCGTCCGGCTTGTATTTTTTGGGCTTTTAGTGGGTTCCGTGGGGGTTTCCAACCAAAGTTAAACATTTCGTAGGGGATCTGACACCGAGAACAGCCCAGGTTTTCCCGGACAAGAGCCCTTCCACTGCCTCTTTTAGGGTGCGCTCACCGGCTGAAAAAAACTGGCCAAAGCCAAGTTGGGTAGCCAGGCAGAAACCATCATGTAAAAACAGGAGGTAAGAAACCCTGTTTGCCTCTTGCGGCGACCAGAAACACTGAAATAGGGACCCATGTCCATGGGTTGCTCCACCCTTGATGGGCTATGGGTGTTTCCTTGGTGGAATCAGGTTGCGTGTGACCTCCACCCGCCCACCCCTCCAAACGGAGTCCTTAGCCTCCGGATGGTTCAGCTTTTTGTTTTTTTTCTTTTTCCGGCTGGGTTGTTCCAGCCCTATTGAACACCGAGAGATGTGGACTTGATACTTTCTGGGAAGGCCGTTTTGGCCTTTGCAAATGCACCTTATCCGCGATAGCAGCTAAAGTCGCTGGAGCACTGCGCTTTCTGTCGCTAAACAATACTTCCCGGTTGTGTTCAAAGTAGGTTTTGCGGCTCACAACCTCCTTACTTTTGGGGTTCAACCTCCCATGAAAAGAATGGCAAGGCAAGTGATGGTGGACATGTCGGCGCCCATTGTTTTCATGGTGGTAGTCGAACACCTGTTTCATGTTGGTGGTTTAATGTTTTAATGGTTCAATGGTAGGCAATGGTATGGAGTAGCGGTATGTTGCTCGGACAGTATAAGACCTGGCCGGACCATCAAAGTTTTCGGGTCCTAAACGAGTCCGAGCCAATGGTTTACTGGTGGTTTTCATGTCGGCTCGCTGCTTAAACCTCGGTGAAGCCGCTGAAATCGCAGGCCGCTGAAGCGCTTCATGCCCAGCGCGGTGGAGCTTGGGCCCAACGTGGCGCAGCTCAGGCCGCCGAACAAAAATCGGTCGATCGGAGCGCGGGGGCCGCTTTGGCGCGCCTTTGGTGCGCCGAGAAAGGAGTGAATCCGATTCTTTTTTGGTGGTGCCCAGCCACAGACTTTTCGACTTTTCGAGTTTGGAGGTGGATTTATGAGAGGTTCCAAGATGAAGTTTTAGCAAGGGATCAAGAAACCACTAGGGCTTGAAGTGAGGTTGGTTTATCGGAGAAAACAGATATGAACATAGAGGAAGCGCCTTCTACCTGAAGACCGGCTCAGTGATATTCCAGGCCCTCTGGGGTGAGCGTGCGGTTGATAGTTGAAATGGGTATCCAGGATGAGTGACTTGTATGTGGTTGATGAATAGGGGTTCTCCCCTGTTAGGGAGGACACCCCCTTGTGGGGTAACTTCCGTTGTTGTATCAAGGGAGGTGACTGAAAATCCCCATTTAGGGGGTGCCCCGTGCCTTTTTTTTCGTTTTTGAGGGGGAAAGAGAGCCCCTTGCGATCCACCAGACTGACTTTTCACTCGCGCATGGGCGGCGAGTCCTTCTTGCTCTTCAGGTCTTTTCAAGGGTTCCCTTCAACGCTTCGCTACACACAATCTTGTTTTCAATTTCCCCTTCGACACAAAGGGTGTGACTTGGGCGTGCGGGTACCCTGTTCAGATTGGGTTTCATTCCTTTAGAGGTCCACATCCCTTGGCACTTGAAAGGCTATGAGACGCCACGAAGGGCATAGCTAACATATATCGGGTCTAAGTCAGTACACACTCCCCGCAAAGGGGATTGGATGCGCTTGCTGTGGTTTCCCAATGTTGGTTTTATTAAATACTCTTTTAGTACTCTTCTGCTATCCTACAGGGGTGGATCCACACAAACCGCATCCAACCCGTTTCCTAGACACACATTGCTTCCATTTGCAAGTTGCGGGTTAGTGTCCCATGATAACTATGTATGATTTTAAATTCCCCCCCCGCCCCCCGCCAGACTAGAAACTGGGGCGGTATGTCACCCAAATGTAGGGATTTTATGTACCTGTTATGCATTAATTTGGATGCTCAACCAAGTTAGTAAGTAAGTTATAACCATGGTTGTAAGCGAGGTAGCTCAGGTTAGCCCCCTTATAACCATGGTTAAGTCTCAAGCAAGACGGGAATAAAAGAATGGGACCTGAGGGTTTTATGGACACTCATGCCTTTATGCAAGGCCTGCCCTGGGCTCCAAATCACGGGGGGAAACTGCACAAGCGGCAAGCAAAAGCGGCCACACACACACACACACCCAGCACACACTTTTCCCATGGGTTTTCCGTTTCTTGCAACGTGGTAGGGACCGGTCCCTGTGCCGTTTTTAAAGCCAGTTTAAGCCATCACTTGGACCAATGGTAGGTGAATTTGGTCTTCGGGATTGCTTCGATTGATGCAAGCCCCGGCAGACAATTGAGAAACTGTCTGCCCTCGTGCCTTAGCAACAACACGGCCACCTTTCCCCACTTAGGGTTCCCATCCACCAAAAATAGGCCCATTCCAAAATGACCCAAGTGACCAAATGTGTCTGTCTATTTTTTAGGGGACCTCCAAATGGGTGGTTTCCTCTTGGTTTGCCTTTAAACCCACCAAACAAACGTACCCCAGTGCTTCCAGTTACCACTATAGTGGGTAACCAGGGGACATCATCATGTAAAGCCTAGAGGTACGGCACATAGCCGGCCGTGAGGTTTTCTCATGCACGTCACCGCCTCTGCGCTCATGCGCTGTAAATTCCATGGGGAAACGTGTTTTCCTGAGACACAGCCTTCTCCGCCGCAATCACAAGCAGTTTCACACGCAAACCTATGTTTCGTCCCACGAGCGCCACGTTATTCAAGAGTTCGAGGACTGTTTCGCAATGGGGTGCAACTACTTGCAAAGACACAGCAAACACCATTTTGCATGCCGAGAGCCTTTGTATCACCGTTCCTTGCTGAGCATCATATCACCGTGCTTGTCACAGAAAGGGTAGCCCCAAAAAGGAAAACCCTCTGCAATCGTCGATGTGTGGTCGGAACACCACACTGGCAAGGACCCCACGTTCAATTTCGAAATCCTGGTCGGCCACAGAATGTTTATTGACATATATATATATATATATATTATACACACGTGCGTTTATATACCAATTCCTGCAGCGGTCTCCTTTTGCTACTTGTGTGAACCCTCTGCGCAACAGAAAATGTCCCTCCACTTTCAAAACATAGTCCAAATGCATCGTGACACGGCAACGAACATATTTACATCCCCCTCCCCCCCCCCCCCCCCGTGCGCTGCTGCGTGTACGATGGGCTCACGTAAAGCACGACGTAATTGCATCCCCACCCCACGTGCGCTGCTGCGTGTACGATGGGCTCACGTAAAGCCGACGAACGTAACTACATCCACATCCCCCCCATCCTCCCCCCCCAATATCCCCCCTTCAACCCCCCCATCCCCCCCCAACCACCCAATCAGCTGAAAACCCCACGGCCGTCTATGTGCCGTGGACCTACCTGGTTGCCTATAGTGGCGAAACGCCTGGAAGCACTGGGTACCCTGAAACCAAAGGACACCCCCAAACAGCAAACATAGGCTCATTCCAAAATGACCCGAGTGAACAAATTCTGTCTTCTCCAGCGGACCCTTCAAAATGGGTGGTTTTCGGTTTTCCTCTTTGTTAAAAAAAAAGGAGGCACCCCCAATCCCGAAGAGGACGTTGGACTGCAGGACCTTGGGCTCTACTCACGACTCACGTGCGCCAGGGGTGGGTACCGGGTGAGCTTGGCCTGGCACGGGCTGCAGCTCTCGAGCAACCTCACTCCCTGCCTGGCGCAGGCTGGAGTTCCGATTCGGCGGATTTTTGCGGCACCGAGAAGGGTGTCGTTTTAGAAAGCCAAGAAAGACACAACCTAGGTCCCCCAGTACTGCCCTTTTACCCATTTTTGGGGGAGGGTTCCCCGACTAAAATCGACGTCCTGCAAAAAAATAGGGTACCAACTTATTCCAACCGCTTCACTGGGGGACCTAGCAACATGTGGCTGGGGGATTCCAGCCATCCGGTTCCTTTGGTTTTCAGATCTTTGTAGTTGCTCAGTTGCCCAAAGCGAATCGACCTTTTAACTTTTAACCTTTTGGCTTTCCAGTTTTGGTCCATTTTTAGTCATGGCCCCAAAAGGTTAACCTGTTATTTCTGGGTCCTTGGAGCAAGTGAGGTTGGTGTAGTGGTAGTTTCCACCAAGTTATTCAGTCTTAGCAGAAAATCTGGGAACAGCGCAGCTTTTGGGGGTTCCTATTTTGAGGCGATGGTCAATTTGCCAGCCTGGCCAAGCAACCCGGACCGTCGCCGTTCTCACCCAGTCAATCCCAGTTACTCAGTATAGTAGCTAACTTCCCCAGAATTAGTTCCCCCCTTTTGTTTCTTTCTTTTTGTTTTTGTTTTCGTTTTTTCGAGGTTCCCTTTGCTTTCCACTAACCAGGCAAAACATATTTTCTTTTGCTGGGGTCCTAATTCCAGCCAAGGGAACTCCTCGCCATTTTCTGTTTTGTGTTTATATCGGGTGGTTTCCATTCCCTTGGTTCAGTTCGTTGCCACATGAAAACGGGCCCTGGGCAAAGGGCTCTCATCCTTGGTGCCCTACGACAACAGACCTTAAGCCAAACCCAAAACTCCCCAAATGAACGGGCATGTCGGTTTTGGTTTGCCCCACTAACTTGCTTTCTTGAAGAAAGCATTGGGTTCTTAGACACACATTTGTCCTTTTTGCATTTCTTGAAAGGACACACATTCGGGTGTGTCTTTGTTTGGAGTTGGTACCCCCTTTTGGTGGTTTTTACAGGGAAACCCGAAGGACAGCCCTTTTGTATTTTTATTGGGGGGGGCACCCTCAAAACAGAAGACTCACCCGTTTGGCTTTTCAATTCCACAAGGAAGAAGAGCTTTCCTCCCAGCTGCATGCGATCTCTGAGCTCCGGAGAACGGGAGTCCGGGGCAGCTGGTTGCCAGGCCATCGACTGGCAGATCGCTCTCCAGAGCTTTGGCTTCTTCATTTGATTTTGTGTGTTGTGGGGTGAGCTCGGGTGGTTTGGTTGGGTGGGTTGATTGGGTTGGCTGGGTTGGTTGGGTGGGTTAGGTGGGTTGGCTGGGTTGGTTGGGTGGGTTAGGTGGGTTGGGTGGGTTGGGTGGGTTGGGTGGGTTGGGTGGGTTGGGTGGGTTGGGTGGGTTGGGTGGGTTGGGTGGGTTGATTGGGTTGGCTGGGTTGGTTGGGTGGGTTAGGTGGGTTGGGTGGGTTGGGTGGGTTGGGTTGGTGGGTTGGGTGGGTTGGGTGGGTTGGGTGGGTTGGGTGGGTGGTTGGTGGGTGGGTGGTTGGTGGGTGGGTGGGTGGGTGGGATGGGTGGGATGGGTGGGATGGGTTGGTTGGGTTGGTTGGGTTGGTTGGGTTGGTTGGGTTGGTTGGGTTGGTTGGTGGGTGGGTGGGTGGGTTGGTTAGTTGGTTGGGTTGATTGGGTTGGTTAGGTTGGTGGGTGGGTGGGTGGGTGGGTGGGTTGGTTGGGTTGGGTTGGTTGGTTGGTTGGTTGGTTTGGTTGGTTTGGTTGGTGGGTGGGTGGGTTGGGTGGTTGGTTGGGTTGGTTGGGTTGGTTTGGGTTGGGTTGGTTTGGTTGGTTGGTCTCGGTCGGTCGCTTTGATGGTCTCGGTCGGTGGGCCGGTCGGTCGGTCGGTCGGCCGGTCGGTCGGTCGGTCGGTTGGTTGCTTGGCTTGGTTTCGCGTGGTTGGTTGGTTTGATTTCGGGAAAGCCAGGTCGGTTGGATTTGGTTTTCTTATCTCACACTTGGGGTTTGGTCCGAAAATTCGTCCGTGGGTGAGCAGACGGACTGATCAGCTTTGCTTTCTGCGGTACTTGAGGGGTCACTGGATTTCCAACCAAATCACAAGTTGATCAATCGACTGGTGGTCTTTTTTGAAACCATCGCCACTTTGGGAGGTTCCAAAAGGGAATGCTGGAAGTCCTGTTCTCCAAAATCCTGTGATGCAGTCATCCATCGTTGATTTGGATTCAGTAGCGTGACATCCCCACAATCACCTGTCCACCTGGGACCCATGTCGCTGCCTTTTTTGATGCTTTCCGCCTTTTCCTACAATAACCAACATCTTTCGGCTGAACATCCTAGTGTTGACCTCGGATTCATCCATTAGGGGGGTGTTCCCTCCAAAAGTGGTCTGAATCCCCTTGAAAAGGAAACCCCCTATTAATCAACCAGGGGTTGATCAAATCCGGGTCAACATTAAACCAGTCCAACCAAATGGGGGGGGGGTTCACGCAAAGGGCAGAATTCCAGCGTTCATGAGGACCAAACTGAACCGTGCAGTGTTTTTTCGCGCGTAAAGCTTATCTCTCCCGAAAAATGTCAGAAGGAACTCAACAAGCCCTCAGTGTCTGAAAGCTACTAGACTTCATAACCCCTTCCGGAAGGAAGCCCCCTTAGGGACCTTCATGAGCTCCCACCCAAACACACCCTCCCCTCCCAGCTTTTCCAGGAGACACAATAAGAGGCCCGCCCTGTGTCGGGTCTGTGACGAAGCCACGGGGTTTCGCCGGGACCAAAATCGAGCCGAGGCAGCTACGGGCGCGCGCGGAGCGCCGGCTCGCCGACGAGAACGCCGGTTTGGAGAGGCGGGGTGCTCGCTGCGGTGTTCGAGTCGCCAAGTGAGCCACAAAACCCGAGTAGATGAAGGTTAGTAAGGGGCAGTCCCAGCCAGAAATGGTTGCGGAATTCCGCCTTCTTAATTCTTTACATGGTTCTGGGGATCGACCATTTTATTACCGGGTTTTGATTATGACTCAAGTTAGCACGTGATCGCCGCTTGGGGGTCTTACACACCCCAAGGTTAGTTTTTCAGAGGGGGGCCTTATAGGTGGGAGGGGTGTTCGTTGCCAAGTTCGGTAAGTTGGCTACAGCCTTTGTTATAAGTGGGGCAACTGCGGATAGCCTGCTTGTAGCTGTGGTTGTAACCTACTTAAGTAGCTTGAACACCCTTAGTTGTTGGTAACCCAGGTTATAACCCGCAAGTCGCCCGTTCAGCGGGGTTGGCCTTGTTAGGGGGTTATACTCCAAGTGACTAACCACTTACCAACTTGGCCGAAGAACTCAAGTGGTTCTCAGGGAAGCTCATTCCCCGACCGTGGTGGTTCCCCGAATCGGATTCCTTACCATGTTTGTCCCTCTTCCCTATTGCGAGTTTGGTGACCACCTCAAGCAATCAGCCAACCAAACACACCCACCCACCCACCCACCCACCCACCCACCCACCCACCCACCCACCCACCCACCCACCCACCCAACCACCCACCCACCCACCCACCAACTACCCACCCACCCAAGCAAGCAACCACCCACCCAACCCACCCAACCCACCCAACCCACCCAACCCACCCAACCCACCCAACCCACCCAACTCACCCAACCCACCCAACCCACCCAACCCACCCAACCCAGCCAACCCAATCAACCCACCCAACCCAGCCAACCCAATCAACCCACCCAACCAAACCACCCGAGCTCACCCCATAACGCACAAAATCAAATGAAGAAGGGGCAGCCTACGTCAGCGTTTCGCAACCCTCGTTCTAACTCGCTGAGCTCCCGCGCTGGCCGCGCCCCCGTTCCGGGAGCGAGAGGAGTCCGCTGCTTTGGGAGGAGCTGCTGGACATTGCGGAGCAGGAGCCATCACTGGAGCCCCTTGACCTTTGTTTTTTAATCATGTGTTTGTTTGTTTGTTTTGTTTTGTTTCGTTTTGTTTTGTCTTGTCTTGTCTTGTCTTGTCTTGTCTTGTCTTGTCTTGTCTTGTCTTGTCCTGTCCTGTCTTGTCCTGTCTTGTCCTGTCCTGTCTTGTCCTGTCTTGTCCTGTCCTGTCTTGTCCTGTCTGTCTGTCTGTCTGTCTGTCTGTCTGTCTGTCTGTCTGTCTGTCTGTCTGTCTGTGGTTGTGCGCGCGCGTTGTTGTCTCTTGTGTTTTTTCTGTTTTGGGTGTGTTTGTTTGGGATGGGGATCTCCTTCGTGCTTGGCGGCTTCAAGGTCGTTTCGAGCTGTTCCAACTTGGAAAATTTAATAGCCATACAGATGTGTGTCTTTTTGAGGGTACCGTTGGTGGGTGAAGGGAAACCAAAAGGAACATAAAATAATTGGGCCTTCTCAGATATTCTACTACTAAAAGGGCTGGGGAACCCTCCAAAAGTGGTCTGACTCCAACACCAAAAAGGGACAGGGACACATCTTGTCAATTCAACCAGAGAATGGATCCGGGTCCCCCATTAATCTATGGCAGGTTGGGCCACAGGTCCTAACATGATTAGACCATGGCGGAAAGCAACCTTGTTTCCAAGGGAATGTTCAGTTCTAAGCGGTTTCCATTCTAACACCTCAGGGGACCCGTACCAAAAGCCCAACTTGGCTTCAATCCAGGAACCGAACCGCTAATCCACCAAGAAAGGGGCATCCGAACTGCTTGACCGTTTTTGTTTGCGCGTGTCTTTTTAAGGTTGGACCCTGTACATGGCGAAAGCAACGCCGTTCCAGCTTCTTCCCTTCAAACACCAAAGGGCATTCCCTTTGGAATTTCCCTTAAACACCAACCAGCAGGCGGGTACCTACCAACTCACCAAAAGACGAGCGCTCGTTTGGTTTGCGCAGCGAGGCTCAGCTTCGCAGCGGTGTGGAGCAGTGCCTGAGCGGCACTCTCGGCCTCTCGAGCGTCGGCGTGGGCGAATAATTCGTGGGCGGTGTGAGCCGGAGACCAAATCGCACCCCTTGGTTGTGGGATCACTCGTGCTTTATGCCCGGTTTATCCCCACTGCGCCTCAAGGGAATGCCTCTTGTTCTGTTTTTTCCCCTTTTTTTGGCGACTTCCTGAGTGTGACACAAATCTGCCATGGAAGAGAGACCACAACCGGCCGGGGTTTTTCTGGGGCCCCGGTGTTCCGCCACTTTGGGTCGATTCTTTTGGTGGGGATCCCTGCAGACGCGGACTCAAAACGGCACCGGGGGTGGGGCTGGGGGAAGAAGATCGTTGCAGGGGATCGATCCAATTTTTCTTCGGTTTCAGAGGGAAATGGCCCCATACAACGGCCGCCTGAAAAAAAAATGGGAACCCAAGCTTAAGAGAGACTCGATTTTTTACAGGAAAAGCCCCCCCTCTTTGTTTTGTAGGCTCAGTTGACGAAGCGGATCGAGCTTTTGACCCTTTGTCTTTCCCCCTTTTCTGGTCTATTTTCGTCCAACGGTCGACCTTGTATTGCCAAGTCCAACTCTCGGGCAAGTGAGTCGTTTCTATGTCAATCCGCAGGCAATGTTGACCGCATATTTCTGAATCCTTCCCAGGACTAGGGGGTGCTCCCCCCAAAAGTGATGAGTCCCAATAGGAATAGGGGCCACCCCCTACTGTGGATGGACGAAATCCTGCACCACCTAAGAAGCCCTGGTTTCTGATGATTCCCCTGTAGATACCAACCAACAATAGTCTCAACCATGGTTTCAAAGTGGGTCGAAATGGATTTCGTCCATCCACAGCACGGATCAACCAGGGAATTATTAATCAGAGGTGCATTCTGCTTGGATGCTAGGACTTTAACTTTTTGCCAACTAATGTGTTTTCCATTTAACCACTAAAAGTTAAACCTTTTGCAGGGGAGCAGTAAGCAACCGAGTATTCCCGCAGCCAGTAGCTTTCTTTCCGAGGAAAGTCAAAGCCTTCGACCTCGCCGGTGGTGCAGGACGGAAGGTTCGTTCCGGTCAACTTGGGGACGTTCCACAGGGAGCCTATACTTCCATTTGGTTAAGAATATGTTTTAATTTTCCCATGTTGGTTTGAAAGGGAATCTATCACTACTGGACATATTCTTATTTTTTCCCAGGGGACTTAAGCAAATGGAGGGATAGGCTGGGGTCATTCTTTGGACCATTTCTTGGGTTATCCAAGTCAGAGTTTCTTTGGGTTTTGATACTGGTAGAAGAACGGGGCCCGCACAGGGGTCATGGTGGTCGTTTTTTTTGTTTTTTGTTGCTTTTGGTAGGGGCGAGGTTTGAAGGGGAAATGCCAGGGAAGCCTGCGCAAACCACCTGTCCCTTCGGAGCCCCAACCAGGGTGTGCTCTCTTTCTTTTTCTCGTATCCATTTCGTGACATCAACCTAAGGGTTGATGCCAAGCATTACCTTCACTCGTTCTCAACAGATAAACCACCCATTTTCAACCAGGGGTTTGGTATTTTTCCTATTCTGAGAAGGACCCCCCGGTTGTCGTTGGGACACATTTCACATGTTTGCTTCTCGTGGCTTGGTGGTTGAACTCCAACCACTTAACTGCTATTTTTTTGTTCTTCAATTTTTGCTCCCCTTCCCTTTGAAACCCCACGAAAGCCAAACCCCTATGAAACCCTATATTAATTAACAAAAAAAAGAAAAACATGAACCCCATGAAACCCAACGTCAACCAAGGTTTGGGGGGCTTGTTTAAGACAAGAAGGTCTCTCTTTGGGAGCCCCGGGGCTCCCAGCGATCGAATTTTTTCCAAAAGGGGCGAGGCTGGCCAGGTGGGTAAGACAGATACCTGGACGAAGGACACCATTTTCGGTGCAGTACCCACAAAAGGGGTACAAAGGCGTACACAGCAGCAGAGTTCTGGAGGAAGAAAGAGCCTCGCTGATTGCGACCTGTTCCATGAATATTCAAACCTGCAGTGTAGACTTCTTGGTGGTTCACAGCCATCCCCTTGGCTTTTTAGCCTTTTAGTGTTTAGTGGGGATTTCCATTGAACCCACTCAACGGATCTGAGGACAGCCCAGTTTAAAGGGACCGGGTCCGGAACGTCAGGTTCCACGTTTGGTGGGAGGGTCATTGGTGGTGTGGAGCCGAATCGGTGGTTTGGTTAGGAATAAGAACCCCCTGGGCTACCCACCAAGGTTAACTCCAGGATTTGAGAAGGGAAACTCCAGGGGTTTCTTAAGGACCCTTCTCAACTCCTGGAGGATCTGATCATGGTACCCTTCCTAAGGACCAGAACATGTCCCCCTTCAACTATCTTCAAGGAGTATCAATATCGTGTAATCTACCCATTGGGGATCAACAACTCCTCAATTTGACAAATGGCTGTGGGTCAAAACCCTATACCCCTGGTGAACATCAAAATAGGCGGGCAACTGGATGTTCATCCACCCCCAAAATGGAGCCATGGGTTCTGCCCCATGGCCCAATCAAGTGTCACGTAGCCCTTGAAAAATTATATACTTTCTGATGGCACGGCTTCCATGAGGGGGGGGGGTTTAAGTCCCTAAAAGTGGCCGAAGGCCATGAGAACTTCCGAGAGCTCCTGGAAAGAGGACCTGACTCTGGCCCTGGACTTCTGGAGGCGCTTCCAGGCGCTGCCAGGCGCCTCCAGCGACGCGGCCCCTGGTCTGAGGTCTGCGTCAATGAGTCAAAAAGGCCTGGGTGTGGGGCGTGACTTTGATGATGGTAAAATAATGAGGCCAGGGGAAGCCGAGAAAGGTAAGTCAAACTAACAAGGATGGGGTGTGGAAAGATGTGGTTCATAACAAGTATCCCGTTTGATTCGAACATCGAGTGGCTGATTCTGCACCGAGAAATAAAGCTGCATTGTAAAACACGGACCCCCTTGTTGGTTGGTCATGAGCTACTTGGTAATCGGGTTCGTTCTCAAATATCCATGGTTACCCTCCATGGGTGGGAGGGTAAAATCTACATAGCCATAGGAAAAAAGGCCAGCACTTTCTCTGGTACCCTCCCACCAATCAACATAGAACCTGACAGGGGCCCCCAAGTGATGGGTTAAAGGGAAACAACCGAATCCATTTTCTGACTTTGACAACCCCTAGAACAATCAAAACAAATGACCCTAGTTCCCCTTCCACTTTCCTTCCACACCCCCTCCTTGCTAATTTCCTTACCTTTTCGGTTTCCCCTTCCACTTGTGCTGCCAGACTGCTTCATCATATGGGTGTGGGTCAAAATTAAACCACCAGACCGCAGGTTAAATCGTCCATGTTTCCATTTACTGAGGCAAGGCCTTTTGGGGTTACCCTATTTTTGACCCGCAGCCAGGGCCGAAAGTCTGCAGGCTGCTTCTGGCTGGTCGATTCAGCTGGTCAGCCCAGAGCCTTTGACAGTGTCCGAGGCTTTGCGGCGGCTCAAGCAACAAGCTGCCGCGGAAGCCAAGCAACTTGGATGAAGGAGGTGAGACTGTCGTGGTTGGGGTGGTTGTGTTTTTTGTGGTTTTTTGTTAGTTTTGTGGTTTTTGTGTTTTTGTTGTTTTTGTTTTTTTGTTTTGTTTTTTGGTGGTGGTTTTTGTGGTTGTGGTGGTTGTGGTGGAGGTGGCGGAGGTGGTGGAGGTGGTGGTGACGGTGGTGGTGGTGGCGGTGGCGCTGCTGGTGGTGGTGGTGGTCGTCGTCGTCATTGTTGTGGCTCTATCGATGCTGTCGTCGCAGCATTTGCTGCTGTCTTTTTGCTGCTTGTCATGCTCGTTGCTTGTTTTGCCCCAGTTTGTCAAGATGTTTGACTCCCTCGTCCCGAACCCACAGCCTCCACAGATGATCTTGAATTGAAACAAAACATGCCATCAAAAGAGGGGAGAGGCGAACGGCTGTTTGGCCTTTGGCTTTCCTGCCAAGCATGAAAGTGCACCTTCCCCTTTCGTGGGATTTCCTTTTGGTGTCCCTAAAAACCACAAACAAGGGATCAAACCATGGTAGGGCGCTTTCCCCCTTCTTTTGAGACAATCCCATTTCGAGAGAAACATGCCACACCCTCCTTGGGGCTTCGGCGCAATCCGCGTTTTTGGAGCCACGGACACATGTTCCCGCTGGCTCCTGGGCAATCCCTGGCAGATCAGCAAGCCCACGCCAAACCGCGTCAAGTTCTTACTCTCCCCTGGTTTCAAAGGGACGCTCTCACTGGAGAAATGTTCTCATTCTCCGGATGAAATCACGAATGGAGGGTTGGGCACATGTAGGCAAAGACTTCACCAGAAGGCCAATCTGGAATTGACCAGGAGCCTTGCCTACGTTCCTCAGCTTCTAGCTTTTGCCCATGAGGATTGCCCATGGGCGTGTGGCTTTTCCTAGGGGACACCCCCCCCAAAAAAAAATCACGGTGGTTTTCCTGTTCGTTTTCCTTCAGGGGCTCCGAGCCGTTTTCTCTTGGGTGTTCGGCCGTGAAGCAAACAAAACGCCTCCCAGGTGACTTAGTTAAGTTGCTAGCCGAAGTTACAACCCACTTATAAGCTGAAGTGAGCGCGACATGGCAAGTTGTAAGCCTAAGTTACAAGTTGTGAGTCTAAGCTATAACCCGCTTACAAGCTGAAGTGAGCGTGACATAGACAGTTACAACCCGTTTTCTGGTTGCCAGGTGGAGTTCACCCGGGCAATGTTGACCCCAGATTAATAAACCCCTGTTTATTCATATGGGGGTGTTCCCCTCCAAAAGTGATAAATCCCCACTAAAACCAGGGACCAGCACCCCCCATATCAATAAACAGGTTGGTTTATTCATCCGGGGTGTTCATTACGGGGTGCGTAAACCATTTATTCCTACAAATCTCGCCGGGTGTATTCCTCCGGGGTCCGCATCCACCCGGGGCGTACCGTACCGCGAGAGCCCCGGGCACCGCCTCTCGCGCAGGCGCAGCCGGGCGCAGCGGAAAGGCGCGCAGAAGCGGCTGGCCGGCGGCCTGCGCCAGGCGGGGTGACGGGAGACCGGGGGGGGTTGGGGGGGGGGGTGGGGGGGGGGGGTGCCTGGAAGTACCGAAAATGGGAACTCTACCGTGGATGGCACCACGAAATGTTGACCATTGGTGAAACCATAAGGTTTGTTGGTATGTACAAGGGGAATCATCAGAAACCAGGGTTTCTTTGGTGCGAAATGGATTGTGTCCATCCACAGTATGACCTGTTTTTGGGGAAAAAGGAAGAAAAGAACCCCAACCGGCTAGAATATGTCGCGTGGCTGATTTGCGCCTATGGTTTGGTTCCCGGTAATGTTGACCCAGGATTAATAAACCCGCCCCATTGGGGGGGTGTTCTCTCCAAAAGTGGTCGGAATCCACGCTAGAAGGGGAAATCAACCAGTGGTTTGTTAATCCGGGGTTAACATTATAGTAGGTGACCAAGGGTTGCCCCATGATGTAAAGCCTAGAGGAAAGCCGCAGCTTGGGCTGGAAGCACTGGGTGGCATTGCATCTCTTCACTGTTGTCACATCCCCAACGGCCATGGTCTTCCTCCTGATAACAGTGGGACCAATACACCTGACCTCATGCCCTCGTGTGAAGGCTGACCGCTTATGATGCGCACATGTCGAGCTACATCCTGTTGCCAAAAGTGATTGTGAAGCTGAGCATCTGATTTCTTCTTGTTTAGGTCTGTTCCATTGAGTTCTGATTCGCGTTGGCATTGGTCCTCCACCCCCACAACTTGCGACACTTAGGTTAACAACCATGGGCCATGGTTCTAAGTGGCCAGCCGGAGTTCTCCTGTACCATGGTGCTTGTTTTTTTCTCCCTCTAACGGGTTACGGGGTAGCCCGTTTGCTTTGATGTTCGTTGTTCTTCCTAACAAGACCAAGGGGTTTCCTACATATTGAGACGAATTATAAACATGTAGAGCGTAAGTACTTTCATGTTCGTTGCCAACCCAGGTAAGTTACCACGGTTACAAGTGGGAGGACTTACTAGCAAGTAGGTTCCCATACGGTACTTGGATGCTCAACCAACTTAGGTAGGTTGCAACCATGCTTGCAAGTCGTTGGCAACTGGAGTTAGTCTCCTAACCACGGTTATAACCTACTTAAGTGGTTTGAACACACGATGCGAAGGGAAAGTCAAAACGGAGGACTTGATCCAATCAATGTGGCGAACCCACGTGCAAGAGGTGTTCCTTTTTTTCTACAGCCGTTCTGGCGGCCATTTGCACGCACTGGGAGGGATGCAAATTCTGCCTTACGAAAGGAATGGGCCCCGTTTGGCTCGTTTCCCTCAGATGCCGTGCTCCCCTCCTTTTAATTGCGTTCTTTGGGACCCGTTCACTTAATCATCCGCCACAATCTTGTAGGATTTGTTTGTGAACACGAAACCCAAACGAGCAATTAACCGGGTTTCCTCCATTCCCTTTTTGGGCCTCCAAAAGTGGCGATCGTTTCAATGGAAACAACCAGTCAATTGCAACTTGTCCAGGGGAAATCCAGTGACCCCTGATTAATAGGGGCAGGTTGTAAACTACGGGTCAGTCCTGTTCTCCTGAAAAAGAAAACCACCAGGTGCATCAAAACTACGTCCTTCTGGGATTTCAAAGGGTGGCTCGTCTTTTGGTTCATGCCCCTTGCAAGGGGCGCTTTAAAAGGGCAACAGACCAAAGAGCAGCCAAATTTGAGGGTCCGATTCCCATTTTGAAACACACCCATGTAACTCTATATACATACAACAATATTCACATAGGTAAACACACACATGTGTATATATATATATATATACACATCCTGACAATGCATATGGTCAGCCCCCCCCCCAGAAACTACCTTATGGAACGCTACAACATACTACTGCTTTCCACCAATGCCAATGCATATGTCATTTGGGTGGGGATTCATGTCCAACTCGCATGTTGGGAGGTGCTTCCCGATTAAGATTCATGGCATATGTGACTAAACACACATACATATATGTATATATATATATATATATATTACATGGTTCATTTGGGTGTGTCTATTGTTGAGGGTACCCTTTGTTTGGTAGTTTGTTGCAGGAAAACCAAGAGGAACCATTTTTTGGGAGTCCCCGCAAAAAAAGGACACACCCATACATGTATATATATATATACGTATATACAGATATACATATATATATATATGTATATATATATATATCTGTATATACGTATATATATATATACATAAACATATATATACATATATATATATATGTCTACATATATGCTGACAAAAAAGGAATTTCAGGAGTTCCACGTAGGTCGCGGCTCGTCGTTCTTTGCCTTTGCCAGGAGCTCCGGAGACGCCGAAGAAACGCCAAAGAGGCTCACTCTGGAGGCCCGCATCCGACGCGCGGGACATGCGCAAGCGGGCGAAGACGTGTGACTGTTCTTGGCGGGTCCCAGCCATTCTCTCTCAGGGTTTTTAGAGGTTTTTTGGGGTTAAACGTGGCAGTTTTCAAAACCCAAAAAACTACAAGGAACATTTTTAGCGGGATTTGTTTTCGGGGGGTTTAGTGGCAGTTTCCATTCTCTCTCAGGTTTTTTGGGGCTAAGTGGCAGTTTCCAAGGGACGGAATTCCCAGAGGGAGGGCAGATCCCTAAAAGCAACCTAAGATCGAACCCTGGGAATTGAGTTCCCACTGGATCACTTGCATTTGAAGCCTACAAGTAAGATTTTTCGCAGGGGATTTGGGAAAAGCCCGGATTTGTGCCCCTTTTTTATGGGGCACCCTTCTCAGATGATCAGATGGGTAACCGCCGGGCTCGGGGCCGGGCTCGGGGTGGCAATGTAGTCCACACAGAAAACTCACACATGCAAGCAGCAGGGTTCCAGATATTTTTGTTTGGGGGTTGGCTTAAACATCACCTTTTGGGCCGGATTGAAGTATGCCCCGTCCACCGACTGGGTCGTTTCAGTGGACATGGACCGAAGCCCGCAGTTGAAGTGAGTTTCCATAGAGGGTCCTGTTTGTCACCATGTCTCTAGGGGTTGATTCCGTTTCCATTAGGATCGTTGGAAAGAATGGAAACGGAAGTTACCCCTAGAATGTCAACAAAAGCCAACAGCACACAAACCACCTTCCGGGGTTCCAACCTGTTTTGACACAGACCAATGCTAGGTCCCCCAGTAGTGCCCTTTTACTTTTTTTTGGGAGGTTCCCCTACTAAAACAGACGACAGAAAAAAGTTGGTACCCTTATTCTAACCTGTCTACTGGAGGACCTAGAATGGAAAGCCTTCCCCGGAGTGGCCACTTCAGGACCTGCGCAGCAGCAGGCGAAGCAGAAACCGATCGACGGATCGACGCCGGATTTGACTGGCTGGCTCCTTAATGCTTTGGGGGAATATTTTCACCTTTGTTCGACATGTTTGTATATGTTTGTTGTTGTTTTGGTTCTGTTCATTTGTTGGGGGGGGGGGGGGCTGCAAAGAACACATACATTTGCTACCATACCAATAGTTGTAATGATAAAGAACCATAGGCCAGGAAGATGAACTTCTATTTTGAGGACTTTGAGGGAGGGATTTGCCAAAGACAAGCACTGCATGGCAAGCGCCACATTTCACACTTGGCCAATGTGGGCCTAACAGTTTGGGCAGGTTCCCGTTGTGCGTGTTGGGTCATGCAAGGGGAGGGGGGATTTGGGGGGGGGGGGGGGGGGGGGTTGGCAGGGTGGCAGACTTGCAGCCCTCCAAGTTTCTCTCTGAGTAATCTTCCCCAGAATTAGCTCCCCCTTTTTTTGGGTGCTTTTTTGGGGTCCCTTTATTTCCCACTAACCGTCAAGAAAGATATTTTTTTGCTGGGGTCCTAATTCCAGCCTAGTAATGTTGACCGCATATTATACAATGTGAGGGTGGGGCCTCCAAAAGTGGTCCGATTCCCCACAAAACCCAGATTGATGTCCCCCCTCACTAATAAACAGGTTGGTGGATTAATACTGTGGATGGACGAAATCCTGCACCGCCTAAGAAACCCTGGTTTCTGATGACTCCCCTGTAAATACCAACAAACAGTAGGCTCCTATGCTTTCTTAGGTGGTGCGAAATGGAGTTTGTCCATCCACAGTATAATTAAAGAGGTTGGTGGATTACTATCATAGCTGTCCTTTTTGGTTGGTTTGCTTATAAAATAGAGGGCCCTGGTTTAGATGGGGTTTATTCCATTTACCAGGGAAACCCATCTATTTTTCCAAAAAGGACACCTATGATTACTATGTGGTCAACACTTTTTTCTGCGTGGTTGAGCCCGCCGGAATGGATTCAGATCTGAACCGGGAAGGATGGGACGGAAAAACCCGGAAAGCAGAGGTGCCCGTTTTGGTGGGTTTGGCTGAGAAATAGAGGGACCTGGTTTGCCGGTTCAATCATCTACCAGGGAAACCCATCTATTTTCCTAAAAAGGACACCTGTGCCGGATTGGTGGTGAAGAGTGTGATCTGGCGAGCCTTGTTTGCTCGCTTCTTCGGCAGTATTTGCCGACCCCAACTCGCCACCTGGTTCATTCCCCCATTCACTGCCTGTGTCTTTTCAAGAGCATCTTTTGCCCGAATCTATCAGCTGCCATCTACGGTCTGAAGCCGTACTTGTCAACATGATAAGGTACCCTCACTCCCACCAAGATGGCATCTGACAGGGGGTCCCTCCCTTTAGGAGGAAATTGATCTTCCAGGTACCCTCCCACAGGTGCTGTGTTGGCAAAGTTGTGAATGATGCGGATTTTGCCGGCACCAGTTTGCTACCCCACTTCTGATGTCACCCCAAAACGTGTCTGTTTTCTGCCTGGGCTTTGGCCGGGACAAATTTTGTTTCAGTGAGTCCATTACTTCCCAGAAGGGGAAAGCCACTTCACCAGCTTCTCCCCAGAGGAGCTTGCTGCGAAGACCAAAAAAGAAGGCTGGCAAGACAGTGTTCATTCCTTTCCTTTCATCGTCTTTGGAGCATCGGTGGGCCAGAGAGCCGGGGCCTCCCAAACTCTCTCGGCCAGGTTGCCCACTGTGAGACCCGGCTGGCTGCTTGGCTGCCGTGTAGCTTTTTCTTCCCCGACGGATCAGGAACCGCCTGATTGGCCGCCGAAACGCTTCCCCAGTTCACTTATACATTCTGTTGGTTCCAGCCCTTCCCACATGAATTCGTCTTCAAACACGGGGGCGGGGGCCCCATAAAATAGCTGGCTTCCTTGCGGTTTCCCTGTCAGCCCACCCCACAATGGGGACCTTTCGCGGAAAAAGAAAGGCAAGCATCCATTTTCTCCTATATTGAGGGTCGTGGGATCACTCGAGTTTATCCCCACTTCTGTGATACAAGTGATTCCCTTAAAGGACACCAAAATCGTTTTTTTTCTTCTTCTTTTTTTTTTTTACTCCTTTTTTTCTCTCATGGCGTTTTTATTTTCTCCATATTTTTCTCCGGGGTTATGACACGTTTCTCATTCCCTGCCTATCGGCAGCCAGTTTTTTCCTCTTTGGGCCTCCCTTCTCCGCTTCTGCTGCTTGAGGCTTGAGGCCTTCGTGCTCGGTTTTTGGCGGCGCTCGTCCGTGGGGCTGGCCGTGGGGGCTGGAAAAACACCCGCCGCTTTGGTGGGCTTTAAAAGGGAAACAATTCGAGAGAAAAACCGTGGCCGCCGATTTTTTTGGGGGTCCGAGTCCTAAGGAAAGATCTAGAACGCTTTTCATTGGAGGTGGTTGGGTCTTTTGTCACGCTGTCAAAGGCGAGCCTGAGGAGGAAATGTACAGGGAGCCTTGGGCTGCTTTACACAGCAGTTTGCTCTTCTAAAACGAGTCACAATCAAAACCCGGAGGGTAGTAGGAATCCCAGCCATAAATGGGTGCGGCCGCCTTTTCAATTCTTTACATGGTTCTGGGTAGACCATTTTATTACCAGGTTTTGATTGTGACTCAGCTGACAGGGGGTATTGGACTGGTCACTTGAGCATCAAACCACCTCAGGTCTGTCAGTAATCTCATGGGGAGCGGCCCTTGGACAAACATCGAGCTCACCAATGGTAACCCATGATCAAGGGCCCTCACGCTCTCCGATTTGTGACATATCGTGATCACCGGTGGAACCTTTTTCCCTTGGCTAAACAGGAAGCCAACAAGAAAAACAACCACCATTTGCGGGTACCCCTATTTTGAGTCATACCCATTTTCGTTTTCAGGGTGGCTTATTTCAAACAAGTCTCGCGCGGACACGGACACCCTTACCCATTCAACTGGGTAGCCAAGAGCTTAAGTGCTATTGGGTTGGATCTTTAGACTTTAGCTTTTTGGGAAATCAAGGGATTTTCCACCAACACCCCAAAAGTTAAGCTTTTTGCAGGGGGGTCAACAGCAACCAAGAGGGTTCAGTCTCCATCCTCTTTTTCGACAAGACCCAGTATTTCGATTGTTTGCAGAGTCAAAGTCAAAAGCGGCGGTTGTTCCAACATATACCCATTTAGTGCCTGCACTTGAATTTTGTATTTTAAATGGCCGCTGAGGGGCAATGGCTCACATACAGAAGTCCACTCAATATCCTCGAGATATTGTCTTGGTCCCCCAGTAGTGCCCTTTCTCACCCCTTTTTTGGTTGGGAGGGTTCCCCTACTAAAATAGACGACCGAAAAAAGAAGCGGCACTCTTATTCGAACCTCTCAAATCTGGAGGACCCAGGCAAGTCGAATTCCGGATGTCTCAGGTTCTTTGGAGGAGGATCAGGGGCAAGACTCCTGAGAGCCAAGTCTACTGGGCATGAGACTCGGTTCGCAGCATGGCACCTCCGACGTCCGTTGATCTGGGCACCCGAAAAAAGAGGTCCGCGATTGGGGGCCAAAACGAGGCGCGCCCAGGACGAAGATCCCTTACTTGGGGAATTTCTTATTTTCTTTGATTCGCCTTCCATGCGCTGGCATGGCTGGATGTTTCGTTTTTTCAGGGGGACTTAGACAACCGGAAGTTTCGGGACCACAACTTGAACAAACATGTGGCAACTCGACTGGATTGATGCCATTCACCTCAAGTGAAATCGCACACCAGAAGTTGGCTTTGTGCCCAAGGTCCTTGATTCCCCTTGAAAACAGCCCCAAAAAGTTTGGTACCCCTTTAAAACAGCCCCAAAAAGGGGTACCATCAGCATCCGAGCCACACTGGGGGAATCTCCTTGCATTCCCCGAATTCGATATCGGGTCTTCTTATCGACTCCCGAAAGGCTTATACTCCCATGCATCTTGACGTGGAACCCCCCAAAAAAGGGTCTCCCAAAAGGAGATCTGCTAGCAATGGTGGGCTTTGGGTAAACCGTAGGGGAAGTAATTGGACATAGGGCCAGAATTCGCTGCTGATCGGCATGCTCGAGCGCATGCCGGAGCGCAAGCAGCTCAAATTTGTTTCGTGAATTCGTTTGGCAGGGTCACCCGCATCCATTTGCCGCGCTTGTCTGCCTGAGCCGATGGGGATGACTGGGTAGGCGACTGGATGTTTTTGTTATCGTCGTATGAATAAACCCTGGTTCCGGGGAGGAGCTGGTCTGCGGGAGAAGGTGTAGGCGGCCGCGCTGCTTGAGGACGCACGCAAAAATTAGGTTAACACACATAGGTGTCCTTTTTGGTTGTTTTGGTAGAAAAATCGATGGCCCTGGTTTACCTGGTGGTTTAATCATCTACCAGGGCCATTTATTTCCCCTAAAAGGACACCAATGTTAACACATAGTTGGGCTGGAAAATGGTTCTGCCGAACACGCAGTAGCAATTAGGAGGTGGTCTCGGAGGCCCGCGGCAGAGTTTAGAATAGTTTAGCATTGGATCCCAACAGCGCACGTTAGTAGTTGCTGGTGTTTGTTAATCCAATGTTAACATTACTGGAAAGTTATCTCCAGGCGTTTGTTGGTCTATCTCGAAGCACATTAGTTGACATGTCAAGCCGGGCGGTGATTTGGGAGAATGTGGGAACACAAAGGTGGCCTGCATGTTGCACCCTGCAGATGATGAAGCCATTTTTTCTTGGTGGGTCCTTGAGTTACATTCCTTTCAGTCAAGAGTTCCAGTAGTTCATAGTCCATCTGGGTTTGACATGGACGAGCTCTTGCATTGTTTTCGTGGGGGGCGAGCTCTAAATCCCCCGTTTCGTCGTCATCTGCAGAGGTTTCGGCTCCTCCCCTTTCGGCGGGGCCAGAGGCCTCCCGGAAAGTTCGGCACGGCTGGCGGCAGGGGGTTATGAGATTTTGGGTGCGTCTTGTGTTCGGGGATGCCCCAAGCATGTTCCTTGGCTGTCCTGCTGGTTTTCCCGGGAAAACCCACGAAAAAAGGCGTACCAGCTCCAAAAACGGACACCCATATTTCGAATCTTTTGGGATTTTTCAACGTTTGTTCTAACAAAGCATTTCGAACGTTTCGCGTTTTGGGTAAAGGGGACAGAAGGGTTGAGCATCCAAGAAGGGCGGCTATGAGCAAAGCGGCCTATGAGAAACAAAGACAAAGACGGTGGGAGCGGAGTTCAGCAGACCAACTGGTCCTGCTTCCTTGTTCGCCTCTTCGTGATTTGGTTCGGCGGCATTTGTTTGCATCATGATCTCACTTCCTCCGTTGGGGGCTGGACCACTTAGTGGCCAGCAAGCTTGGACTTTTTTGGCCAAACCACTCAGGATCCTGTTTTCTCCCCGGAGAAGTCATTAGACCTTGATTTTGATCGGGTGTCCTTTGGGAATCCGGACTACGCTTTTTTTTCTTCTCCGTAATGTCTGACTCCGGGGTCAAGAGGAGCCGCTGAGCCGCTGAGCCGCTGAGCTGAGAACAGAATTAATTCACAGCCAGGGATTCTACAGCCAACCGGCGACACTCTAACCAGTCGAACATCTTTTTCATCTTCCCAAGGATACCTTTGTTGCATTGGGACTTCAACTTTTGGCCAACTAGTGGGTTTTCCATTAAACCAAGGGGAGCAGAAAGCAACCGAGATACCTGCCAAAAACCAGGGCGCGCAGTTCCGGTAGATCTTCCTGGCTCAGAATGCTCGCTTCTCGAGTGAATTCATCGCTTTTCGGAAAATCACACAGGCAGTTTCGGCTGGCCTTGGCAAATGCCCCCTGACCCTGGATCTCTGTCCACCACTTTGGAGGTTCCAACTCTTAAAGTCCATACATGTGAGGTTCGGGCAAGAATATCGCAGTATATGGATGTGTCTTTTTTTGATGGTACCCCATTTTGTGGTGTTAAAGGGACACCAAAAGGAAACCACAACATGTTGCGGGTCCCCTAAACGGGACACACCCATATGGTTCTTTTGGGAGAGAAACGGACATGGGGGGTTCTCTCGCCGAACTCGTTTTCCAGCAAGCCCACCGGCTCACTCAGCCGGGGCGCCTGCGTTTTTGTTTTTTTGGCTGATGTCCTTGCAAGACACGCGTGGAACCAAATTTTTCAGAGGGTTTCCCCTAGTAACCAAATCATCTGTAAAAGAATCCTCTGGCGAATGTCCGCATGAATCCGTGAACATTACAAGCAACCTGGGCAGTACGCTTGGCACCAGTCCAGCTGGATGACTTTCTGCTTACACACACGTTACCAAGGTGTTATCGGGTAACACCCACAGGAGCCTTCTGGTGCTTCTAGGGGTTGATTCCCCATTCTTTTCAGCCATCGTTCTTTTCAAAAGCCAGCCATTTCCCCAGGGTTTTTGGCGGTTTTCTAGAAAGAAGGATCCCTGGAAAGAATGGGGAATTTACCCCTAGAGTGCTTCTTCTTTTCCTGCTGATTGGGCTGACAGCCGGTTGGCTCGCTACTTGAGATCCCCATGCGACGAGCGAGGAGCCATGAGGACGCAGACTTGGGTAAAAACCATGGTAAGTGGTTGGTCGCGTAGTCATACCAGTTGTGCCATCCATGAAACGTGGCAAAAGGCTGGCTCGTCTTTCTTTTAGGAATGCGGACGCACAAAGAACATGGCCTCGGGGATATCCTTTTGGTTGTCCTTTAAGACCACCAAACAAGGGGGGCCCCTCTAAAAAGACACACCCAACACGTATTGTGTCGGTTGGTATCACAGATCTCGCAGATCTCACAGAGAGACGCAGCATTCCAAGAGCCATGGCGCGTGCGCGGTTTCGAGTGCTGGTGCTGGCGTTGGCGCTGCTCGTGCCTTGCGTGCAGGGGTGGGTTTGAACAGATTGAAGCAGTGGTGGTGTGAACATGTTGCAAGCCCAGGTGGTCTTGGAAAGGCGGCACAACAGAATGGCCAGCGCCACGGGCTTTTGACAAGGGAAGGCAATTTGGGGGCCAGGTTGTTCCATACCCCCAAGAGCAAGGCACCACCACCGAGCCGAGTTCCTTCGAGTTGTGGCGGATTCGTGTCGTTTTCAGCAGACCACTGGTTGTCCTTTTGACGAAAGGATTCGCCTCGAAAAGCTGAAGGCATCGATGTTTCTCAAAGGTAATCTTAAAGGACAGCCATGTGGGTGTGCGAGTCTTTTTATTTCTTCCGGGAATTCATTTTTGGCTGGTGTTAAAGGGAACCAAAAGGACAACCAAAGCCGTTTGGAGTTTAAAACAAGGACACCCCCGAAGCCGTAGCCCTTTGCCCGCCAGGCTGCAACCGGAGTCCACGCATTTTCCACAGACAGCTCAAGGCGTGTCTTTTGTGGGGTTTGTGCCCCTTTGTTGGTTTTGAAAGAAAACCAAAAGGAAACCCGAAGCCATTTTGGGGTCCTATTTAAGACACCCAATTTAAGACGAATGTCCAAGCAAAGGCCGTTTCGCGAAGAGCATCCAAGCATCCCTGAAGTCAGCTCTCTCACAGTCAATGTTGACCACCTCCCTACTGTGGATGGACGAAATCCTGCACCACTTTGAAACCATGGGAAACCGTTGTTTGCTGGTGTTTGCACATCAGAAACCAGGGTGTCTTAGCTGGTGCGAAATGGATTTCGCAACCATCCACAGTATGTCAAGCCCCCCCCCCAAAGGCGCCCAAAGGGTCAGGATCAAGGCATTCTTCTCTCATCTGTTTCATTACCGTTTCATTCGAAACAGCTCTTCCAACCAGAGCTACTTCTGATAAGAGAAAAAGGAATTTCGGAATTCGGCTCATGATTCTCTCATTCTCTTTTTGATCAAGTTCCCAACCATCCAAAAAATAGTACCCTCACCGCACTGGAGCCGTTTCAACGGCACCTCATTGCCGTGGATGCGCTGAGGCCTTGCGGCTAGGCCAGCTCCAGAATCTGGGGGGGGCTTGCTGGGCTTCTGGCGGGGGTCCCGATATTTCCCCTTGTTGGTGCACCCATTCAAGGAAAAAACAATGAATTTGAGAAGCACAGGCCCCACAGCGGGCCGCTCTCTAGGGATATCAGGGCGGATTTGAGGCGCGGGACCCTTAGGTTGTTTTTCTTTTGGGGTCGAGAAGGGGCCCCGTCTTCACCCAAATCGGGGGTTTCAAGGGGTAGATGGGGTTTGTCTCAGGGGCGCCCACAAGATGAGATTCGTTTCCTTCTGGTTCCCCTTTGGACCAGCCGAAAACAGGATGTCCCTCAAAAAACATCGGGACACCCAAATGTTAGCAAGCCTGCTTGGGATTCCTAACGCTTGTTTTATGTCACACTCACGCTTCGGGGGCCATCCGCAACCGGCTTGGGTTGTGACTGCCGAGCCCTAGGACGGGTCTAGGATGGGGCGGGAGTCGTGACTGACGAGTTCCAGCTTTGGGTTTGCGTGGAAAGAGTTTGGCCACAGCCCCAAGGAAGCTTTCAAGTCTCCAGGCCCTATAGTTTTGATGGCAGGTGCCATTTGCCACTTGCCACCCTTTCAACCAGGAACCCTGAAGCTTCTGAACCTTGAAGCGGTAAAGATGGAGCCCTCTACCCGATACATCACTTGGTTGGCCCAAGTCCATGAGCAGGATACGTCATTTGTGGCTTAAGTCCTCAGTGAGTTCTGCGTAGGGTGAGCCACGATGTACCCCCCGTTACCTGACAAGCTCTTCTGGCGCCAGGTGGTTCTGTGCCGCATGGGCTGCATGGGAAATGGGGTCAAAAACCGTAGGGGTCTCCTCACGGTGTTGTGTACTTTAGGGGAGACTAAATGTGAAACAGAATGCGATAGTATTATTTCCCGTGTACCCCAGATGTGGGCCGAGAGAAGGGGACGCATTTCTTGGGTTAGCAGCTAGTATTTTGGAGCATTTCCGTGCGCGCGTGTTTTGCCACCGCTGAGGGGACTCCCCTTTTTGGAGGGTGTTCGGTCGAATAGGGAGGCCCTATTGTTGCTTAAGGTTAGCTCCAGGGTAAGCATTAGGCAAAGTTCTGTGATTCAGAGAGGGTTGATGGGTCACTTGCAATACTGATGGTTGCGAAATCCAGAATTCGCACCACCTAAGACACCCTTTTTTCTCATGATTTCCCTGTAAATCCCAAAAACAATGGTTTCCCATGACTTCTTAGGTGGTGCAGGATTTCGTCCATCTATATGGCTTTGACGCCATCAAGAAGAGCCAAAGCCTTTGCCGCTTCTGGGTGAGTTTTGCTTCTTGTCCTTTCTAGGTTTTCAGGTTAGTTTGTACAGAAACAGATGGCACTGGCTCAGATAGGTTTCATTCCATTTGCCAGGGCCATCAATTTTTCCAACGGTCGCCTGTGAGTGGCTGCCATTTTGAGATTTTGGGACCCATGCTCAAAGTGACTTTTGGGGGCCGGGGGCTGTGGATGTTCCTTGGAACCAAATCACGCGAACGTCACTGCAGTGGGCCCTGTTTGGACGGGAGACCCACAGAGATCCAAATGACCATTTGGTGTCCTCGTGCCCCCTTCCGCAAACTTCGGAAAAATCGTCTACTTCCCCAAGAACTGAAAGCGATGGGGTCTCTGCGCAGATAAGTTCTGGAGTAGTTTGTTGCGGGGCTTGTGGGGATGCTACCTGGGCCTATGGACGAGAAACACTTGGGTTCGAGTGTCTTCTTTGCGTTGGCCATTTTCAGAGAACCTACCACGCAGAAAGGGACCTTCAGGCTTCTGAACAAACTGGGGCTTTTCTCAGCAACAAGACTTCCACTGAACAACTGAAAACGGGTGAACAACCACACCCATATGGGTATGGGTCAAAAATACACCACCAGGCGACCGCAGGCTGTAGTCAACTTGTTTCCATTTCCCAGAGTTCCATTTTGGGGTTACCCTATTTTTGATAAAATAGACCAACAAGGAAAAAAATATCGGGTGCCCTTCTTCTAACCTCTCTACTGGAGGACCCCTATCTCTTTCTTTCTCTGTGTCTCTGTCTCCCTCTCTCTATTTTTCTCTGTCTCTCTCTCTCTCTCTGGGTCCAAATGTAATCGATCTTGATCACAAAAGTAAAAAAAAAAAACACCACCTCTCCGAGGTTCGCCGTGGGCCGCCCGCCTTGGACGGCGACCTCCGCGCGGCCGGCGCCGGCGGCGCCGCCTTCGGCGCGGCAGGCGCTGCCGGAGGCATCGCTGCTGCTGGCGGACCTGCAGCCCACGCCCGGTGCAGCTCGGTGCCGCAGCACGGGGGGAAGCCGTTTTTTTCTTTTTTTTCTTCTCTTTTTTTTCTTCCCCCGTTTGGTTTGCTTTAAGGGTTCTTGGATCATTTTGTTGCATTTTGATTTATTGATATTTTTGGTTCTGTTCATTTTTAGTAGGGAGGATCAAGTTGTTGGGTTCTTTTCGTTTTTTTTTGGGGTTCTGTGCAGTTTTACTGGGGGGTGCATAAGAGAAGCAGTTTTTGTTGCTACCATACCAAGGGCTGTAGAGTTTGGTTTTGATCTTGATCTGGTCTTGGCGCCTTTCAATTTGGCTTGATTGGGAATGATTGCCCAAAGAAGCTGTGGCACCTGTTCGCAGTTTTCAGGCGGGTGTTGGGGATGGACTTTGGAAGACATGCAAGAGACTTCAAGTGATGTCAGGCCTTGGTTCCCTTCCAAAGGCCTTCGCAGGTCGAGCTTGGTTTGACCCGAAAGCACCCAATTGAAGCGGATAGGAGGTTGAAGCGGAATTTTTACGCCAGTCAACCCTAGAGTTGGAGGGTGTACTCCTTGTTGTGGTTCTACAGGGAAACCACCCTTAAAAGGACATCACCCATTTTGGGGGTACCCTAAAAAAGACACACCCGGTTGGCAGCGGGAAAACCATCATGTAACACCTAGTGGAGAATTCGGCCACCTTTGTTTTTTGGGTTGATTCCCCCCATTCTCTTCATCGTCCTCTTTAGAACCGACTCATCTTCCCACACTTTTTGGAGGAGGACCCCTGAAGAGGATGGAAAAAAAAGCCATGCCCAGGTGTGATTTTCCATTTCCCCCGGCTTTGGGTTCCCAAGGGTTCAGCCGGAGAAACATGGCACAGGGGGTCTCCCTGCGGTTGAGCGGAAGGTGCCCAAGAACCAAAGCCATTTTTCGGGTCAGATGGACCCCTTGAGGCACACCTTCCGTTCAATTTTGCCTGGGTGTTCGGCCAAGTTAGTAGGTTCTTGGGGGGTTCACCCTGCTATTCGGGAGTTGTACCCCAAGTGGCTAACCACTTACTAACTTGGCGAATCGAACTTCCAAGCAAGTAACCGTTCTATACATCTTAGTTTTGGCCTAGCCCCCAGCGCTGGACGGCCGCGTTGTTTGTTGCTGTAGGGTTGGCCCTTTTGGGGCACACACATTGTGAGGAACGCTTTCTGCCAAAACGGCGGCGTTCCTCTTCCTCTGGTTTCTCGTTAGCCCGAAAGCTGACTTCCTTTAGGCTTTTTTGACTGCCACACCTTCCACTTCATTTGCGGAGCTAAAATCCAAATCTGCCAATTGAGAAAACAAGATCAAAGGGACAAACCGCAACGGACCCAGGATTTTCCCTACCCGACGCGGATTTTCAGCTGGGAGGCGGTCAGCAGCGCCTTCAACGTCATTACCTTCCTGCCACAGTCCTTGCCTCGGATGACTCGAAACTTGGGTTTTCTTGTGAGAGCTTGGGCGCCGTCCCTTTTTTTGGGGGTTTCCTCATTAAAAAAAAAAACAAAAAAACAAAAAACCTTTGTTTTTGTGGTTTTCCTTTATATTCCTCATAAACAAATTACGGTTTTCCCCCCTTTTTTGGCCCTTGAACACCACCAAACATGAAGGAGCCTCCAGAAAGGCACACCCGTTTGGAGTTTCCATTGCGTCCAGAAGAAGTCCTAAACCATCTCCACTCGCCTGAAACCGCCACATCACCTTCAACTCTGCCAAGAGACCTCGCTCAGCTAGCATAGGTGTCCTTTTTGGCTGTTTTGCTGGAACAATAGATGACGATTCCCTGGTTTACCTGGTGGTTTCATCATCTACCAGGGAAGCCCATTTATTTCCCTACAAGGACACCTATGTCAGCTAGGCGTCACAACCGAGAAACGAGGTGCAGTTCAATGATAAATTGTTTGCTGGGATGTCGGGATACTGGGAATGTGCTGACTATGCTTGGAATGCCAGGCATGCTGGTGATGCTGAAGATGCTGAAGATGCTGGAGATGATGGAGATGCTGATGCTGGTGATGCTGGGGATGATACGGAATGTGATGCTGGGGATGCTGGATACGCTGGAGATGGTGGCGATGCTGGTGATGCTGGAGATGCTGAATGCTGCAGATGCTGGCGATGCTAGGAATGCTGCAGCTGGCGATGCTAGGAATGCTGGTGATGCTGGAGATGCTGGAGATGCTGGGAATGCCGGAGATGACTGACGCATCCTTTGACCTCTTTTTGCACAAGTTGTGCCGCTCATATATAAGGGGAGGAATATTTGATAAACATTGTCCTGGATCTTTCAATGGGGATTGGATATAAGAATTCCCGTTGAGAGGACCATGCCAACATTCTCCACCAAATCTGTTACATATATATCTCAGGGTAAGCATGAAGCAGAAAATCTAAATAGGGTATGTCTCAAAACAGCGGAATCAATCACTTGTGTTTTTTTCCTTCTGTTTTCCCTTACTTTACTGTAAACCTAAGCTGACAAGAGGGGGACAACTTCACCCAAGTATGAAGCCGAGCATTTAAAGTCTTTTCGGTGGACTTGTGGGTACCAACTCCAGGAGCCCAACTTCAGAAAAAGGAGCCCAAGCAGAACATCTGCCCTTTCTCACCCTTTTTTGGGGGAACCCTACCCCAAAAGGGGTGAGAAAGGGCACTACTGGGGGACCCAGATGAAGGTGTCGTGCACTAAGATAGACTACAGACCAATCCCCTTATGCTAAGCTCTCAAATCTGGAGGACCTCGTCATTCGCGTTGGGCGCTTTTGGTCCCGGAGCCGCGGAATGGATCGAGGTACCTTTGGCTGCTCATGGTCCTGGCGCCCAACTGGTCCGTCACCAGGCGCCCGCGGCCCAAAACCGTTTTGGGATCCCAACTCGATTTTCGACCCGCCAGAGTTTCGAGCCGAAGGCGCTTCCCGTGTCAAACCTGGCGGTGGGTCAAAGCCAATGGTATCCCATTTTGGGGGGTTTTCGGTGCACCCATTTTAGGTCCCCTTTTTTAGTGGTTGGATTGAATCGGAGGTTCACTGGGGGCGAATTAACCGATTTGGGTTTTGACCCATGGCCATATGTCTTTCGGCGCAAGAACATGCGAGGGTCGGATGTGTTGCGATGCGAGCCGCAAGGCCAGGAGTACCCCCCACTATGAAGGGGTGGACCCCTCTCAATAGCTGGTGGTGGTTTGTTCTTTTTCCCCAGACGGAGCTTTGGTGTCTCTGCCCAGGCTCTGTGGTTTGGTTTGCAGTTTTCAGGGAGGGTTCAAGAGAGGGTTCCGACACTGTTGGGGTACCACATCGTCTGTTTTTTCTTTGGACGAAACTCAGCGCCGGAACCCGAACACAGTGGCTTGGGTTGGAGGTGAAAATCTAGCTTCCCACTTTCTGACAGCCGCGGAGGCTCCCAACAGATGGGTGCTGCTTCGATAGGCAGAGAATGAGTTATGACCCCAAAGTAAACCATCCGACTGCTGTTTTTTGTGCGTTTTTTTGGGCGGCGGGGGGAATCTGCAGGTTCACGTCGAACATCCCGAAATTGCTTCCCCACAGAGCTGAATCGGGGATTCTTTCCCTTTTTTCAGATCAGGAAAATTATTTTCGGGTGTTTCCATGGCGAGAACCCGCAAGAAGTGTGTCCCTGCTCAAAGAGGGTGCTGGTGTTCCTTTCGGTTCCCTTGGTCACCACAGAAAGGAGGGGTACCATCTCCACAACCCATAGCAAATAGACCCTGTTCTAATGGGCCTGAAACGCCACTTCGACTGGCCTCCTTTTGCAGGAACAGGCAGCTAGCTCCTCGCGACCATGATTTTTGTTAAACATGTTTCATGACAACCCCCCCTCCCCCAGGGTGCTTTTCCAACTTAGAGCTGTGCTTCAGCACTTTGGCTCGTTCTTTCTTGTTTGGGCCCTGTAGTCAGGTAGCCCCGAAACAGGTTTGGATCCTGGGTGGTTTGGATTTGGATTTGAAGCCCCGGTTCTTGTAGAGGGTAAATCGACAAGAAATCACCCCGTTTTGGGTATGTGTCCAAACTGGGGTGACACCCCCCGAACAACACACGTGAAAAGAAGTGGTTTTCCTTTTGGTTTCCCTTTAAACCAGCCTGACTACAGGGTACCAACTCCACACCCCTCTTCTTCACATCCTCAAAGAACATGCCCTTACTTGGGTGCGGTCAAGCTGAGTAAGTAGATTGTAACCATGTTTGTAAGCGGACTAATCCCTCTTACCCCCACTGACAACCGAGGTCGGAACCTACTAACTAGTACAAGAGCCTAAATCGTTAGAACGGGGTTGCGGGCACTTAAAAAAATCAGTTGTAGTGGAAGAACCTATTGCCCTAAGCATCAAACTAAACCCTCCATGGAAGGGCTCCATATGTTAGGTTCGACCACCCGACCAACCTCCGCTCTAGGCAGAGCTCTGGCGTATTTTTCGGTTCGGCCACCTCGGGTGGAATCATCAAAAGTGAGATTGCACAACTCATAGGCGGGTTATGAAAAACAAAGCAAGAAGAACTTGCAAGCTGGCCAATTGTGATGTAATTTCCTGAGCTTAATATATCGTGAGCAATAAATCTCCAAAAGTCATTAAACATACAAGTATAGAATTTGATCGTCGCCAGGAAGGTCATGGCGCCTTTGTGGCCGGCGCTGCTCTTCTGCGCTGTGCACCTCTTCATCGCAACTCGTTTCAACGGCGGGTCAACAAGGGGGACCCAGTGGGACCCGGTGAAATTTCACCGGGAGTCTCTGGTCAGGGCCCTTAAGGTTCTGAACAAATGGGCCGGGTGATGTCCCACGCGGTCATGACCTCATTTTTTTGCAGGGTCGGAAGGAGACTCCAGGTGTGGTTTCCATGGTATCTCTGGTGACCAACCCCTTTACTCCACCGAAAAGGCCTGTTTATAACCTACTCACTAAGCAGATTGAGCACACAAGTGAGGTGGGATGGGAGAATAAGGGGGCTGAGGAGGGGGGCGGGGTGGGCAAATAGGTATACTTGTTTTTTGTTGCTTTGGGAGGAGGTTTGGGTTGATCTTCTTTTCGTTGGGACCCTTTCGAATCTGAAAACTTGGATGAGTTGATGTTCAAGAGTGGTTTCAACAGAGGAAAGGACACGAACCATGCAAGGGCCACGTGTCAACTCAACCCACCCAAGCTGATGCACGCCTTCATTTTGCATTTTTGGTTGCCTGGCTGGGGCTGGGGGCGAAGGTACTGCCATTGGAATTGTGTCAGGTTGGTTGTGATTCCAAAATCCTTTGCAACCCATTTTTGATCTGTGTGAGTCACCGACGGGAAAGGAAAGAGGGGCGCGAGACCTTGATTCGCATCAAGCAACTTTGACACACGGTGCTGATTCTTTTGGGATGAATCATGAAGACCCAGCGAAGGTCGGGAGTTCTTGCTTCTCCCTCAATGCTAATACGTGCTTCTTGGCCCCTTTTGATTTCAACCACTCACTTCAAATATCCCGAAGTTGGTGGCTTGGATTGGTGGGGATTTGACATGTCTGGTTCTTGTAGAGTGCAAATGGGAACTTTTCCTCAACGTCCACCAATGCAAACTGCCAATTTGGGGCCAGGTGAAACGCTCTCCACTTTTGTTGAGAGAAACCCTTCGGTTTGTAGGGTTCGCGCTGTGGCAAACGCCGAATCCCACAGCAGTCTTCACCCGAACTGTCGGCCTCTCCGATTTGCGACCTGGATGCGAAGCCGTGATGTGTATCCATGGGTCTAAGCTCGAAATATGAAACTGAATCTGAATCACACCGCGGTATTTTTAAGGCGCACAGATGTGGAATTGCCATGGTTTGGCTCTCAAAATTTCCGTGCGCCGTTTCGTTCGCTTCCGCGAGCCCACTCCTGGATCCTCTCGAAAATCAGCCGGCAAAATCGGATTCCGATCAATGCACGGAGCGGAATTGCCTTGCGCACAGATGTGGGCCTGTCGATTTTTTGAGGGTATCCTTTTTTGGGGGTGGGTTCAAGGGAAACCAAAAGGACAACCCACCAGTGTTTCCCCGCCCCCCCCCCCCAAAAAAAAAACAACAACAACAACAACAACAACACAAAAACACAAGCAAAGAGAAGGAACAACAAAAACACAAAAACACAAAATCGCACCCATTTGGTTCAACATGAGGGTCTTTCTTTTGGTCTGCCCTTTTCGGTGTGTGTTTTTTTGCATTGGTGAAAGTTAGAGGCCCCCGATCGACCCTTTCGGGGGCCCCCGATCGATGCCGGATGTCCGAGGTGGTGAATGTGGCCTCCACCAATAGCCGCTCACCCGGAGAGTGTGAGTGGGTGAGCGGGTGAGCGGGTGAGAGGTCGGGGAAAACCGGGGCGCGCGTCTGGAATCAAGAGGGGGCTTGGGAACGAAGCTCCCTCAAAGCAAGCCACGAGGGATGGGTATCGATCATGTCATCTCTCAATCCTGAGAACCCGGCAAGAAATTCGGACCAAATTTTGAAAGCTGGTTTTGAAAAGATGTTTAGAGGAAACATGAGTCACTGACGATATTATTGGTAGTCTATTGGGGGCACGAGTTTTTGGCAGTCTCGATGCGCGTGTCGCTGACACCGACGACGGTGAAAGTATTTCTTTGGACTCAAAACCGAAATAAAGTAAAAGGCTGAATGCATACCTCAATATGAACCCCGGCTATGAAATCCTAGTTTGGCTAAATGAAGGGTCCAAGATGGCCATGGGTTCATATATATATATATATACAGAGATATATGGTACCCCCCCCAATGGATCTACCTTCCTTCAGAATTCACTGGTATGTGCAGTGTTTGCTGCCTTTTTTGGGGCTTTGGGAAACGAGGCGCATGTCCAAAGACAATCTGAAAGCTTTAGGTCAAACTGTTCCAGGGAATCTTGGATCCAGTCGCTTTGGATCCACCTCTGTCCTATGTCCAAGCTGAGGTGTGGTCAGAAGATGCAAAAAACAGCTATGTTGGAGCCATTGGCGCAAAAGTGAGAACGTACAGAAGTAAGATTATGGAGCCAATGACCCAAAAGTAGGAAAAAGTAAAAAAAGTAGAATTCTGGAGCCAATAACCCAAAAGCAAAAAAGCAAAAACAAGTAAAACATGTCAAAGTATTTTGCTCCAGGACCATGGGCTGATTTGCTTTACTTTCATTACTTTGTTGCTGCCTTTGTATTTTTTTTAGTAACTTTTTGCTCTTCCTTTTTACTGTTCTATTTTTTGTTCCACAAACGTTTTTTTTTTTTTTTTTAATGGATTTTGGTTCATTGGCTCCAGTCATATTTACTCGTACTTTTTTTTACTTTGGGATATCTGGCTGCATAAATTCACATGATTCTTTTTGGGTTGGTGGCTCTCTCTTTTTCCCCCCCCCTTTTTCTTTGTTTCTTCTTTTGGGTCATTGGCTCCAGTGTAGAGGATGTTTGTTTATTGGAAACATGGTTTCCCCCAAATAGTGTTTACACTAAGGGTTCTTACGGCAAGAGTTAAGGCTGGTGTGGATCGAGGGGTCGCGCTCAAAGTGTTGGCCCTGTGTGTAAACAAGTTGTCTTCGATGCGACAGTCTCGCACAAAATGCCGGGGCTCGCGGGCGGTGCGCTCTCGCTGTGGCACTGTGCTCATGACGTAATTGGGGCGTATTTGGAACCCCCCCATTTCCAACCTCATGAGGGGGGGACAAATCCCACACTGTTCTCTTGCTGAGTTCTTCTTTTTTAATTGCTTTCGGAGTGAGACATCCAGTCCTCTTCGCGCATAGCTTCACCTGCGTGCCAAGGCGCTCACTGCCCGCTCCTCACAGGTTTCACATCCAGACGAGCCTTTCGAAGCACTTCCTTCCACTCACGGCATTCTGACTTCCCCAACTTCTTTACAGGGGCATCCACGTTTCCTCTTAAGAGCTGCTGGTTGGTTTTGAATAGAACTAGTTCTAAGGATAATTTACATAGGTCTTTTTCTACGGAGTGCCATAGCCGCCACCACCTGGGAATTGACTGTGGCTGGATTCATGGCGGCTTGAGCGGTGGAGACAACATCGAAATTAAAGTCTGTAGCGTCCAGCTTCTCGACGCTCCAGCTTTGCGCGCTCCCTCACCCGGGTTGTATCCGCTCCTACAACAGGCAACATGGAGAGAAGCAAAAGGCCAAAGACCAAACAACTTGTTACACTTCTTCAAAAATATATTTTGGGCTAACAACTCCAATTATGTGTTTTTCTTTGACAGGGAAACCCTATGTAAATGATCTTCATAAAGTTAGAATGCTACTAGAACTGTTTCCCTATTAGCTTCCAGGTAGCTGGAGAAGCAATATTCGAGGAAGGTCTCTTTAAAACATATGTTGAAATGAGAATCCCAATTAGCAATGATTCTCAAAAATGGAAATCGTATTCAAGCCATCTTTAAGTCTAGACATTGTACTACGTGTTGTTCACTTTTAGTTTCTATTTAAAATCTAATTAGAAAATGAACAAACTCGGAAACATCCTTTTGAACCTCTAATTTGAAACCGTAATTGGCCCTGAGCGCCGAGCTGCACTGTCCTACTTCCTGGGCTCCTCCTGAATTGAACGACGCTGATTTTCCAAACGCGGCCTCCTCGAGTCTTCATGACCGGAGGTTTCCAGGCTCGCGGGGGCTATTCTACAACATTCCTGCCTTCTGGCCGGACCGTTTGACTATTGTTGTTTTTGAAGCTTCGAGCGAAACCCGCGTTGACAAAGATGATGATGGTTGCGATTTTGTGGCGATGGGAACAGCTGAGCGCGCTTCTTGGCGGTGCTTCACCCTGACAGGAAGCGCTATGTCATCACGTCGTACAGCGCGTTTGAAGGAGCTCGCATCCAGTGTGCCCCTTATTCTGGCGCCCAGCTGTGCTTTGGTCGTGTTGAGCCAAAGGTCATGTGGTCCACTGTGTTAGGCGGCAGAGTGCCTCTTCAGATGAGAGGAGTCTCATGATGTTGAGAACTACGCTGGGTTACATGAACGCTAGCCGCATGACATCGGAGTCACGGCCGTCGCTGGGATACGTGAACCGATGTCGCGTGTGGCTGCCGGACGTGGACGGGTGCGGCTTGAACTGAACATTATTCACACTTCAACTTGTCTGCAGCGCTTGGCCCGTTGTTTCTTCCCAACAGGCTGGTCTTCTTGCTGTCAGTTGGGCGGAATTCGTTTTTCTCTTTCGAACAACAAATGACTTCACCAGGCCCTGCTGAGGACATGGATGGACGCGTGCTGCACTGCCTGCGCTGTGCGCACGCCAGGGACCGCTTCGCTGAAGAAGATTTTGCTTAGGCTGAGATGATGCGGGTCAAGTCGCATGGGGCATTCCAAATTCCAAACACAACAAACGGCAAAAAGGTAGATCCATCAGGCGGGGGGGAGGTTGCATATACATGTATATATTCATATATACAATCAGCCTTTGATAATATCTTATCAGCAAGGCAACGCGAAGTCAGGGGAGCCGGTTCCGAGGCGATCATGCGTTCGCATCCAAAAAGAAGCCAATCTCTTAGAAACTCTAGGGTATGTTTCCTTTTGGTTTCCCTTCACTGAACCCCTAGCTTTCGGGCCCACCAATTTCTCCCCCAGAGTATTTGAGTATGTCTTTTTTGGGGACCCTTCCCACAAAAGGCTTCCCTTCAAACCAACCCCAAAAAGGACACCCAAAAACAAGAAGCGCTCGCTTGCTTGAATGTTGAACTTACTTAGTAAGTAGGTTATAACCATGGTTGTAGGGCAAGCAATCCCAGTTCCCCTGCTTATAGCCATGGTTACAGCCTACTACTAAGCGGATTGAACATCCAAGTGGAGGCCCAAGCTCTGTCAAAAGCTCCGGGGAAGGGGGAGCACGCGCGCGCATCGCGTGCGCGCATGCGTGCGACTGAGGTGACAACCTCTCAGAGTTCACGTTGCTGGCGCAGGTCTTCGACCCCCGCGTCAGCCCGGGAGCCCGGTGAGCGCCTGCCCCATACTTTGGTCGACCTTTGGACCAAAAATAAGCCGAAAGGGGGAAAACAGAAGGTGAAAAGGTCGAAGGAGGGGCTTCCTCTAAGAATGGCTGTGGGTCAAAACCGTTTTGTACCATTTTGGTTTCAGCGGGGGGTTGGGATGTTCACTGGCGGTACGATTTGGATTTTGACCCATGGCAATTTTGCAGCCTGGAATCACACAAGCCAAGCAATATTCCAAAACAAATGGTTGTCAAATAGATCCTAAGTGTCCATCATACGGGGGGTGGTTTGAGGCTGGGTGCCCTTTTTAGGGCGCCTAAGAAAAGCCAACAGGAAAACCGAAGCCGTATTTTGACACATATGCACATTTGAAGATTCACGCAGAAAGAGTGGTTGATACCCAAAAAATCAGAGGGGACCATTCTAAGCTGTGTGAGTCAGGCCTCATTTTCACTGTGACCTGGATGTTCGGCCACAACACGGTTAACCTCACTTAGGGGGACATTGTAACCTAGATACCGTCGACTTACTAACTTGGCGAATCGAATACCCAAGTGACTCTTCATGGGGAAACCACAAAGAAGTACCAAGCTGCCTGGCAAACGTACGCCCTCTGTCCACATCCATGATTGTAAACCCCCCGTAGACTAAATATGGGCGTGCCTTTTTTTCGAGGGTATTTTAAAGGAGAACCACAAATGGGATCCCCTCAAAAAGACACTCGTATGAAGCAGCAGCATTTGGTACACATTGGTAGGAAGGTTTGGTAGAGGCCAAACAGATCCCTAAAGCACAGATTGATCATTCAAAACCTTTCTGTCAGCTTCCATGATTGTCGGAGGGAGCCGATGTTAATCTACGCAAGATGTGCAGTTTTCTCCGTTGATCAAACTTTGGGTTCCCATGAAACATCCGAAAGGCAGCCCCACGAATCCAGGATTGTCCTGATGGATTTGGCAAGCCGTTCGGTGCTTGGTGAAGACCCACTCAGTACCGCCTGCTGCTGTGGATCAAGAACTTACGCACGCATGAGGGCATGTGCCACGCACGCATGAGGGCATGTGCCACCTTTTTTTTGACATAAGGGTGCCTTCAATGCCCAAACGCTCCTCGAATTCACGACCTGGTCTCAGGTTTTGCGGTCAAAAAGATCGGAGAAAGAGGGGCTGCCATGCTTCCATGCCAAAAGGCGAAACGCAGAACGATGTTTAGGCAGAGGTGTTCCATGAAGGTCCCTTGGGCATTTCTGTTCGGTCTGTGAATTGCAGCAGTTTGCCCAGACATTCTTTCAGCCCTGCCAACAATATGTGTGCGTGTGAGACTCTTGGAGTTGGTACTCTTGGTACTCATGACGCCAGCGAGACCAACCCAGCTGGCGACGGCATCCCAAAACGGCTTGGGGGCATTTTTGTGGTCAACAGCCGGGTCTCCTGGCACGAAAGGCATCTGATTGAGAGCTAACTTGGTAGAGCGATAGTTGATACACTCATGGTGACTTCGGATGGATGCACCAGTTGGTAGGTGCTTTGTCCCAGTAGAGTTTCATCCGTGCCTGGTGCGAAATGGACTTCATTCATCAGTGACTTGTATGCCTAGGTGTCCTTCTTGGGCTAGTTTGCCTTGAAATAGATGGCACTTGCGTAGACTCAGATCAGATTTTCCATTTACCATGCAAAAAACACACATCTGTCTTTTTTCCAAAAGGCCACCTCTGCTTGTGCATGTTTTTTTTCTCCTCTTTTTTTTCCCGGGGGCCAGTTGGACGTCAAGACTCGCGTGGCTCTTCTTTGAGTCGCTGGAACTCGATGCCGAAGCAGCGATGCGGCGCCTGGCCGTGTTGCTGGCGCTCGCGGGAGTGCTGGCGGCGCTCTCCTTGGGCAGGCGGCCACAACGCGCCCACAACGCGCGCACGCGCGCGCGTCCGTTGCGGTCAAAGGAAAGCAACCCGAGGGGTTTGGAGGCCTGTGGAGGTTTGCAGTTTTGGTTGGAAGGGTGCCTTTTTTTGGGTTGGTTTACAGGGATCGGACGCCTCCGCAGTTTGGGGTTTGGTGACCGTTTTGGGGTTGGCTTTGGATGGAACGTCGGTAAGGCCGTGGTATGGATGGGGCTGTTCGAAAGAGGTTGTTGCGGGCCCCAACTCAAAGGGAACGTTGAACGCGCGTTGGTACTTGGATGTTCGATTCGCCAGGTTAGCAAGTGGTTAGCCACTTGGGGTACAACCCCCCCAATAGCAGTGTTAACCCCGACTTATAAGTGGGTTACAACCGAACGGTTGCCTTTTACCCACAACTTGCTAACTTGGCGAATCGAACTGCCAGGTACCAAAAAGAAGAGTGGACATTCCTCGGTTTTTCGCAGTTGGAAACTTTTTTTTTTCCCCAAAGAACAAACAACACCCAAGTAGGAATCAAAGGAGATATCGTTTAACATATTTGGGACTACCCTTTGGGCTGAGGGCAACCACAGGCCACCCCCAATCAAAAGTCACGTACCACAGTTAGGCCGCTTTAAAGCGCTCCAACTGATTTTAAATGGAGGGGTGCTGTTTTTGGGGGGTTGGTTTAAAGAGCAACCTCCACGTATGGGGGGGATTTAGGTCAGTTGCAGTGGCTCAGACGCTTTTTGAGTGGGCGGGGAGAAGTCTAGATCAGTTGCAGTGGCTCAGACGGGAAACCACCTTTTGAGAAACTTGCTTCACAGGGTTTGAGCTTTTTCGAGGGCACCCTGTTCAGGTTGGTTGAAAGGGAAACCGGGTTCCCCCTATTTTGGGGCTCCTTTAAAGTCAAAAAAGCCGAATCGGTTTTTCCCGCGGCCGCGAGTGCTGCGTCAGGCACGTGCTGAAGAACGGCCGTCCGAATTGGCAAGGACGAGTTTGGGAGTTAGAGTCGTAGAGGGGGGCTACCCAGCATTTCTGGCCATGGAGAATGAGCCAAACCAAACGGGGTCTGTGCACTTTCATGTTTGTACAACCTGCTTTGCGTACTGGCTGGGCGGTTCGAAGGCAATCCTCAATCCTTACCTTGGGTTACGAAAGGGGTCCCCTGGTTTACCAATGGAGTGGCCAACGCTCCATTTGAACATCTGATGGTTGGATCCTGGATTAATGCCCACCTCGTAAAACTCGAAGCCTGCCCTGTTCTTTTTTTCTTTGGGGGGGGGGGGCAACTCCCCTCAAAGTGATCCGGTAGAGGGGAACACCCCCTATGAATCAACAATGGGTTTATCAATCCTTGATTCCCATTGCTGGTATGGCAGTCCATCAACCTTTTTGTACATTGAGCTGCGCTGAAACCTCCGCTCCACTGACCTGGTCTAAATTGTGGATGCGCTAGATGGTCTAAAAGCTGCAAGACGTGGCTGATATCCATGTTCGCCCTCCAATGTGCTGATGGAACGCTTGAGACAAGGCGCCACGCACTCTCGAAGGGTGGGTGGGTGGCTGCTCCTCTCTACCGGGGGGTCCGACCAGCCAGGACTATTGGCGGGCGGAGGCCGGAGCAAGCCGCGCAAGTTCGGCCCTCCAGCTTGCTTCGCCTTCAAGACATGAGGGGACAAATTGTTGGTTTCAGTTTATTGGTTGAACAAAGATGGGCAATCGTCGGTATGGGCATGCCATTTCTTTGGGGGAGCCCCCCTCCCGAAAAAAGGATGCAGTTTTCCTCTTGGTGTTCCTTTTGACACCACCAAACACGTGGGACCAAAAAAAGGCATAGCCATAATATACGTCAAGATCATACGCTATTTTTCGGGCTATCAGTTTTGGGCGGTCCATGTCCTATCGGTTTTAGGTCGAGGGGGTATTGGCCGCTCGGATTTTGGTAGTATCGTCGGTTACTCAGATGGCACCAACCGCTTCAGTTTGGTGCCCGTCACTTGCCACGGGGTCAGCCAATCTTGAAGCCATGCTGACCCGGGATGCTCCCCCCAAAACTTGATGAATCGAAGGAACCCGTTGTGTTTACAAGCAATGCATTAGATTTAATTTCCACCACCCAGGGATTTTTTTTCGTTTTTGGAGTCAGGGCATAGTTCGATCAAAATCATTCTTGCGGGGCGAATGCGCGAATATCACATGTGCCATGTATGCATTTGTATAGAGAATGGTTGGAAGGTTCGTTCCCATTCCTTGCTGAGAGCAAGCAAGCCACTCGTTTGACCGTGCTCACATCTTCCGGTTAAATGAGCCCTTGTAGACAAAGAACCATCAATGCAGTCTGTCCCTTGTTAAAACCATGTTGAATCCACAACTGCTGAAACATCGCTTCGACACTGCAGTCTGGCCTTTAGCTTTCGTTGGGGCAACGGGGGACAGGGCAGATTTTGACCCTGGTCGATTCCGGAGCACTGGGCCCATGATTTTGGCCAAGGTCAGAAACTGGGGTTTTCCCTCAATCGACGACTTGAAGGTGTAGCCAGTCACACATTTCACGAGCTCCACCAGCAGGCACCAAGAGTTTGGTTTTGTCAAGGCAGCAGTCCAGCTCCAAGAAGAGCACGTTTTCAACTGCTGCAACGTTTTTTTGACTTCATGGTAAGATCGTGGGGCCAGAGTCCATAGGTATCCTTTTTGGTTGGTTTGCTTAAAAGATAGGGGTTTATGTCCCATTTACCAGGGCAACCCATCTATTTTTCCAAGAGGCCACCTATAGTGACACCGGACGTTTTTTTAAAACCCCATCTTTTTTTCAGGCGTTTTTGCCACTGTAGTAGGCTTGCCAGGCGTTTTTTTTCCTTTTGAAGGGCCGCCTATGCGCCGCGGCCGACTCGCCGGCGCGCCTCGGCCTCGGAGGTGTGGCTGCGGCCGCCGGCGCCGCTCCCGCGCCGCCTTTGGATTTGGCGGAAGGTTCGGAAGGCGGGGCCGGCGGGGGGTCGCCTCCCGTTGGCCAAGGGGCCAAGGGGCTCGGAAAACCCAACCCTGAAAAAATGGACATATGTCCAGTAGTGATAGATTCCCCTTTAAAGCCAACAGGGGACAAATATAAACATATGGCTGTGGCTCCAAAAAATGGGCCAAAATGGGTTGCCCTGGCAAGTGGAAACATGGACCAAAACCTGAGCCACACCCAAGTGACGATGAGAGCTTGCGAGTTCCAGAGATGATGTTAGGAGGTGGAGCGGAGTGGAGTTAGGGTGGGAGTGGAGTCGAAGGAGAGCGGACTTGAAAGGACGATGGGAATTGGGGTGGACCGGCGGTGGTGGGAGTTGAGTTGAGTGGAGTCCAACCAAAACCTGATCATATCGGATGTTTTGGAGGGTCTAGATCTGGAAGGTGTTTGGTGTCATTCTGCGCTTTGAGATGGGGTAGGGAGGGGGATCACCCCTGAAGATCTCCATTTTTGTTTCCATTTTCCCTTTTGTGGTCGGAAGACTCCCCCCCCCCCTCCATCGGTAGGGGGATGAAAGCGATTGGCTGCGGCCAGGCGCGGCGGGCGGAGAAGGCGGAAGTCCTGGAAGCTTTGCCGCGGAGAGCCCTGGAGGTCTCCCAGAAACTCGAGACTGGCCGACTGGCCCCATACTTATAGGGCTGTGGCTCAAAAAACTAGTACCAAAATGGAACCTTGGCAAGTGGAACCAAAGACCAAAACTTGCGTAACCCTAGTTCTTTAATTTTGAGCCACAGCCAATAGGGCTCTCACTCCCATTCTTCGGGGAATTTTGAGGGTTCAGGTTCATTCATGCACACGAACAGCTCCGCGTAGGTCTAGTTGGATGGTTTTGCTCTGGTTGTAAACCCACTTGAAAAGGTTGTAAGTGCCCTGTAACGATGGTTATGAGCCATTTAGCGATTTGTCCCAGACCATCTAAGCAAGGCCCCCTTTGTGCTTCTGGCGGAATGGTTGGGCGGTGGCGCGGAATCAAAGCTCGCAAAAAAGAAGAGTGCTCTCTCTCTGAGCCCCTGCAAATGGTCCAATGGGCGGGATTCAGAAGCCCATCACCATTCCCTGAAAGATGGAATTGGGGGAGGGGGGTGGCCCGTGAAATTCCATTTAGTTCCGTTTCCCCCCTCTCAGGAAGGATGTCCCATCCTGGCTCAAGCTCACTCCTCCTCGCTCCTTTCTCGCTCGCGCGAGCGTGGAGGTTTCTCAAAAGAATCGGAGCCCCAGGTTGGTCTCCATTGAACTCTCACAGGGCACCGTTATTTTGAGAAGCTTTGTACATCCTGACATAGAATCAGAACCCACCAGGCGCTCTTTTTTTTGATCTCCGCAAAGAGGCTCACTTCGGAGCAGCTTTCAGCTTAGATTTCCGGACGGTATTCCTTGGGGCTAGGGATACCCCGCCCCCTCCTCCGTTTTTTTTTTGAGAGAGACGCGCCATGGACGAGAAGGACTTGCTCCCCGTGCGGCTGGTGGGCCTGACCGGTCGCCTGCTGGAGCTTGAGGCGTCTTGGACGTGGACGGGGCGGGAGCTGCGAGCGGCGGCCGCGTCGAAGGAGGGCGTGGGATCGTTGGAGGCTGGGCGCGCACTGGTGCTGAGCTTTGGGGAGAGGAGGCGAGACTCGCGAGTGGCGAGTCGAGAGGGCAGGTTGGGTGGCGGACGTTTCTTTTTTTTTTTTTTTGTTGGAGCTGCGAACTTGAGATGGTAAGGGTAAGGGTGTTGATGTGTTTCAACTTCAGTTTTTTGCTTTCATACCTCAGAATGCACTCGGAATCCTTCTTGTGGGCATCGGACGTCAGGCTGGTGCTCGCAAGCATGCTGAAAGACCAGGGTCTGCAATTGGAGTCGGATGGAGCGGTTTGCGGCAGCTTTACCTACATGAAGACCTGCGTGCTCCATGCATCTACCCCTGAAAATCCGGTCGACAACTTTTTGGTTGACTGCCACACTGGGGTTCATGTTCTTGTCATTGCCAGACTTCATTTGCCGTTAAACGGTTTTTTGCCTTTTTCATTTCCTTCATTTCTCCTTTCAGCCAGCAAATAGATAGGTTTTTGGTCTAAGTCTGGTCCAGCTTTGACCGTTGATTTCTGCCCCAGGAAGCCAGCCCCTGTGGCTTCCTGGGTTTAAACTTTGCAGGGGCGTCAGACTGACCCAGTGAGCCAAAACTTCGGTTTTTGCAGCCTCCCGCCAAACATGAGCAGAACCAGGCTAAAATACATCAACACATGGCAATGAAATGTGATTAGCAACCTGGCTGTTTGTGCTGGCTCAAAGACTGGCATACAGGGAATGGATCAAGTACTAGTTCCAAACCCTTCCTGGTAACACCTCTTGGACCAACCCAGACACGTGCCATTTTCAATTGAGCAGCGCCCAACACCGATTCCGATTGGCAATTTCTTACCACGTGTCATAAAGGTCATAGTGAGGCCTACTTCCCCCAGAATGGTGATGGTCCTTTTGGTTTTCCTTCAAGTCACCAAACCCACCCATACAAAGCTTTGCAACCATTCTGGTAGAAACAAAAGTCAATGCGTGAACCGGGCGCAACTGAAAAAGGTGTGTTGCCTTCAGCTAAGGCATGGGAAGTGCTGCAGGGGCACGGAGATCCGGAGGAGCCCGATGAGCAACCCAGACGCGTCACTTAGAAAGCTCTCCACTATAAACTGGTAACCTGTGGAAACCATGATGTAAACCTAGAGGTAAGGATCCCTGGTTACCTACTATGTGGTAACTGGAAGAACTCGGTTTGGTTGGTTTTAAAAGGGAACCTATCACTACTTCCAGGGGGCGTCTTGTTGGGGGCGACGAACGGGACACTAACAGGAAAACCACCATGTTGGGGGTCCACTATGTTGACACATACTCATTTTATATGTTAGGGTAAACTAAATATGAAACATCATCTGAACATGTGATGTGGGCCACGTTTCATGCTTTCATGTGGGGCAGGATTCCGTTGTAGCAACAATCAGTTCTCCCACGAAAGCGCACTCCCGTCGCCCATTTCCTGGCACATCTCTATATGTGTACTAGCTGTACCTGCTGGGTATGCTAACTGATTGTTGCCTCCTTTGCCTAGGCAATCCTTGCAATGCAAGCCATGGGGTAGCCACTCGAGCGTTGCATTTAGCCATTTCTTGTCCCTCCCCATTGGTCACATGGCCCTGTTCTCCCGTGCAAAGCACACAAAGGGGGTAGATACCTGCTCAAAAAAAGGACCGACCCGGCAAAACCAAAAAACGACCACCGTTTTTTGTTTGTTTTTGTTTTTGGACAAACAACCGGTGCCATAGGTTTTAGAGGTTGTTTGCATCTCGTGGCTCCTCGTCCCGTCCGATGATCGGACCCAAAAGGCAAGGCTCCCTGAGCTCAGGCAGGCCTTGGACGGGCTGTCGGAGCTGGGCTGGGACAGGAACAGCACACTGGAGCTGCTGAGGCTGGGCTTGCCCGAGACCTTGCAGCGCCTCACCTTCGGCAACAGCGCCGTGGCGAAGTCGAGGTCGGTTTTGTTTAGTGCGGCTTAGGGCGGGGTTTTGGGTGGTTCAGGGTATTAGGTTGGGTTTAGGTTTGGGGTTGGGTGTTGAAAGCAAGTTTCGAGTTTGAATTTGTGGTTCAATGTGTTCTCTCTATTCGACTCCCGGTAGATAAAGGGTCCATTGAAGTGTTTGCATTTGACTTTGTTTTGCTTTGAGCCGCCATTTCGAGGGTCATTTCGAGGATGTCTTAGTAGACACAGACCATTCGAATTTTCCTGGCACACTCTGACTCCACATCTCATCTTTTTGGGCGCTGAGGCCCAGTGAAGTGGTTTCGGCCGGGTTCTGGGTGCGGGTGCCGCATAGAGGGCTCTGGAAAACCACCCCAAAATGTGCCGCCACTTCAAAATTGGACCCTGGATATGGGGGTGGCTCAAAATTAAACCAACAGGCCTATTTTTCCACTTATATAAGTTATATACCAGGGTTCAAGCCATTTTGGGGTTAGCCTATGTTTGACCCACAGCCATATAGCACCAAGCCAAAAAATGCCACCACTTCAAAAGGATTCTGGATATAGCACCCCAAAAAATGAGATTCCAGCTGCACCTTAGGCTTCAACACCGGCTTGCTGGGCCTCTCGCTGCCAAGCGGCTTACAGAGCTTGAGCTTGGGTCACAGCTTCAACCGGCACCTGGCGCCCTTGCCCCCAGGCGCTTGGACGGGACACGACGAGAGCGTTTGGAACGCGCGGGTGTCTTGGGCCGTGTGTGTGTGTGTGTGTGTGTGCGTATGTGTATGTGTGTATGTGTGTGTGTGCTTTTGTTGGGGGGGGAACCACGGGGGTTGAGAGCCTTTTCTATGTTGTAGAGTGTTTGGACCATCATCTGCTTTTGTTGAAATATTCTTGCTTTTTGGCGCTGTGTTTTTGGGTTGGATTCATGGTTGCTTATTGTGGTTTAGTGGGAAATCCGCAGCCTTTTTTTGCTTGCTCCCCTTCCAACATCAACCGAGGATTGGTGCTGGGTTGGTGCTCCCTGAAACAAAAAGGGCACCTTGAGCTCGATTTTTCTCCAAAAAAACATTTGGGTGGGGGGCCTGTGCCTGGATCCATCCGCCTTCGGAACTTCGGATTGGCCAGGTCTGCGGTCGAGAGTTCAGTCGGTAGCGGATGTCCAACTCGCTCAACCGGTCACTTTTCAGAGGGTTTCTCAGAAGCATGGTGGAAAACCGGGGCACTTTTTCAAAGGGTTTTTCAGATGAGCCACAACCGAAACCCGGGTAGATGAAGGTTAGTAAGGGACAATCCCAACCATAAATAGCTGCGGAATTCCGCCTTCTTGATTCTTTTTATGGGTTCTGGGTAGACCATTGTAGTACCGGGTTTTGATTCTGACTCAGATTGGTTTCTGAGAATCATGAGCCCGTGTTTGGATGTTCAACAAATCCAATCTATAGGTTATAAGCGTGGCAAGGGGACGATCACCCCAGCTACCAGCCACTTACATCCAAGGTTTTTTCACCCACTTACCTGTCGTTGGTTGAACATCCAAGTCGGGTGGTTTACATGTGAAATGGGTGTGTCCTTGTAAGGGCACCTCTTTTTATCCAGGGAAGCGCTAGGCTCGTGCTCCAGGATAGCTCCCCCCCCCTCCATGGTGATTTGTTGTCGGTGCAACCGACTTTGCACTGGCCTCATTATTGTACCATGATCAAAGTCACCCCCTCAGTGGTGGGTTAAAGGGGGCCAACTGAATCCACTTTATGACTTTGAGAACCCCCAGAAACCGCCAAAACGACCCCAGTTGCAACTCATCCTTGTGAGGCTTGACAGAGCTGACGCTGGGCAATAGCTTCAACCAGCGCTTGCAGGGGAGCTTCCCCAGCTTGCAGAGCCTCCAGGGCCGAGGATTCAATCAGACTTTGGAGGGACTGGGCCTTCCGAACTTGCGCAGCTTGAGTCTTGGCGATGCCTTTGACCAGCCCTTGGTGACTTGGCGCGCGCTTGGAGAGACAACTGCGGATGTTTTTCGCACGCGTCATGAGGGAATTCAAGCAGCATGAGGCGTTGCAGTCATATCTGTATGAACACAGTTCACGTCTGGGTGCCGTTTCACCCTGGCAGGATCAACCAAGTTTTGCTGGGCTGGTGAGATTGTTCCAGCATGCGCAAGTTATCAACCCCACGCTCGTGCATGAAAGCTGTTCAAATCAAACACACTCAACACGCGTAGTCTCCCCTCCAGGTGACTTTGCCCAGCGGCCTGCAGAGTCTAAGCCTTGGCATCAGGTTCAATCAATGCTTGGAGGGGCTGAGCCTTCCAAACCTGCAGAGCTTGAGCTTTGGCGATACCTTCAACCAGCCCTTGCAGGGTGTGACCCTGCCCAGCCTGCAGAGCCTGGCCTTTGGCGACAGCTTCGATCAGAATTTGCAGGGCCTCGACCTGAGGAACTTGCAGCGCCTGGCCTTTGGCGACAGCTGCGAGCAACGCCTCACAGGTCTCAGTTTGCCCAATCTGCAGAGCTTGTCCTTTGGCAAGTCCTACCAAAACCTGCGAGACCTCCCTTCGCCCAGCCTGCAGCTCTGCTATTGGGTGGGATCTTTAGGCTTCAACTTTTTTGGGATTCCCCTCATATTTTCCTGAAAAGCCAGCCAAAAAGTGAAACTTGTTGCTGGGGGATCTACAGCACTCAAGGCAGCACCTCAAGCTTTTTTGTGGCAACTTGGAAGACCTGTGCTGTCTTTCCCAGTTGCAAAGCTTGACGCTCGGAGACTTTTGGCCGCAAACCTCGTTGCCTAGCAGTCTGCAAAGCCTGACCTTGGATGGCTTTAACCAAAGCTTGGAAGGACTGGCGAAAAAGTCGTCTTCGGCAGTGGTTTCCTGATTTGGCATTTGTTTATTCTTGTGTTGTATTTGCTGTTTTATTCTCTTTGTTTATTGAGGAAAGCACCCTTTTGCGAGCAGGACTGCAGTTGCCCGGCAGTTTGCGGCATCTGACACTCGGCGACGGCTTCAACCAACGATTGCAAGACGTAGCATTGCCTGGGAGCTTGCAGAGCCTAACGTTGGGCAACGGCTTCAATCGAAACTTGCAGGGAACCGCTTTGCCCAGCGGCTTGCAGAGTTTGAGCTTCGGCCGAGACTTCAACCAACGCTTGTGGGGCCTAAGCCTGCCGTGCGCTTTGCAAAGCTTGACCTTCGGCTTCAGCTTTGATCAAAGCTTACAGCGGGTGGCCTTGCCCGGCAGCCTACTCAGATTGACCTTCGGGTATTGCTTTGACCAAAGCTTGCAGGGGATGAGCCTGCCTGAGAACTTGCAGAGCCTGTGTTTCGGCGACAGCTTTGACCAACCCTTGCAGGGTGTCCCGCTGCCTGGCAGTCTGCAGAGCTTGACCTTTGGCAAGCGCTTCAACCAAGAGCTGCAGCACATCACCTTCCCCAGCAGCTTGCAGAGCTTGACGCTGGGCCGGAACTTCGACCAGAGCTTACAGGGAGTGACCTTGCCGGACAGCCACTTGCTTACTCTTTACGACCTTTCGTCTTTGAACCTCGTGGGAAAACAACATTTTTTCTCAGGAACCATATAAAACCTGAACTTACTCTTTGTCGCCAAGGGTTGCTCACCAAGGCCTGCTGAGCCTCACGCTTGGCCACTTCTTTCAAACGCGTCTGAGCGGGGACGGATGGCCGAGTGGCCCCGTCCTCCGCAGGATTTCCGGCGGCGGCGTGGCCGTGGGAGTTGAGGCGGTCGCGAGGAAAACGAGAAAACGCGACGCGCGGCTCGCGACTTGCGGGCAAAAGAGGGATGGATGTGTCTTCGGTTTGGGGAGCCCCCGCCCAAAACGGTGGTTGGCCTTTGAGTAGGTGGGAGCGGGGGAGGCTTGGAGGGAGATGATCAGATCCTATGACAAGTTCAGCGTTGGAGTACTTCTTATGATACATGGGTGTCTTTCTTTGAGGTTACTTCTATCTGGCCTCACAGGGAGCACCAGACTGGCGGGTCCCAATTTTAAGTCAAAATCAAATGTCTAAACTGCTCACCTAAGCAAAGCACGACGTCTGCCTGTCAATCCGAGGCTAGCAGGGGTGACATGTCGCATGGTGGCTGGAAATCAAAGACATCACTCAAGCATAACATACGGAACTGGCCGGCCTTTGCGGACAAGTAACTGAGCAGTTGAATTGGCATTTTTCCCCATGAAGTCGCCATTGAACTTTTAGGAATAGAACAGGTGATAGAGTTTGTATCTTGTTGGTTCGTGATTGCCGGCTGAGATTTCTGCCTGGCTGGCTTTATGCTGACCATTTTTTTGAGACACGTTTGCCTTTTCAGCAACTTGGAAAATAAAGGGTCCTAGAGTAGAAAGGCATCCCTCCCCGTTGGCACCCCGGTTTGCGAGCAACCCTAATGCTTTTTAGTTTCCAAAAATTATCCTTCTCGCCTTGTCCTTTTTTCCAGGGGTACCTTCCCCATTCTTTCCAGCGATCCTTCTTTCTAGAAAACCTCCGGAAACCCAGGGAAAATTGCCAGTTTTTGGAAAGAACGATGGTTGAAAAGAATGGGGAATCAACCCCTATATTTTTGATGCTTCCTTGTTCCACAGAAGCGACGGGGCAACCCTCGCTTTGGCGGCAGGTTCCTTTCTTTAATTGCAGTTTGGTTTCAAAAGCACATCGTCATGATGGGTGTTGCTTCTTGCACAGTATCTCGGTAAATGTTATTCTAGTTTCAAGCAAGTTTTGCAAGGGTATCCTTATTTGTTAGGAAGGGTAAGTCTTTCGAGGTAAACAAGCTGCCAGACATAGAAAAGAACAACTGACACAGAATTCAGGCCATTGCCGAACTTGATCTCCAATGATGTTCTCCAAACACATAGCGGCCAAGTTTCAGCATTGGGGTTTTTCTGCCTCGCATTTTTTGCAGGCCTTGTGCAACGTACCGGTTCCCTCAGTTTCATTGGTCCCCTTTTCCTTCGAGGAAAAGTCAACAGGGCCTCGAGGCCCGGCGTTTTTTTTTTTTTTTTTCTCGGGCAAAGGCAACATTCAGCAGGTCCAGTTCTAGCTGAGTCCCCAACAAACGGTGATGTTTTCGGAGAGATATATTTGGAGCCCTGATGGGGGCTTCGAAATATACTAGGTCCCCCGCCCCTTTACTCCCCTACTAAAGTAGACTACCGAAAAAAGCTGGTACCCGTATTCTAACCTCTCTACTGGAGGACCTGGTATAGCTTCTTGGACCTTGGTGCCGGTACCTACCGCCGCAGGCGCAGATGCGGAGCTGCCGAATTTGCCGCCGCCGGCGCTGCCGGCCGGCAGAGGCGGGGAGTGGATCCCGGTGACCTCCAGAAACCCAGGGGAAACGGACGGGTTTTCGCAAAGAACTGGGTGCAGTATAGAAAAAAGAGTTGATCTCCCAAGGGGAATCGGACGGGTTTGTTAAACAAATGAATGGGAGATCAACTCCAGTATAGTAGGTAACCCTTGGAGAAACCCAGGGAAAGCAACCCAGCAAAATCTGTTTTTTTGGACCGGGACCGGTGAAAAAACAATATATATCTGTTTTTTGGACCGGGGCGGGGGGGGGGGGAACTGTTAAGAAGAAAGGGGGGGAGTTTTTGCAACGAACTTTTTTTTAAAAAGGAATGGGAGATCAGGTCCAGTGCAGAGGTAACCCTTGGCCATTCCATTTGGCTTTTGTATCGGGCGGCTTGCCGCCCTGGGTTACCTACTTAGGGAAATGGAATCACGTTCAGGCGAATGGTAACCCCTGGTTAACCCCCCTTTAGTGGGGATTTACTCAACTCTTGGAGGGGCCCCACCACCCTACGAATACGAGAGGCTCATTTATCCGGGGTCAACTTTATGAATTTAAGAGTTGGAAGCAGCAAACTCAGGTGGTTGGTGGACATGAACACCACATATATGATGTCTAAAAAAAACAAAAACACACCCATTTGATGTCCACGATCAGTGGCACAAGCCGAAAGCACGCGCTGCTGGATCAGGTTGTTGTTAACATCGGGCCTCTTCCTTGGGTACCTTTCCGGTTGAAAGGGATGCAACCCTCTGCATGGGCTGGACTTTGGATCCGAATCGCTACGACTTTTCGATCCTTTGGAACACGATCGGATTTTCCATTTTTCAGACTTGGATGGCCTTTTTTGCCTTTCACCGTTCTGGTGTTCCTTCATTTCCCCCAAAACAAGGGGCAGGGGAAGATCCAGCCACAGGGTTGTGAAAGGAAAAAAACACGCACACACACACACACACAAAAGGGGCGAGCCTTCCTGCACACCTGGAGATCTCCATTTCTCATAGAACCTCTTGAAAAAGGCCAGAAAAGCACGAGACAAAGAGATTTCAACATGAAAAAAAAGAGCCGGACGAAACCACCGGACTGAACCGGAAAAATCAACGGAAGGCAGCATGAAAGAAGACAGCAACCGCCAAAAAAAACCAGCAACAAAACAGCCTGCATGAAAGAAGACAGCAAGCGGGTAAAAAAGAGATAAACAACCACAACAATACAAAAACAACAGCAACAAAACAGCCAGCATGAAAGAAGACAGCAAGCGGGAAAAAAAGAGATAAACAACCACAACAATACAAAAACAACAGCAACAAAACAGCCAGCATGAAAGAAGACAGCAAGCGGGAAAAAAAAAGAGATAAACAACCACCAAAAAACAAAAACAACAGCAACAAAACAGCCAGCATGAAAGAAGACAGCAAGCGGGGAAAAAAGAGAGAAACAACCACAATAAAACAAAAACAACAGCAACAAAACAGCCAGCATGAAAGAAGACAGCAAGCGGGGAAAAAGAGATAAACAACCACCAAAAAACAAAAACAACCGCAACAAAGCAGCCAGCATGAACGAAGACAGCAAGCGGGGAAAAAAGAGAGAAACAACCACCAAAAAACAATAACAACAGCAACAAAACAGCCAGCATGAAAGAAGACAGCAAGCGGGGAAAAAAGAGAGAAACAACCACGATAAAACAAAACCAACAGCAACAACACAGCCAGCATGAAAGAAGACAGCAAGCGGGGAAAAAAGAGAGAAACAACCACAATAAAACAAAACCAACAGCAACAAAACAGCCAGCATGAAAGAAGACAGCAAGCGGGAAAAAGGGATAAACAACCACAATAAAAGAAAAAGCAACCGCAACACAACAGCCAGCATGAAAGAAGACAGCAAGAGAAGCAAAACACAAAACAATCAACCACAAACCAAAAAGACAGCACACATGATACACAACAACAACAAAAAAGCAAAAACGAGCAGCAACAGCAACAGCCTGCCCTTGCGCTATGGAACTGGGCCCCCGCAACCTGCGTCCCGCATGGATCGATCCCGAGGCTCGGGCCTCATGTGGCTGGGCCAGACCAAGGCCAAGGGGAGTGGGATCGCCTTTGTCTGTGGATGGATCATTCATTTCAGGATGCTTCTCAAGATGGGAATCCTACTGTGGATGGTCGCACTCGAAATCAACATCGACATCCGTTTGCTTCGTCCAGCTTCGCGCCCGCGCCACGAGAGATGAGTTCCCATGGGGGGTTGGTATGTATTTGCAGGGCAATCAGCCAGGGTTACTTAGGTGCGAACGGATTTCGCAACCATTCACAGTAGGTGTCCTTTTGATCGGTGAGTTTGGGGAGTGAAATAGATGGGCAAACCGATTGGTGGTAAAACCCATTTACAGGGGAAGCCCATTGTTTCCAAAAGGAATCCTATGGGTTCGGGCCTTTTCATGGCTCATTGGGATGTGTCAAATTTCCTTGAAAAAGGGACAGCGAAAGGGACCAGTTTCGGGGGTCCCCTTAAAAAGACACCCATACTGTGGATGGACGAAATCCTGCTCCCAGGGAGACCATTGTTTTTTGGTATTTTACAGAAAGATCATCATTTACGGGTTTCTTAGATGGTGCAGGATTTCGTCCATCCACAGTAGGTGGGGCGAACACAAAGGCGAAACTTGGCACGGTTTCGAGATGGCTACGTGGTTGCGAAGCATGTCAACCCAGGATCAATCCCTGGCTTGGGAGGGCCCCCCACCCCCCGAAAATAAGAAGGTTTATGAATCCGGGGTCAACATTGCCCTGCATGCATGTTCTATTGTTTGGTTTTGGCGTAGGAGTCCGACGGCACTGCCCGGAGCAGGGGTTTATCGTGTATCCAAAAAGCTAGTTTCAAAATTCTAAATGCTTTGGAAAAACTATTGGTAACTATGCCGCCAAGTTTTGTGGACCGTAGGTGTCAAGATTTTCCGGGCCCGTCCAGGTGAATGGTGTCCTTTTGGTTCTCCACAAAAAGCAAGCTACTTTTTTTGGGCGGAGACCCATTTTGGGCTCCCCTATTCCAAGACACACCCGGGTCTAGCTATGTGATGCGCTTGCGTGGAAGGCCCCTTCAGAGAAACAAAAATAATGTTGACCAAGTTCTTGGAGAGCCTTATTTCATGTACTGAGCTGCAAATTTCCGTGTAGACGCCCAGCATGATAAAAGTTCAAGCCTATTTGGTAGATCGATATGGACGTGTTTTCAAGCTCCAAACCTGTTCTTCTTTTCTTGCGTGTTTTTGCAACATTACTTTCGCTTGTTGGTTTTTATCTATCAGTACTGGACATATATTTTTTGCCTTTTCCAGGGGGCGTACTGTGGATGGACAAGATCCTGCACCACCCAAGAAACCCTGGAATCATGATTCCCCTGCAAATTCCTAACAAGCAATGGTCTCAACCATGGTCTCAAAGTGGTGCGAAATGAATTTCGCAACCATCCACAGTATGAGCAAATGGAGGTTTTTCTGTTCCAAAGAACCGACACCACCTCAGGTGGCTCTTTTTGCCACCTTTTACAGACGATTTTTTGACCCCTTGTAGTGAAGGATTCCAGTTTAAGGCGGGTCGCCAATCTTCTCACAACAGGCAGCAACAACGACCTAGGAGGCGTCACCGCCTCCCTGCGGTTTCTTGCGCTAGGAGCTGAGCCAAGAGGAGCTGCAGAAGATGGTGACGCCCCCCGAGGTTCCCAGACCATCCAGGACGGGGAGGGGTGATTCCGCCGAAGTCAGATGGACGTCGGTCGCTTGAAAATCGGCTTGGACCCTTCGAGTGGCAACCAAGACGTTGGGCTGCCACGGACTTTTTGGCATGCCTCCGCACATTATCTCGCGGGGGCAAGATACAGGGCTCCTTAAAAGATACGTTTTGCCTATTTGAAACATGGCTTTTTCCACGAAAACAAAGGGATACCACCATTTACACGGCAATGTTCAGGTGTTTGGATCTAAGGATCCCTGAGATATGCTCTGGAGTCGTTTCAGGAGCCACGACTTCGTGCTGTGTGCCAACATCGCAGGCAAGATGGCCCGGAGGGCGAAGTGGTGACTCATCCCCAGTCGACCCGCTTGGGCGTGTCACACGCTTGGTTTCATTGTGGTCTCCCTTTAAGGTCACTTCAAAACGTTGGTATCCTCAAAATAAGACACACCCATTTGTCATCCTGAGCTCTGATTTTCTTGGGGTTGCGACATATGGCTGTGGGTCAAAACCAATGGTACAATTTTGGGGGAGGTGCACCACCCATTTTGGGATGTTCACTGGGGGTACGGGCCATGGCCATATTTCCTTTGGGCCTCCGGCAGTGCCAATGGACCCGAGTAGTTTTGCACCATTTGAAGGACTCCGGTTGCTCGAAACGGTAGTGCTACGGATGCCAGAGGAAGGCGTAGCTGTCAGCCAATGTCTCAGTGTCCTTGGCAGGCTAGTCCCAAAAAAGTGTGGCTCGAATATCTTTTTTTGAGGATCCAGGATACCTTGTTTTTTTGTTTTCGGGAAACCAGGAGGGACCATCCCCCCCATTTTCGGGGGTCCGACTCCCAAAACACTCGTCACCCGAAAGCGGATGTCTTTCGATCGGCGTCTTTGCTCTGGACTTCCGCGAAAGGCCATCCCGGTTTTGTCTCAGGTTTCTTCCGGGAAGCGGGAAGGAGGATCCATCCCCTGAGTGCTCGGGTGGGTCATGTAGCGAATGTACAAGAGGCAATGGGTTTGATTCCCTCTCAACTGATCGAAATTCAAGAGTCATGCGTTTATGCCTCCATAATGAGTGAGCAGGTGAGCCCCGATGCCATGTCCTCGCACCCAATTCGGGTAGTTAGAGGGCAAGGGATCCCAGCCATGGGTGCGGAATTTCCGCCTTTTCAATTCTTGAAGCATGGTTCTGGGTAGACCATTTGAATACCCGGTTTTGATTATGACTGACCTCACCTTCTGGGTAAACCGAGGGCTAAGCCGGGCAAGGTTGATGCATGAGCAACACGCAGAATCCTAATTGCAACTGCTTATAAAACTACCCCACCTACTTTGGACAACATCCACTTCGCACAAGTTGGGTTTCATGAAACCCTACGAGAATTCGGATACACCACCACGTACCAGCTGCTGCAGGATTTTGTCCATCCACACACGCTAGTATCTCGGGGTTCCCGATATTTCCTGAAAAGGACGTGAAAAGCACCACCGAAACAGGCCAAAGAGAGCTTCCTTTTTGGCTGTTAGACCCCCAAGTGGGCACAGGCCATACTCTTTTCCCAAGCCACAAAGCAGGGCCGGCTACCAGGGCACAATCACGAACCTAGAACCTGCACAGGGGTGGCAGTGTTCAGATCCGAGACTCAACAGGTCATCCTGACAGTGTACCGTCAATCAATACCGCAGTTGCATCGCTACTGTGTCCCCAGGAATTCCAAAGATATGGCACAAATACGGGTTCCACTAAAATCCTCTTGCTGTGCGCGACTGCAGTCCTGCACGACGTTTTTGTTTGTTTAAGGCGACCCTGCAGTCCTGGACGGTGTTTTTTTTTCTCTGACCCTGCAGGTTTTGCCTTAGTGTTCCTTCGGTTCTTTCTTTTTTGTAGGGGGGGGTTGTTTGCTTCAAAGTCAGACGGCTCGTCGGATTTTTTTTTCGCGTCGAGCGCTCGGGGCCCGCACTTGCGACTCGCGAGGCACCCTGGGGAGCGCATTGCAGGCGCTGAAGGCCACTCGCTGCGGACGGGTCGGAAGTTGGATGGGTTGGGTGAAGGCTCGCTTTTGGTGGCTCGCAGCCATCTGGTGCACTTCAGCTTGTTAGCTTTGTTGCTTTTAGCTTTTTGAGCTTTGTTGCTTTTTAGCTTTTTTGTTTTTTAGCTTTTTGGCTTTTTGGCATTTTAGCTTTTTAGCTTTTTGGCTTTTTGGCATTTAGCATTTTAGCTTTTTTGTCTTCTTGGCTTTTTGGCTTTTTAGCTTTTTGGCTTTTCAGTGTTTAGTGGTTGGGTTTCCGTATTTAACCCACAAGTTAAAATGTTTGGGGGGGGATCTGAGGACACCCCAGTTGTGCAAAGCGAATCGACCATGAGCTTTCCGTTTCCAACCTACCTGTTCTTTCTGGGTCCTAGCCTCAACTGAGTTCGGGTGTCCGAAGTGTCTAACGGCGAAGCTGTTAGCTCAAATCGGAGTTCAACTGGGACCGTTGAACGGGGGAGATGGTTGAAAGAACCAGACCCTGGCCTTGATTTGGAAACAGGAGGTTCTTTGCACAGGTGTTTAAGCATGTTAACACCGGGTTTTTCGGACAAGCACGGTAGGGTTTTTCTCCCTGCAAGTCTTCAGATTTTCCTCTTGCCCAGAGGGTCCCTTGGTACCTGAGGATGGCTTGGGGGTAACAAGGGGTCGTTCAGTATCAATTTAGGTACCAACAAACCGACCCTCTGGCTTGGGATCTGGAAAGCAAAGTTGTCAGCCAACCAAGGCTTCGGCAGGATCCTGGCGGAAGCGTGAACGAAGGGTTCTTGACCAACAGCCATTCGTTTTCTGGGAGCTTCAGACCAACAACCCGTTGGGTTACTTTGGGGGGGGTGTCCATCACTTTTGGAGGGAACACCCCCTATTTTTTAGGAAGGGGTTATTCATCTGGGGTCAACAGCACCCCGGTGGTGAAAGCCGACCTCTTTAACCTTTTGGCTGCGTTTTTGCTTCGTTTCTTTGATAAGCTGGAAACACTGTCAAGGAGAACCAAGGATCAATAAACCCCTGGTTGGTCAACAGGAAAGTCCGATTTAAGAGCGGGGGCTTAACTTTTTGTGGGAACACCCCCCACCCCTCGAACACTCCACCAGGTTGATCAATCCGGGGTCAGAGTTATAGATGCCACAGGACCTCCGCGGACTTTCTTTCCGGGGAGAAGGGATGTATCGGTGCGCGCTCGCAGCGAAAAATGCTGAAGTTGGGCTTTCGGCTTTCCTTGAAGAACAGGAGCTGCTCTTTGATTGGGGGTGTCCTTTTTGCAAGGGTACGTCTTTTCGGATGGTTTTTACCAGGAGACCACAAGGAAAACCCATCAGTTTGGGGGTTCCCCTGTAAAAAAGACACACCCGATTCTTTATGGGTGCCGCTCTTTAAGTCATAGCCCAAAACAGGCCGGGGTCCAAGTTTTTTGCGGTGTCCTTCCGGCAGCACCGCGGTCACCGGGCCCCAAACCAATTAGCTTCACCAGAATTGGCTCCCCTTTTCGCTCGTTTTTGATCTTTTTTGGGGTTCCCTTGGTTTTCCACGAACCAGGCAAAAACGATATATATATATATATATATATATTTTTGCTGGGGTCCTAATTCCAGCCCAGTTAGGGGGAAGCTGACATGCTCATCCTTCGCCACCGGTTTCCTCTTGTTTGAAGGGAGACCAAAGAGAAGCCGCCCATGTTCGGGGGGCCCAGCTTTTCAGAATCCATTTGGAGGGATTCCATCCCCCCCCAAACAGTAACACACACACACAGACAGAACACATACACAACATATGCACACAGCATCACAACACATGAACAACACCTAAACATCACATACACAACCACACACACACACAACTAAAACATGCGCCCAAGAAGCCGTGTTTCTTCTGCCGCGTCTTCTCTTTTGGCGTCTTCGAGGCCTTCCTGACCATTGCCAGGAGGCTGCAGGAGAGGCCGGACAGTCGGTGTGCTTTCCAAGGCGAGCTGTGGATCTCAAAAGCGAATGCCAACATCGGATTAATCCGGACGCTGCTAGTCAGGGGCAGGTTCCCCTTGTAGTATGGAAATTCACCATTTTAGGAGGAACCCAGAAAAATAGCGAATTGCAGACTTACCACCCCTTCTTACTGCGTTTTTTCATGATTAATCCGAAGTTGACCTTACTTCTGCGGCGGGTTCCCCTTTTCACGCACGCATTGCTCGGTCCCTTCGTTTCGGGGTTTGGTCATTTTCATGGACTCGGTTTCTGGGGTCCAGGAAACGGACAACTTGACCTAGCTCCATTACCATTGCCGTTGGGGATGTGACAACCGTGAAGAGATGCAATGCCACCCAGTGCTTCCAGCCCAAGCTGTGGCTTTCCTCTAGGCTTTACATCATGGGGCAACCTACTATAATGTTAACCCCGGATTAACAAACCACTGGTTGACTAATAGGCTAGGGGGGTGTCCCCTTTTAGCGTGGATTCCGACCACTGGAGAGAACACCCCCCCAATGGGACGGGTTTATGAATCCTGGGTCAACATTACCGGGAACCATAGACGCAAAGAAGCCACGCGACATCTTCTAGCCGGTTGGGGTTCTGTTGTTCCCTTTTAACCAAAACAGGTCATACTGTGGATGGACAAACTCCATTTCGCACCACCTAAGAAACCCTGGTTTCTGATGATTCCCCTTGTACATACCAGCAAACGTTATGGTTTCACCAATGGTATCATTTCGTGGTGCCATCCACAGTAGAATTCCCATTTTCAGAAGCACCCACATGGGAGTATTGTCAGACAACCCATAAAAAGGATATGGTGGAAAGGCTTTCCGCCCCCCGTTTGGAAGCCAAACAAAAAGTATGGGGGACCGGTCCCAATTTTGAGAAGCATCAAACCGCCACGGTGAAAAATGTAATGGGGGGGGAGGGTCCGTTTCGCCCAGTTCACCTGAAATCCTGTTCGCCTTTTGGAGCGCCCAAGATCAACAGGGCTGCTCGCCTTTTGACCAAAGGCAAGAAATTGTTGTCTTGGGCCCTTTGGTTTTCCAGGCTCAGTTGCAACCACAGCGAATTGGCCGGATCTGAGCTGATCTGGTTTTCTCCCCATTTTTACAATCGCCGCAAAAGGCAATCACTGTGCTTGGCGTGTAGTGGTCGGGTTTCCGTATTTCACCCATAGGCCGAAAATGGACCGCCCAGTTCATGTTGCTACCCCAAGCTGCAGGCTTGAGGCTCCCTCCAAGGGTGTAAAATGATGTCCACAGAGGTTTCGATTCGAAGGATTTGACGCGACCGCAATTCAAATCTTCGCTGTGATTTGTTTTTTCTCGGTTTAGTGGGTTTTGGTGTTTTTTTCTTTATTTTCCGTCCGTTTTTGGTAGTTTTTTTTTCTTTATTTTCTGTCCGTTTTTGGTAGGGGGCTGCAACAGCAAATTAAAAGCTACCGTACCAAGGGCTGGAAAGTAATAATGCAATCAATGAACCCTGGTTGAGTACTGGGCGTGGTGGTCCCCACCTGATGTCCTTGGCATGCATGGTGAACAGCACCTTAAAAACATGGCCAGGGGCTGGCGGGTGCGTGTGGTCTTCCCCGCACTTGGCACCCACGAGTTCGACGACCTGCCGCTGAGCACGCGGAACGGGACGTCTTTGGCAAACATGCTGGACACGACGGGGTCCCAGAGAGAGAGACAGAGAGAGAGAGAGAGAGAGAGAGACAGAGAGAGAGCGAGAGAGCGAAGAGAGAGAGAGCGAAGAGCGAGAGAGAGAGAGAGCGAAGAGAGAGAGAGAGAGAGACCTTGGGCGCTTTGCTTTCTTTTTTAAAGGCCACCTCTTCGGTTCTTCAAAGGGAAACCAAAGAGACAACCGAAGCCCTTTCGTTTTAGCGAGAGAGAGAGAGAGAGCTTGGGCGCGTCGTTTTTAGCCTCCCCCCAGGGGGGATCACAGGGCGCAGTACACAGCCTCTTTGGAGCAGCCTAGCCCTTGTTTTGGGGTTGTTTACAGCGAAACCAAAGAGAACGCCGAAGCTCTTTTTTTTTTTTTTTGGGGGGGGGGGGGTGGCCTCTAAAACTAGACAAAGCCACTTTTCATTTGCGGTTCAGAAGATGTTCATATTTGTCCCTTGTGGTTTCAAAGGGAGTCTATCACTGGAAAGATGTTCTCGGAGTTTTTGAGGGGACAGAAAGCAAAAAGCACCTCTACCCTTAAGCAAACGGAGGAGAAGGGAGGCTTGGATCAACGAGACCCGCGAGACACGGCGAGACCCGAGGACGCCTTTGAGGCAGCTCCTGGACATCGAAGAGGCGGGATTGTCGGACCAAAGTTTCAAAGGGGTCCGTGTGTTGGGGGAAAATGGGGGAAGAGGGACGCCAAAAGGGCGAACACAGAGGGGAACATAGGGGAAGGCATTTTTTTTCGGGGGGGGGGGGAACAATAGATTACTTCGTTGGAGTTTTTCTTTGGCGGGGGGGGGGGGAGGGCGAGGGGGGGGGGGGTAGCATAAGTTGCCTGTCAGTCATCTGAGAAATGAAGGTATTATTTTTTGGTGGCACCTAAATCGCAAATGAAAGGAGAGCGGAGGGGGGGAGGTGATAAGGTAGATAGATTACCTCCTTCTTGGTGATGGGTTTACCATTGCTTTTCTTTGATACCTTTTCAAAACATGGTTTCCTATTTTAGGCAAGTGGGGGATCATAATGGGCAACCTCCAAACATTTTTCGGTAATAATTTGGTTTCTGATAATTAGATCCCCGGAGTCGGTTAACACTTTATGTCGCAACTTCAATGCGAGGGACTGACGTGAATCTGGTTTCGAAGTGCCCCGCATCTCCATTCCACTAAACATATGACAATCCAACAAAAAGACGGGACACCAGCTGGACGAGTTTTCCACGAAGCTGCGGTGGACCTTTTTTCAATCGGAGGCCTTCCACATCGGCTTCGCCAGGGTTTGCCCTGTCGGAGGTTTCTTGGGCGTCACTGGGTGATTTCATCCAGGAAGATATGGGTGGCTGGTCTTTTTCGAGGTTGGACCCCCAACACACGGATCTCGGTTTTCCTTTGAATTTCCCTCTGAAACAAGAGCAACAAAGGGCTACTATGTGAAAGTGCCCCCAGGTGCATTTTTGCGGTGGAAGTTCTTAAGCTCGCCCGTCTGATCATTCTGAGGAAAGGCACAGAAGTGACGGTTTGACCATCGGGGTCTTAGGAGGTCACCGGATCTCCAGTCCCACTCCCATGCGTTTCCTGGACTTTAGTGTGACCTTTTGGGGGCTGGACTATTCTAGTGGTAAGCAAATACAGTTTGGTTACTTGTCTTGGCGGCTCCCAGCCGTCCAGTTCCTTGGGTTTTTTTCTTCTTTTTTTCTCGGGTTAGTGGTTGGGTTTCCATGTCACCCACTAAAAGTAAACAACAAACGACATAGCAGGGGATCAGCAAACTGACGACCCGTGTTTCTTGGCCATTTGTACTCATTCGGAAGTAAGTTGTTGGGGTCCTTTGGGCTCTGCGGCAGGAGGCGGATGTGGTCTTCGAGCGGCGTCAGCAGGTTTGCTGGGAGCAGGGCTGCGATGTGTCAGTGTGCCTCGCAGGTATGGGATCCCATCGGGGGGCAGGTACGTTGCTGAAATTGGGTAGTTGAGAGCCCGCCTCGGGTTCCTTAGGGAGCTCGTTTCGGGTTCCTGAAGCAGCCTTGGGGGACCAACCTCCTTAGGGACTCCAATGAGTAGGGGATGGGAGCTGAAGTTGGCCAACCGTGAGAAAATCCCTTCGTTTTTTCATCAGCGCTTGTCGGACAGAGGCAAACACATGAAGGAACTGTCCCAAAGTCAGCTGGTCGCATTGGGGCGATTTTGGAAGGGGTGTAGTGCCGACCTTTTTCTTTGGATGTTACGGTAAACGGGAAACATCGCAAATAGGTGATTTTCCTCCGCTGACCCTTTAAACAACCCGAAAAGTGTCCTCCCTCTCGTGGACGATTCCTTTCCTTTTGGGGAAGGCCCGTGTCCACTTCCATGTTGGAAAGAGGGAAAGGTCAAAAGATGTACCAGGCGCTTTGAATCCATTTGGGCAGGGCCCTTTTTCCGTTCGTTCCTCGGCAGATTTCCAGGCCGAAACGTGCGAAACCGGGCAACACAAGAGAGCAAGCATAAATTTGGTCCGCCCACATTGCACCCTCCGCTTCCTGTCCCCTGCGTGTCCTTGCATTTCCCGGCACTTCACCGTTTGATTTCCCCTTCATGTCCCCTTCATGTCCCCTTCATTGTCCCTGCATTTCCCCTTCATTTCCCTGTCCTTTCCCCTTATTTGCCATGCATTGCCCCTTATTTCCAGTCATTCCCTCCTACGTCTCCCTTCGTTTCCGTTCATTTCCCCTTCACTGTCTTTCATTTCCCTTCGTTTCCCCTTCATTTCTTGTTCCTCTCCCCTTCATTTCCTTTCACTTCCCCTTTGTTTCCCTTTCATTTCCCCTTGATTTCGTGTCATTTCCGCTTCCTGCCCCCTGTATGTCCTTGCATTTCCCTGCACTTCACCATACATTTGCCGCGAATTTCCTCGTCGCCCCCCCTGCAGTCCTTTCATTCCCTTGTCATGCCCCCTTTCACTTCCCTGCACTGTTCTGGAGTTGCGCACATTCACCCTTCATTTCTGATTCATTTCCCTTCGTCTCTCCTTCAGCTTCATTCCGCGTTTGTTTCCTCTTCACTCTCCACTTCCCATTCATAGGATGCCAAAACACATGGTGTTTTTGGTGTATGTTCCATGGTTCGCCCTGCTGCAAAACATGGTAGTTGTCAACATGTTTGCTAGAAGGTCGAAAACCACTGTGTTTTGCAATGTTTTCGGCAAAAGGAGGCGGAAGACCTGAGCCGGCAGAGAGCCGGCAGGGGGATTCGAGCCTGAGACCGTGTTTTTGCACACCGGCTCCCCCCAATTCCTATGTAATTGACGTGCCCTGGAAAGGATTAGGGGAGGGAGGGTTATCTGATGTACCGACACGTCGAACAATGTCGGCGGACATGTGTTTGACTGGGCGCATCTTATGTGTGATGGTGCAGCTAATCCACAATTGGGGTTGATCAAAATTCCTGGTCCTCAAGCGGCCGTCGGCAACTTTTCCCACATTCTGGCTCAAGGTATCTCTTTGCCGGCTTTCCCTAACGGTCGACCTTTTGGCCACCTATTGCCAGTATTTCTGGGCGCCATTTCAATAGGTTCTACTTGGCTTCTTAAACTTTACAAGGCCTATATGGGTGTGCTTCTTTAGGGGGCTTCCAAAAATGGTGGTTTCCCTTTTGGTTTCCCAGAAAAAGTCACCCTAAGAGGGGCGCGCTCAAAACTAGGGACCACTTCCTCCAAGCGTTGGGTTTCCTTGTGGCTTCCAACGAAAACCATCAAAAAAAAGGTTCCCTATTTTGAGACATCCCCATAGAACCTGTACAGCCATGTTCGTAGAACCACAAGTCCATAGGTTTGCCTCGCTGCTGCTCACATGCCGATCTGCAGCGGGGAATTGGCCAAGCGCGCCCCCCAATAAGCAAGACAAGCTGTTTGCTGGTCACATGGTGGTTCCTGGTGGTTTGAATATGGATTTGAAGGGGTCCCTGGTTCGTGTAGGGTGTAACTGGGTTTCACATTCGGTTCACCACCAAACCTCAGATTTGTAGCACGGATGGCTAGTTTTACATTGCCCTTTTCGAAGAATTGATCAGCGCCGTAGGCTTCAATGCCCCAGAAGGCTTTGAGCAAGCCCATTTGGCTGTGGGTCAAAAATGTGTACCCCAAATAGAACCCTGGTAAGTGGAAGCATGGACCAAAACCTGCGTTTTTTCCGGTTTAATTTTGACCCATACCCATTTCCTAAGACCTTTCCCTCCCCACAAGGACGTCACAAACCACGGGGCGCGACTGGCAGACACCTCAGACACCTCAGACTCGTCCAGGTGGTCGCTGGTGCAGGTGCACACGCCGCAGCTGCGCAACCTCACGGTGCCCCACTTGTGGATCGGCGCCTGGGACCCCCGTGGGACGAGTTTTTTGGGTTTGGAGCGAGTCGAGAGGAAGCGTTCTGGACGTTGGATGCAAAAGGGAATCCTGGTTGATTTTTTTTTCCGGGGGATGAGGGGTAGATGGCAAATGGTTTCTGTGATGCAACCAGTAGTCCTCGTTACAGTGATACTTTGTAGTCATGGAAAACCACTTTGGTATCACACGGCTAGGTTTTCAAAACGCAACCATGAGAGGACTTGGGCAAAAGCCGCTGGGAGCTGGGTGTGTCGTGTTTTATTCGAGAGCCTCTCGCCTGGGTTGGGAAGCCAAAAGTAAGCCAGCCGATTTGAGGAGGACTCATGGGTCCGAACGCCCGAAACGGTTTTGGTAGGTTGTCAGTCGTACCCTTGGAATAAGTTCAAAGACACACAACCCTTTGGTGAGCCCTTTTTTCGCAGTTTCGAAGAGTGGATATTGGGTAACTTAAGAGAAGCACACACCTTTTTTTTGGTTTCAGACACACGCGTCGCGTTTTCAAGGGAAGAGCCGTTTTTCAAGCACGGTTCATGTATGCGCGATCCGGTGAAAAGACGTACTTAGGGTAGCGATTATCAACCTCTTGTAAGGGTCCAGACACCCAATGTAGAACCATGGCCAGAACCATCGGAGCTTTGACCATGTCGCATTTGATCAGGGGTTCGATTCCCGATCCTGAAAATGGCTCTGTTGTTGATGGTTCCATGTTAAGCTGTGACGTTGCAGATTAAGAAACGGTCCTACCAATAGTGGTGGGGGGCCCCTCCAAAAGTGAATCTGCAGTAAAAGGGGACACCCCCTATTCATCAACCAGGGGTTTATTGATCTGGGGTCAAAGTGAGGGGACATCCCCACCCCACATCATGACGAACTCCAGTTGGCACCACTTTGAAACCATGGTTGAGACAATTGTTAGTTGGTAATTTCCCGGGGTATCATCATTCCAGTGTTTCTTAGGTGGTGCAGGATTTCGTCCATCCACAGTAGGTGTCCTTTCTTGTCTAGTTCGGTTAGATTTAAGTAAATCCTACTGGTTTAGATTGGTTTTGCAACCCATTTACCAGGGCCATCGAATCTTCCAACAGGTCACCTGCGTTTGGGCGTCATTTCTGCGCGCCCCCTATTTTGAGGCGAACCCGCATTCAGATTCTACATTGGCAAGCTGACTATCCTTGTTGTCCTTTACATGAAGATTCATTCCTTGTCTCAGGTTTTGGAATGATGGTAAAACCAGTGCGTTTTTTTTGCTCCACTTTCTTGGATCTCAAAGGAAGGCCCCGGCAAAAGTGGAGTGGTCAACGTGTCCAGCCAAAAACCCAGAGGTGGACACCTCGAAATCTGACTTTCTCCCACCAAGAACCGCAGAGGTGGATTTCTCAGATACCAAAAAGCCGAGGCCCGGGGTTCCAACCCGAAGCCTTTGCGCCGCGGAGTTTTGGTCCACATTCGATCCCAGATGTTTGGCTTTTTGAGCACCCAGAGGTGGAACTTCCCCAGATTTTTGATGCCTTCTCCCACCACCAAAAACCCAAGCAGAGGTGGACACCGCGAACACTTACTTTCTCCCACCACCCAACAAAATCCGAGGCAGAGGTGTGGACACCTCAAAAACAGAAAAAACGAGGACCGGGGACAAAAATCCGCCCGGAGCCTTCGAAGCTTTGCGGGGGGTTTTGGCTGAGGCCCAGGCTTGGAGAAGTGGATGTTCGAGCAGCTCTTCGACAACCTGGCCACCCTGGGGCCGCTGGGCCCACCACCGCGCTCGCTTCGCGCGACCGCGCGGCTGGATGCGCGATTTCTCTTGATTCGCTGAATGATACCGTCATCGGATGAATGAACCCCGGGGTGGCTTTGGGGCCCTCCAAAAGTGGTCTGATTCTCCCACAGCCTTTTCACCCAAGGAAAAGGCTATGAATAAACTGGGGTTGATTCATATGGGCTTTGCATCAGGTGCTCGGGATGTTTGGACGAACACGTAGCGTGGACCTGTCTGAACTCCCAAAAGTGTTGGCCAAAGATTGTGGCTCAAGTTGGACACCAATCTTCTAAGGCTTCGGACATTGTTTGGGGGGGTGTCTTTTCATAGTCAAACAGAACAACATGATTCAGCCTCTTTTCAACTTGTTGGGTCAATTATTGGAAAAAAGGACTTTAAGTTACTTTGGAGGGAGGTCCCTTTAAAATCAACCATTCCTCGTGTCGTGGATTTCACATGAACGTTTTGCATGATCTTGCTCCTGGTTACCTACTATAGTGGTAGCTGAAGGCCACACCGTTTCATGGCAATTCCGAGAATTCATCAACAGGTTTACGTTGAGGGAGCTGGCAGCGTCGCCGTATTTTGGGGATAGAGGCTTGGACAAAAGCGGCTGAAGACGATGGAAGGGATCTGCGGAACTCAGAACGAGGATTGAGGTCAGGTGCACTTTGCCCAATCTTCTGGTGGTGCTGACGCCTGATTCCCTTACGCCCACCCCATCCACTTGTTTGTTTTTTGGGGGCCCTTTCTTCCAGCAAACCCCCCTTATTAATAACTTGGGGGGGGGTTAGTCAGGGTCCACAGTATGAACTGATGAGATGTGATATGGGTGGCTCGTCTTTTCTGAGGTATGAAGTGCTGAGATGTGATATGTCTGGCTTGTCTTTGCTGCGGCCAATTACTTGGGGGGTGTATTAGTCAGGGGTCAACAGTATGAAGTGCTGAGATGTGATATGGGTGGCTCGTGTTTTCTGAGGCCAATGACTGGCAGGTGTATTGGGTAGGGGCCAACAGTATGAAGTGCTGAGATGTGATATGGGTGGCTCGTGTTTTCTGAGGCCAATGACTGGCAGGTGTATTGGGTAGAAGTGCTGAGATGTGATATGGGTGGCTCGTGTTTTCTGAGGCCAATGACTGGCAGGTGTATTAGTTAGGGGTCAACAGTATGAAGTGCTGAGATGTGATATGGGTGGCTCGTGTTTTCTGAGGCCCCTTTTTGAGTTGTCTTAAAGCAAGGAGCATCATGATTTGGGAGGGATCCCCCTAAGAACAGGCAAACCCTTCACCCATATGTCTAGGGGTACCTTCCCCAATCTTTCCAGGGATCCTTCTTTTCAGGAAACCATCAAACACCTAGAGGAAACTTGTTGAAAATAACGATGGTTGAAAAGAATGGGGAATCAACCCCTAGAATATGTCTAGTTGTGTTTGCTATCACTTTTCACCCAGACGGTCAGATGTTTCCCGGGGCTTGGGCAGGGCTCAGGGTGTGAAGACCGCAAGCCGCACTGTGCTTGGCTGTTTTTCTCTCTGTTTGCCTTTTTGATTCTGGTCTTATGGGTATGTGTCAAAATAGGAGGACCCCCCCGTTGAAGGCTCCTTTTGAATGGGTGGTTTGGAACTCGGTGGTTTGGTGGTGGTTTGGTGGGTGGCTTCCCAAATTTTCCCTCTACAAGAAGAGGTTCAAATCCAAGTCCAAACCAATCCAAACCACCAATTAGGAGTTCCCTGAAGTGTCCTTCCATAGCTTTCAGGTAAATGCTTTGTATTCGTTCGACACCTCTCTCGGTGAGGACTGGATTGGCTCGTCTCAAGCGTCGTCTCGAGCCAAACAAACTTGGGCACTCCTGAACTTGAACTTGAACTTGGATCCATTTGAACATCATGTTCAGAAATACAAATATTTGAACCTTTCTACCCATGTCACTGCAAATCCAACTGGGTCTCCCTGGGTCGGAAACTGAAATCCGAGGAACGCGGCGGAGTTTCCCGCGCCGATCCGGGTGTTTTGGCAGATGCAGAGCTACAGCCCCGCGATGTGCGGGCCCTTCGTGTACCCAGCCCTCGCCAAGCAGGCGACGCCGGAAGTCGGAAGTCGGGTCACGCCGCACATGGGGGAGGAAAACACACACCAGCAAGAGGGGGGGTTGGGGGGCCATGGACACCTAGCGTCGATTTTGCAGCCTGGAACCTTAAAAAATCAAAACCCCAAAAGAAGGAGGTTGCAAAATAGACCCTAAGTGTCCACCATACGGGTGGGGGGGGGGGGGGAAGATTTTGGAGGTGCCCCTTCCTAGGTTGAACTGTTCTCTCTTTGTGGAAAGAGGGGTTTAGGGGTGTTTGCAGAAAATGGTTTACCTGGACCCTGAAACAGCACATAGGTGTCCTTTTTGGTTGTTTTGGTCGAAAAATCGACAGCCCTGGTTTGCCTGGTGGTTTAATCATCTACCAGGGAAACCCATCTATTTCCCCTAAAAGGACACCTATGGTTAAGCATCTCGTTGGATTTAGCTCAGCTTCGAAGTCAGAAACGCAGCCCCCGAAGATCATGCACTTAGTGACTCCGTTTCCATAACAGGCAAATAACGGCCCAAGAAAGAAGCCAAAATAACAATTGCAGAGGGTTGCTTGCAGGGGGTCGTTTCAAAAATAGGATTCGGACCCCCGCCATTCTTTTTTTGGTGGTCTTCCTTTTGGTTTCCCTAAAAACACCTTTCACTTCCGGGGAATTATAACTCGAAAGCACCCTCAAACGAGCCACATCCCCACCCCCTGAAAGATGGAATTGGGGGATGGAATTCGAATTCCAAGTATGGTAAGCCATTTTCCGTTTTCTTGGGAAGACTCGGGACATGGTTGATTGGGTCCCGGCCCAGCCATCCTTTTCCCTCCGCCTCCGCGGTGGAGACCGGGACCTGCCTTCGAATGTCGGCACCCGAAAAGCCAAGAGACGAACAAGGTTGACAGCGGGGGTCCTGCAAGGCCAGTTTCCTTTAAAGGGACGGGGTCCCCGTCAGGTTCCCTGCTAATCGCTAGGAGGGTAGACTATTTTATGGACCTGTCGCTGTCAGGTTCCATGTGAATTGGTGGGAGGACCATTTGATGACCGTCGCCCATTTTGATTTATCAAACCCGGTTTATTAAATTGGGGGGTGTTCCCTCCAAAAATGTTCCCCAACAACATATTGATAACCAGGTGATTCCCCACATTTCACCCAGGGAAACTGGACACCCCCCCCCCCCCGCCCCTGTATTACTAAACCGGGATTGTTTCCTCCGAATTCCGCTTTTCCGGGGGTTTTGATGAAAGGTGGACGCCGCGCTGGTGCCGAAGGCCCAGGAAGAGAGCTGCGCCTTCGTCTACGTCGCTCGGCCTTCTCCGCGGGCGAGGGAGCGTCGAGGGCCGATGCGTGTGGCTCGAGGGCCGATGTGTGTCGTCGTTTGGGTATGGGTCATCATTAAAGCAACAGGAATTGGACCGCAGGTTAAATCGTCCATGTTTCCATTTGCCAGGGCAAGCCATTTTGGGGTTACCGTATTTTTGACCCACAGCTATTTGGCGGGAGAAAAAGCGCTTCGTGCTTTTCCCAGGGCTTCCAGGCGCTTTTCAAACACAGGAACAGGCTGTTTGGGAGGGGCCATCATGCTTATGGCGCGGATTGCATCGTAGCGCTTTGTTGGCTTTATTGCCTCTCGTTTCATGGTTTATTCTTGGGGTAGCACAGGGGAGGAAACCTCCGTTTCCCTACTTGGAACCTCCAAAAGTGGCGGTTGACTGGCAAAAGGCAACTTTTAAGGGGGAAATCCAGGGACTCTTTCCCCAGGGGACCCCATGGTGGAAAATGGCCAGGTTTGAAGTCAGCAATTTCGGCGGGGTTTCTCTCTCTGATCTGATTTGTTACATATTTAAGGCTCAAATAAAGGCCAAAAGCTGCGGTGCACAATAGCGACACCTGTACTTGTTTGGTAGTTTGAAGTTCAGCCTTCGTTGAGTGAATCAAAGTTGGATTTTAAACTTGATGCCCCAAGCGGCCCCAATGTTGGCGGCCGTTTTGATATGGAAACGGGCATATTTTCGGAACCCCTGTCAAGGGATGGGGTGCCTTGGTACGGCTCGCCGTGATTTTGCAGAGCTGCTGGTTTGATTCCTTAGGGGGGTTGCAGCCCATTGGGAATGCTTATCAATTTTCGGGGCGACTCCCCCCCATTGCAAAAAGCTGGGGATACATCAGCGATGCCTCCATTTCCTCTTTTTGGACCTTCAAACGTGGGAATTTCAATGACCACCAGCCAGTTGCAACTGTTGAAAGGGAATCCAGCGACCCCTGTATATTTGAGCGAATTCCCCTCAGATTTTGCGATGGAACCCAAACAGGAGCCAAACAGAGCCACCAAAAGGGAGTCCTGTGACATGCAATCTCAGTTTTTCCTTTTGGCCCTTACACGGGCCCAAGGTGAAACAAGACACATAAGGATTGGCAAACTTTGTGTTTTGCGGAGCCTTTATCTCCTTATTTTTTGCCCCCTGGAACAAGAAAACCGATTTCTAGCAGTGATGGTTTCGCTGTAAAACCCACAGGGGAAAATTACGGTCCCCTTTGTTTGACGCACACCACACTTGCCACGCTTGAGAAAACATCATTCCTCCTATCCCCCTGCCTTCCATGATGTTTGCGAGCCGAGCGCTTTTTGTCACATTGGGGACCTCTTGTTTGCCCAGGACAAGCGGTCTTTTGTTTGGGCCTTCAGCCCCGTTCAATCATCGCATCCGAATCTTTCTCCCTCGCTCTGTATCTAAACAAAGCCATCTCCAGAAATTGTAGAAAGAAGTCAGCCAAATTGGGTGTGTTTTTTTGAATTGGTATTCCTTTTTTGGACAAACCCCCCACCACAAACATCCAATTGTCCACCAAGTTTGCATGGTGTTGCCAAGACCCCCCCCCCCCCCAACAACTGCTTCTTGGACAGTACGTGTGATTTCGGACCTTGGCAAAAATGGACAGTACTTGGGATTTGGACATGGGAAACATCAGCTAGGGAGGTTCTGGTGGTGAACTCGTGGTTTCCGGCTCCGTTCGACCGACAAACTGCAGGTCCGGCGCATCATCCGGCGCGACAAAATGTGGCACCTCCCTGGACCATTCAGCTTGCCGCTCGGAGTGAGCCAAAAACCCCGACCGAGTCAGGCAAGGTCGACCTCAGGCTAAGCAAACCCGTCCTAGCAATAGGGGGGGTGTCACCCACAGACGTGACAAGCATTCCCACTAATGTTGACCCCATACTACTCAACCCCACTTTATGAATAGGGGGGGGTGGCTTTGGCCCCTCCAAAACAGGTGTGATTCCGCGCATTTCACCCAGGGACACTGGGCCTCCTGTTCATAAACTGGGGTGGATGAATCTGGGCTCAGCATTAAATGACCCCCCCCCCCCTGAGGAAGCCCCCCAAGTTGACCGAAACCTGGAGACGGGTGTGTCTTTCTTAAAGTGTTCTAAGAGCGGAAGATTAGAGCTAAGAGCGGAAAAGCGGGATACGAAGAGCGGAGAACATGATACTAAGAGCGGAAAAGGCAGCTAGTACTACTAGTAGCAGCATCCAAGTACTACTCCTAGCACTAAGGTTGGACACCAACACGTGCTTCGGTTTTCCTTTTGGCTTCCCTGTAAAACCACAAGACAACGGTACTCTCAAAAAGGACACACCCGAGTTTCGTCCACTATTTTACGAGGGGGTGGTCTGAAGCGAAGCACGAAAAGGAATTGGTCAAAACATCTCTCAAAATCAACCGATCGGGGTTCTGCCTTTTTTCAGGGTTCCCATGAATGTCGACCCCCTTTTCTTGACTGCTATTGGGTTGGACCTTTAGACTTTAACTTTTTGGGAAATAAAGGTGTTTTCCACTAAACCCCTAAAAAGTGAAGCTTTTTGCAGGGGGGTCAACAGCAACCAAGTTTTTCACAAACCCTTGTGGCATTCCTTCCTGCAGCCGATTCCTGTCGCCTAGGAACATGGACGTCCAGGCTCCAGTGAGCGCGGTGGCGCAGCGCATCGCCCAGGTCTTGAAGGAGCGCCTTGGACGCCACGGGAGGCCTTTGGGCCCAACCCGCCGTTGGTTTTGTTTCGAACAAAGCGGCGCCCCCAAGAGGTGAGCACCTCTTTTGTTTTTCTGGGTGCTGGGGCAACTGAAAGAAGAACAGCGACAAAACAAACACGGCACATTGAGCTTGTCAGGGTCTTGGGCAAGGACCCCTTGGTTTCTTCTCTCAATTTGCAGTGGCTCATGTCCTCTTGCGGGGCTGCACCGGATCAATCGCCTGGTGTTTGAACTAGTCCCCTCAGGCGCCTCCATATCAATCAACTTTATCACGGGATTTATTCATTTGGGTTTTCATCAAGGGTTTGCATGGATGGGAACCCAGGATTAAACCCTTGGTTGATCCTTGGTCGACCAACACTCCGATTTGGAGGGGATCCCCCCCAAGCCCCCCCAAGCTTCCCCCCCAAAGCCCACCCTAATTCACGGGTCACTCAACCAACCCCTGGTCACCCACTTGGGTTGCTCCCGTTTTTTTCGGAGTTGGTACCCCCTGTTGTTTTGTGCTTAAGGGAAACCAACAAAAGGAAAGCTATATACCTTTTTGGAGGAGCTCGACCAGTCTGCAGCGCATACGAAGGGAAACAAGGGTCAGATTTTTGCTGAAAGAAGACACGCTCCACCCAAATGTGTTGTTTTCACCGGGGCCCCGAAAAAGAGACACGACCAATTGCTTTTGTTTTCACCGTCTCCCTTGTGGACTGCCCCTTTTTGTGGGGGTTGCGAGACTCGGCGAGTCGCTTTTTTGCCGAGGCATCGGGTCCCTTGTGCCAACTTCTACGTGAAGCTCTTGGGGCTCAATAGCACGGCTCTTCGGCAGAAAGGCGATGCTTTTGGCACGAGGCTCGTTGCCAAGGTCAGGCAAGGTTGTGACCATCGTCGATCCCTTATACTGGTCATAAAGGGGCAGGGTACTCTGTGGAGAATAACCCTGGGTAGAACCCACTCGATGGTGCGGCGACTCCGGATGAGAGCTGGGTGAAACGAAGAGAATCAGACCACTTGAGGGGGCCCCTCGGGGTCAACATCATGACCATGGTAAGGGGACGATCATTTCAGTTGCCAACCACAATAACCATACACCAGCAGAACTTAACGTGGGAGTTCGTTGCCAACTTACCCTAGGGTTCAAGCCAATCATGGTGGTCGATCATTTGGAGGATGAAACTCGCTCCTGAACTGGTTTACAGTGGCGGCCGTTTTGTTTTGGTGGTGGGTTTGAACCCCGGGGACTCATGGAAAGTGGGTTACCATGGAAAGTGGTGGGTGAGCGCGCAACAGACGCCATGGAAAGTGATGTGGTTGGGGAGAAACACCAACCACTTTCTCACCCACCACCATGGCCCAGGTCATAACTTTCTTTCTTGACTTTGGCGAACAAATCCTCCAAGCACCTCTTTGGGCCCCCCGAAAGGCCAGAGTCCCTCAGGAGTCATGGAGTCATGGCCACCCGTTTTTGGCACCCAACGACGAACACACACGGCGTTTTAGAGCTGGGCTCGCCTGTGGGAGCCATAGCACAAAGGGACTTCCACTTGGTAGCGTGGAAGAAAGGCGCCCTGCTCAAAACGCCTGCAAGGAATGGGGCAGCAGGGCCACCGATCCAGTTTAGTGGGTGTTGCCTGGTTGGCAGGGTCGGTCCCTTAAAGGATACCGCGGGTACACTCCTTTTTGGTTTGAAAGGAAAACCCAAGAAGGACAACCGTAATTTCGGGGGTAAGACACACCCATTTGGGTCAGTGAAAAAGTCACAAACGAAATAGCTGAGAGTTCGAGGATCCGCTGGTAAAGCTTTCGGGAGTTTTGCATGCATCACAGACATCCAGCGGCTTGTCCCATGTTGTTCTCTGTTTTTTTGGAGAGTCTGTCGGCCGAGTTCGCAACTGGTTGGCCACCTGAAATAACAAGCTTACCCCACATTCACGGGGAACTTGTGAGTGACTTATCACCTAGGTTATCAACAACTACTAAGTTGGCGAATTGAACACCCAACTACCAAAGAGAAGAGTGTCTATTCATTCCTCTGTTCTTCCCATACGTATTTCCTGTGGTTTGAGCTCAAAGGCCCAATTCGGCCAATTCTTTCCTTGCTTTTTCACGGGACCAACACACAAAGGGCAGGCACTAGATGTCAGACGAGTGTTTAGGGGAAGTGTGATGAATTTCAGCCGGACCCCTAAATATATATATATATATACATATATATATATATACACCCAAAATTGCCAATTCAAACAAATGTTCAGGATTCTTCAGCTTGTTTTTTTGGTGTTTCCCGGGCTCCGCAGAGCGGGGCTCAAGAGCGGCGCCCGGCTCCTCGGCGCCGGGCTCGCCGCCTCCCCGCCAAGGGCTTCCTGTCGCTGGTGCGGCTGGGCTTCGGGGCCGCGGCTTCGGCGCGGAGGGTGCGGAAGCGGAACTGCCGGCTCTGCACGGCGGGGAACATGGCGCCTCGGAGTGGGAGTGGGCAGGGAAGGGGGGGAGGTGGGTGGTGGGTGGTGGGGGGTGGTGGGTAGGGGAGGGTGTTGTTGGGTTTGTGGTGGGGGTGGTGGTGGTGGGTAGGGGAGGGTGGTGGGGTTGGTGGGGTTGGGGGGTTGGGTGGTGGGGTTGGGTGGTGGTGGTGGGTAGGGGAGGGTGGTGGGGTTGTTGGGGTTGGGGGGTTGGGTGGTGGGGTTGGGTGGTGGTGGTGGTGGGGTTGGTGGTGGGGGGTGGTGGGTAGGGAGGGGAGGGTCGGGGGTGGTGGGGTTGGGTCTTCCGGAACTTTGGGGCTGCATACTTTTGAGGCCGGTTTACAAATTGATGGGTTCCACTGGTTTAGACGAGATTTCCCCCTGCCCCCTCACCCCCTCACCCCCCTTCCCCCCTCCCCCCCATTTACCAGGCTCATCGAGATTTTTCCATAAGGGGGGGAGGAGGGGGGATGGGAAAAGACGGCGAGCTAGGGGCGACCCAAGGGCTTATTGATGTCGACCGTGCTCTTGTTGAGCAAGGCGAGGGGGGTCTCCAAACAAACGGATTCTGTTGGTGGTATTTTCGTTGGAGCATCATCAGAAACCGGGGGTTGCTTAGGTGTTGCAAAGCTTCGTCCATCCACAGTAGGTGTCCTGTTTAGATTCGCTTAGACAGAGATGGGTTCCATTGGTTTGGATAGGTTTCAGAGCCATCTGTTTTCCAAAAGGTCACAGGGAAGGCCCAAAATGGGCGGTTTCGCCTTGGCTTTCCTTTTGGAGCAACCCCAACAGGGTGCCCTCCAAAAAGCAAGGGCACCCATTTCGGTGGTAAAGAACCAGGCGCTTTGGCTGGGCCACGCTCGCTTCGGTGGTCCTTGCCCCACTTACAATTGCAACCTACTTGCAGGGGTTGAATACCCACGCGCTCACGGACAATTGGGACTGGGGTCATTCTTTTGATTGTTTCTAGGGGTTGTCAAAGTCAGAGCATGGATTCGGTTGTTTCCCTTTGACCCATCGCTTAGGGGGTGGCTTTGATCATGGTAACATAACGCGGCCAGTTTGGGAGGTTCCCCCTTTGTGTGAGACCCCAAGTTCAAGTGACATTCAGCAGCCATGGTTGTGGGCAGATTGTTGTTTTTTTTGGGGAAGGCGGGTGTTCAGGTACCCCCCCCCTTAGTGGTTTCGATGGGTTTGGATTTGGATTTGAACTCCTGGTTCTTGTGGCTGAATGGCAAACCAGTGCCAGGCTCACCACCAACTTGCCTCCCTCCAATCATAAAAGCTGACCATGGGAGCCGAGGGCTCTGGAAGACTGCTTTCTTTTTCGGGATTGGTGCCGTGTCCACTTCCATGATTGTGCCTCACTCCCTGAGTTCCTGGACTTTTACACAACTTTTGGGGAAGAGCATGTTGGTGGTAACCAAGGAGTTTGGGGGACTTGTTTTCGCCGATCCGCTCAGGAAGTGAGAAGCTGATGTGTGCTTAAAGGGGCACGGTACAAGGGTAAGTGGCTTACCAGTACCCCTGGCTTGTGTGGGGTTATCTCACCATGGTTTGTCCCACGTACCTGCCGTACCCGACCGCCCCTTTAATCCAGGAAACAGTTTGGATGCGGCTTTTGTGGATCCACCCCTGGATGTGAAAAGAGTACTAAAAGAGTACTAAAAGAGTACACCTGCAGAGGGAACAGGTGTCATCCACGCTTAAAGCGCCGAGCCGTTTCCAGAGGTCAGCGGAGCAGCTGTCGTGCGTCGAAAATCGGCTCCGATCCGAGGAGATTCTGCAGAAGGCGGCCTCTGCGCCGCTGCTCCTGGCGGAGAAGGGCAGCTTCTGGCCGGACCGCTTCGGCGGGAGGGGTTTGGGGGGGAGTTGGGGGAGCTGAGGGAGTTGAGGGAGTTGAGGGGGAGTTGAGGGGGAGTTACAAGTGTGAAACCCACCAGGACTGTACAAGTGTGACGGGTTTTTCTAAGTGGGGATGCGAATTCCACTTTGATGGCACAGAAGGCTCTTTGCTTTCTCCCCACAACAATCGTTGCAACCAATCAAATGTGGAGCCGTGTTTCTTTGATATCAACTAATCAAAGGGCGCACTAATCAAGGACTCCACCACTTTAAAGTGACTTTTTTAGTAGTCACGGGCTTTGGAATCATAGAACAAGTTGTTCTACCCACCAGTCGAATCTAACCTAGGGCTGTTTTTCCCCCAGATCTCCTTCTGACCCGAAATGAAAATGGGTCCATGACCAACCATTCTTTTGGGTAATGACCAACCATTTTTTATTCGGGTCAGAAGGAGACTCCAGGCCCGGATTAATCAACCCCTGGTTGATTTGGATTGGGGGGTGTCCAATGCCTTTTAGTGGTTGGATTCAGACCAGACTCCAGGTGAGCCGCAATCAAAACCTGGGTAGATGAAGGTTAGCAAGGGACGATCCCAACCAGAAATAGCCGCGGGATTCCGCCTTCTTAATCCTGTACATGGTTCTGGGGATCGGCCATTTAGTACCGATCGGTTTTGATTGCGACCCAGGTGGGTCCATGTGAGTTTCGAGCCGCACGAAAATGCGCGAAGCGGCATTTTTACGACCAGGACGTGCCTGCGGCGCGGCTGCTGGCGCTTGGGAAACCGGCAAGGGGCCCGGGGGTTTGCGGGTGGCGTCGTTCCTGGGTCCCTGGCTAGGAATGGTTGGGGGTCAAAACTCGGGTAACCCCGAAATGGAGCGGTAAATGGAACCAAGTGGACTAAAACCTAGTGTCCCCTCAGATTTGAAAGTTTTGAAACATACCCAAATGGGCGGTTGCCCAGTTCCCAGAAGATGTCATTGTTTTTGAGTGGGGCCAAAGATTTCAAGGGCTACAATGCAAACGTCCACCTTGCTGGTTCTCAGCGGGGAATTTCGGGAAATTCCCCTATACGGGCCCGGGTTTTCCCTATTTTAGGGGAACTCATGTAATCGGCAACTTGGCAAGCGGCTAGCACCCAAGAGCAATTGGTGGCTCCCAGCCATCCGGTTCCTTAGCCTTTCAGATTTTTGAGGTTTAGTGATAGTTTCCATTTAATTTACTAGCACTTGAGGGCACCTTATGACCAGGTTATACAGCGACAAAAAGTCCATTTCGACACTCAGGCTTTGACGGGCTGTCTCTTTCACTTTTCGAGGAAAACTCTAGACTCTAATTAACACGCCCAAAGAAGGGTGCCCAAGAGAAAGAAGGGTCTTTTTTTCTCTGTCAACACAGCAAAGGGTGACTCCAAAATTCGGATGGACCTCCCATGCAGCCCAAAAACTAGGTGGCGTACCTCTCTGGTGTCCAATTGCCGAAGCGGAAGGTGAAGGCGGGGCTTTTGCGTCGAAGTGGTAGCGGCACAGATGCGGCACAGATCTGGGGATAGGTGTCCTTTCCAGGCCGTGGCAAGAAATTGATAGTCAATGCCTGCCCGTACGGGGGCAAAGGCCTTTGATTGCCCTGGGAAGGGTGTTTGTTTGGTTGGTGGTTTGCTTGTTGGTTTGTTTGTGTGTATGTATGTTTGTTTGTTGCTTGGTTTGGTTTGGTTTGTCTTGGTTTGTTGGTTGGTTTGCTTGTTTGTTTGTTTGCTTGTCAGTTTGTTTGTTGGTTTGGTTTGGCTGGGCTTGGTTTGGCTAGGCTTGGTTTGTTTGTTTGTCTGTCTGTCTGTTTGTGTGTTGGTTTGGTTTGGTTTGGTTTGTTTTGGTTTGGTTTGGTTCTTTTTTTCTTTTTCTTCTTCTTTCTTTCTTTCTTGCTTGCTTACTTGCTTGCTTTCTTTCTTTCTTTCTTTCTTTCTTTCTTTCTTTATTTATTTATTTATTTATTTCTTTATTTCTTTGTCTTTTGTTTGCTTGTTTGCTTGTTTTTTTGTCTGTGTGTGTAACCCTATTTCTTCCGGGTGGCCCAAAAAGACTTGTTCGAGGCGGTTTGTCTGGGAAATCGAAGGACTCGGACCGGCCTTTTTAGTTTCTAGGTCCCTTGCGTCCCTTGCGCAAGCGAGATTTGCTTGCTGGTTCGGGACATGGTGTCGAGAAATGATCCGCAGATCCGCAAGGAATGGTTCACAGGGCCGAGACGACTCGCAGCTCAAGGCTATTTCCGAGAGGGCTTCTTGGAGATACGGATGCGCAGATATACCACTACAAGCCTGTGCAGTACAATACCCCCTGAAGTGGCATACGGGTGTTTTTTAGCCTGAAAACCCGCCGAAGACGGGGTCACCGAAAGGACACATGGCGTCCGTACCTCCAAAACCCATGTTTTCTGGGCCCTTTTTGGTGGTTTTAACACGAAACCAAGAAGGTCAACACCTTTTTTGGGGGTTCCCCTAGAAACAGACCTGAAAGTTCCAACTTGAGCAGGTGCCCAACGCAGTCAAGGCGGAGCGCTTTGCAGAACCGGAGGCCAACGTCAGCGTCACGCGCCTCGCCTGTGAGGCGAGTCCGGAGCCGGGGAGGGGGGATCTTCACTGTTCTTGGCAGGTTTTTTGGCTTTTTAGTTGTTTGGTCCTGTTCATTTTTGCTGGGGGTCTGCAAAAAACAGTCAGTTTTTTGCCAGCCCATACCAAGAGTAGAGATGGGATTGTTCGTATGGAGAAGAGGCCTTGCCTCGAACCTTGGCTTTTCACAAGCCATGGGTCTCTCCCGAAGGCTCTGGGGTGGGCAGGCTGGGTGGGTTCCTTTTGGGGGGTCCGGGACTGGGCGCCGCTTTTTTTTTTTTTTCTTCTTTCGGGCGGTACCCCTTGTTTTTGGTGGGTTTGAAGGGAAACCAGAAGGAAAACCGGTGAGCCATTTTGGGGGGTGCCCTCCAAAGAAGACACCCATTTTGATCCGGTGAAACTGTGTTGCCTTAGCCTTTCCTTTAGGCGTCCTTTTGAGTGACATGGGGCTAAGTGGACTTGGGCGGATGTGTGCTCAAGGTCACCGTTTCAGGTCATGAATCTCAATAGGGAACCCTCTTTCAAGGAAGCCATTCGAGGTGACTGCAACACAGAAAGTGGCAAGGGGTTGTATGTCCCCATTTCAAACGGCCCCGTTCAGTCCGATTTAAAGTGAGTTTCCTCTGGTGGACAAAGGGGATTATGTCCAACCACTGTACTTCTGAGGGTTCCTCTTGTCCATTGCCAAAAGGGGGTTCTGCTGGAACGGAGCAGGCGGTTTCTCATGAGAGCAGCGAGTTGGTGGTTCCACTATTTCTTGTAGTTGGCCAGTTTTTAGCAGGGGTTATACAAAGCTTCACAACCATGCTGGTAGAGCCGAAATTCTTTGGGCACCACTAAGGAGCAACATGACCATGGCCCACTGAAGAATTTGATGAGTATGTGTGGCTTGAGATGTAGCATTCAAGTTTGTTTTGTTGGGTGTTTTGAGGCAATGATCTTCCCCGCGGGTTTGCAAGGGACATGCTGATGTCTGGCCATTTCTTTTTTCATAGTGGTGCCTGAAGCAAATGGAAGACAGGGCGCCCCGCAGCAAACAGACATGGGGGTTCTCAACGTTGATCAGCCCCAAAAAAGTGTTTTTCCCCCTGCTGGTTTTCCCTTTCCAGCAAGCCCCAGTAGGGTATCCCCAAAAGGACACATGGGTGTGGCTCAAAATGAAAGAGCCAGGGTTACGCAGGGTTTAGTCTTTGGTTCCATTGCCAAGGTGCCATGTTGGTACTTTGTTTCTTTGAGCTACAGCTTGTTTTTAGGGGTTTTCACACTTGGTTTTGGTTTGAAACCACCAAGAAACATGTAGCCTGAGCAAAAGACCGAGCCACATCTGCATAGATCCATCTCCCCCCCCCCCCCCAATTTGCACTCCGATCGCACAGCGAGCAGCAGGGCGGCCTGGTCTACCGTGGTCGCTGTGTGCGGCCGGGCGAGGATCCCAACCAGGGCAGCGTCTACGACGCCTTGGCTGCAGGGATGCAACATCTAACCCAGTGGATCTGTTTTCCGAATCGGTTGCTACATTGGGATGCCAGGGGAAAACATCATGTACGACAGGTCAAAAAATATTTGTTTACCTAAAATAGCGGCAAGAGCTTGGAAGCACTATCTAAGAGTTGACCTGGCGCAACTCACCTTGCCGGAAGCGAACCGACCTTTTCACCTTTTGGTTTGCCCGTATAAACCCCGAAAGGTAAACCTTGTGATTCTGGGTCCTTTGGGCAACTGAGATAAGGGCCTAGATAATGGGGATGTGATTGTGGGGAAACCGTATCAGCAAGCTGTCCAGGTATTTGTTTAGCCCTTCATGTTCGACGCCGAGCCACGTCCCTTGGCATCCCAAGAATTCGTTCCCAGGGCTTCCCATCGGGTGGAGCCAACAGCCATGGTTTGCCTCCGTAGAGCGCGTGCCTTTCGGAGGCTTCCGAGCGCAGACTGTGATGGACAAATTCCCCCCCCCCCCCCCATTCGCCACCAGTTTGGTCGTTGGTGGCGGTTTTTGTTCAACCAGTATCCAAACCTGGTTGCATCCATCCTAACTGGTTCAGGAGTTCCACTCGGGCAGCAAGCCGCGACTTTGGGGAGAACTGTACTTCAGCATGTCCTGTGTGAAGTGCCCCTCGTACGGCGGGCGATCCATCCAAAAGAACTGGGTGGCATACTCCATCTCCCCCGGACCCGATCGCGGGGAAGTTGGTGTTCTCCTGAAACACATATATAAACATATACATATATATATATATAGGAAGGTAGTCCCTGGAAGGGTGACCATATGTATATAATGTACCACATCGCATAGTGCTTTCCTATTTATCATTGCAGCGCAGTTAGATCAGATCACATCGCATCTTATCGTATCGCATTGCACAGCACATCTTATCACATCACATCACACCGCACCACATCAATCACATAATCATGCCAGATCAGATCACATCACGGCATACCATATGAGATCACATCGCCCGGTACAATACGTCAGTTACTCAGCAGCGGTATGAAGTAGATTGCCGGATTCATTTTTTTTCCATTGTAAAGAAGCATACATCATCCATGTTGTCTCGCACCTTCTATTCATACCCATACTCATATTCACATGTTCATATTAAGATTCATCTTCTCCTCGTATCATGCCACATTTTGTCCACAAATATCTCTCGTAGCGCGCGAGCTAAGGAGTGCTGGCCAGAAGACTAGACGCTTCATCCGCCGACTCCGGCTGAGCGCCACGCGGAGGGTTGCGGAGAACTCATCATGCGCGGCTGTGAGATCCTGGGATGCTGGGAGCTGTCGCCAGGACGTGCTGACGTGAAGCTGCCATCCCCAGTTGCCGGTGCCTGAGGTCCTGGGAGCGGCAGGGCGCTGGAGAAATCGAGCTGGCGGAGTTGACTCGAGTGAGCGTAAAGTGGCGCAGCGCAGTTGAAGGCGGCGTAGTTTACTCAGGCGCCGGAAAACCGGGGGGAGCCCTCATTGAGGCTCCTCTGAGTGCGTGGCCTGGCTCGGCTGAGGGGAAAACGCCCCGGCGCGTTCTTGGAGAAGGTGGCCTGTTCAAGCCATTTGGCAAGTGGCGGTTTCCATGGCACTTTGCCCCGATTGAGAAGGGCTTGCTCACATCAACACTGCGATCGTCTGTAGGCATTTCGATTGCCAACAGCGCACTGTCAATCAAGCTCGGCTGCGCGAAAAAAGAAAAATGAAAGCGTCTGACGGCGATGCTGCAAAATGCGCACACGTTTCCTCTCGCAGCGGGTCCCGCTGCGAGAGGAATTGATGAGGGGCTACGGGGGATTACTATTGCAAGGGAAGCCACTGCGAACCACAATACCCTGGGAAGTTTCAGTAGATTAGGGGAGTCTCTTGCTTGAACAAGCTCGGTCAAACAAAGGAAAGATGGAATGATAAAAGAAGCATATCCTAATTCCCATTATTTCTGGTGCTTTGTTTTTCCTTTCTTTACCATTCTCCACACTCTTCTTTGTCCGTTCCATCTGTAACTTCTAATCCTAGGCAAAGGAACGGATATAATAACTAACAACATATTGAGAAGATAGGTAAGAATATCAATAAACAGATAAAGAACAGAGATCATTTCATCAGATCAAGACATAGAGGGTAATTGAGAGACATTTCTACCTTCATCTGGATGACGCTGTAAATTGGGGATAAAAGGACCATCATTTGCAGCTCAGAGTCTTATCACCTGCCACAGATTAAGGGATGAGAACTGCAGGGTGAAAGAGTGGGAAAGAGAGGATACAGAGGTGAAGGACGGTCATTCGGCCCCTTTGCAGATCCTTTACTGAATAATAACCCCTGCCTCAATTGTGAATGTATACTAGGCATGGGACGACATGTGGGGATCGAAATGATTGACCCAACAAAATCCTACGTCTAAAGGCCCAGTGCCCTCTTGTTTGCTAGGTTCCATGCAAAGCCCCTCTTGAAAGTCCGGTTTTCCCTACCCAAAGCACAGTGAAACCTGCTGAAGGGCTTGCGAACAGAACTCTTGAGGCTAGCGCCTTCAGGCAAGACACGGAGCACTCGGAGTGCCGGTTGCTCAACTGAGCTCAACTGAGCCCCGCCCAAAAGCCTAGTTGAAGATTCCCTCCCCCTCGACGTGCGTTTTCCTGTTGGCGTTGCTTTGAACATCCAAACGCTCGTTTCCAGTTTTAGGATACCTCCCTAAAGTGCGTGTGGGCAGTTCATATGCATCACGAGGATTGGCCGTTCACCTGCAGGGTTACCCCAGACGCACGGAAACAGGTTGCTCCCATTTCGTCAACAACTCTAGCAAACCGGTCGTGTTCGACTTTGAACTCTGGACAGTCAGAGTACTCCCTTGCACGTAGACAACTTCCTTCAAACAGGAACATCCCCGAACGTTGGGACGAATCCGAGGTGAACCGCGTGCCGTTTTTTTTGACATGAATGTTCACGAAATGCCGCCCGAAGTGCCGCGCCAGCTGAAACTTGGCCAGGGCATCCGTCTAAGACGACCTTTGGCTTTTCAGGGATCCGCATGAAATGGATGGCGTTTCCACGAACCGATCAGCTTTAAGGCTAGCTTGGCGCCTGCGTGGACGGGGATTTTCTTGGGGGAACACAACCTTGTCAAAAGCAAGGAACAGCAGGTGCAAAGACCCCTGCACAAGCCGGTTGTTTGTTGGTTTTCTTTTTTTTTCTTTCATGGGTGAACATTCCAAGATACCTGACTTGGGGGGGAGGGGGGGGGGTGAAAAAGAAATGGTCCACGGCACTTCCCTCAGGCACGAACCTCTTCAACGACTTCAGCCGGGCGCCCCGTGAGTGGCAAGTTTCCCTTTGGTCTGCCTTTAAACAACTGAATGTCATTTATTTAACGACCCATCAATCAAGTATAAATCCCTAGTGATGGATGGAGGATTGGTTAACCATGATGTAGGATGAGTTGAATTGTTATTGCAGAGACCAACTCCGAACAGGGCATCCTCAAACAAATTGCTGCACCCACTTGTCGTTTGCCAGAAGAAGGAGCCCCCCCAAAAAAAAGTCGCTTAACGTGAACCGCCTGAAGCACCCACTTGTTTGCCAGAAGAAGGAGCTCCCACCAAAAAATGGTCGCTCAAAGTGAACCGCTTGATTGATGCCAGGCCGCCCCGAATGCCTCAGTTGGAGCACCTCCCTGGCGAAGAAAGCTCACTGTGAGCACAGAGCTGTTGTAGGCTACAAGGGACATTTTTGTGTGGCTCAAAACTCGAGACCCAGGGCTAGGCAGGTTTCAGTCTCTGTTTTCATATGGGGATTCCATTTCTTGAGCCGCAGCCAAATAGACCAAACTGTTCATGGTTGCGAAGTCCAGAAAGCGTAGCACCATTCAGAAACCCTGATTTCTGTTTCGTATCCACAAACAATGGTGTTAACCATGGTTTCTTTGGTGGTGCAGCCAGGTTCCTTAGAGGTGCCCTTTCTTACCAACTTGTCTTGGGGGAGGGTTCCCCGACTAAAATCGACGTCCAGAAAAAAGGTGGGTAGCTTAAACCCTAACCTCTCTTCTGGAGGACCTAGGCGAAATCAATTTCACAACCATCCACAGTAAGATCGCCGAAGAGTGCAGCAGCGAGTTTGATCTGTGGCGTGGGAGCTGGAGTTGCTTTCTAGCCTTATCAGGTATTCAAATCTTTAGGCCACCCGGTGATTCCATCAGTTACCATAGGGGATTTTTTCGGCAGCAACCGTTTTTGTGGGGCTTCCGAATAGGAGCATGTCTCATACCCACTTCTGAGTTGGCGTTCGTTTGGTTTCGCCGCTTTCATTTGGCGTGCGAAGGCCACTAGTCACTGCCAAACGTGGCACACTGCGAAAGGAAGATTGGCAAGGACACACCTTAGAGGACTTTTGGGTCCGCCAGTGGTGCCCTTTACCTTTTTGTGGTGAGGGTTGCCCTACTCAACTAGACTACAGAAAAAAGTTGGTACCCTTATTCCAACCTCTCTACTGGACCTAGACTTGCTGGTGCTCAGTAGGGAATGAGAAATGGAATGACCCCGAACAAAAGCCTGGAGTTTCTTTTAAAGGGAATCCCCTTCCGTGTTCATAACACGAGGTCATTTCCTACTGAGCACCAGCAAGAAAAGGGCTCCTTGGACACTTGGCAATTCCTTACACGTGTTTTGTCAGTGTTTAGGACAGTATTTTTGCGAGCATTGAACATGGCAGCCATGGCATGTATCCAGTGTATGTTGCTGAAGCGTGACGTGAGAAGTCTCACTCGGGGGCCCTGGGCCTAGCGGGAAGCTGGTGTTGACTGTGGCTGGTCCAAGTGTTCCACGGTTGGCTGGGCGGCCGGGGGATGGGGGTGGAATTCATGTGTGGGTTGAACAAGTATTGGTTTAATATTTTTAGTGATGATGGGGCATGTTCCGCAACCACTGTGACCGGCGACCACGCAATCCATATGAAAAGCCATGAGTCAAGGAGTTCATTTTGGATTTCTCCTGGACTGAAACTAAGGCTACCTCGCGGTATGTTTGCAATACTGTGGATGGACGAAATCCATTTCGGACCAGCTAAGAAACCCTGGTTTCTGATCCGATTTCCTTGCAAATACCAACAAACATGGGTTTCAGCCATTGTTTCAAAGTGGTGCGAAACGGATTTTGTCCATCCGCAGGACAGGACAGGGCCCCGTCCCCACGCGTTCGCCCGCACCGTTTGAGCGAGCGAGGCCCGCAGCAGTCCATGCTGCAGCTCATGCGCAGTCGGGGAGCTGAGGATTTGTTTGCCGAGCACGAAATGGGTGTACTATAAGGGGCAATCCTTGGTGGCTCCCAGCCATTTTTAGCTTTTTGAGGTTTAGTGATTGCTTCCATTTAAGCGACAAACAAATAAACTCTGGGTGTAGTATAACTTTGGTGCATTTTGCTTGGATGTTCGGACTCTAACTTTTTGCCAACGAATGGGTTTTTCATCAAACCACTAAAAGTTAAACTTTTAGCAGGCAAGCACAAAGCAACCGAGACAAGGGGCAATCTAATTTAGGTTGATCCCCCCAAAAAACCAGCTTTATTACTGTGGGGTGGTTTTGGCCCATCCGAAAATGGTCTGAATCCCCACTAAACCCAGGGACACCCCCCCATGAATAAACCGGGGTTGAATAATGTGGGGTCAACCTTACTCCCCTTCCTCCCACTAACATGGCATGTGTGGGAGGCCCGGAGGATCAGTTTCCTCGTTGAAGGAACCCCTTGTGATGTGCCATGTTGGTGGGAGGGAGTGTAGTAGCTTACCTCTATAGTCTGACTAAAATTGGTTGTAAAGTACTCCACAACCACATTTGAGTTGCACAGGGAGGAATCCCCCCGACAAGCGGGAACGGTTTCCCGTTGGTTTTCCTTGAGAGCACAAGCTAGCCTCAGCAAAAAGCACCACACACATACGCACGTCCAAATGCCTTCTGTACTTGGCGGGAAAGCTGCAACCTTTGCCCACCGTATTTGCAAACGACTGCTTTTTGGTTGGACCCAACAGTTAGTTTCTTCAACTTGTTTGAACATCAGTTTTCTTGCTGGCACGTTCTGAGGGAATCATCAGTTGGGACTGAACCAGTGGACCCTCTAAAGGAAGCCCTTGTACGAGAGCGGGTCAGATCGGGACCAACGAGCTTTCCCACCATTCAAACCATAGGTGTCCTTTTTAGGTTAGTTGGGTGGAAATAGATGAGTTCCACTGGTTTAGACTGATTGCATGACTCGTTTTCCAGGGCCATCCATGTCTTCAAAATTTTGCCTATTCTTGAAGCACTTTTTGCATTCTGCACAACCCTTCCCAGATGCTTCCTCCTCCTTTTCTTGCGGGAACGCCCTTCATCAACTGCCACACGGGTAAATCCGTTTGTTTCCCATGGCCGCTGGAGATTCTAGGGCCAATGTCGTGGCCTTGTGGTACCCACTCTTTACGTGCGTTTTGCCTCACAAGATCCACATTTCTGCCGGTAGAATGCAGATAACATACTTTTTTCCCCGATTTAATTGCTGCTGGTAAGTCGACGTACAGAAATGGGCGTGTCTCAAAATGAACAAAAACACCCAAACATCGTGGTTGTTCTGTTGGTTTCCATGAAGAAATACCCAAAAAGGGCTACCCTCGAAAAAAAGAAGAAAAAAAAAAAAAAAAGCGATACTCAACTAGGTCCCCCAGTGGTGCCCTTTTACTTTTTTTTTGGGGAGGGTTCCCCTACGAAAATAGACGACAGAAATCAGGGTGCCCTTATTCTAACCTCTCTGCTGGAGGACCTAGTCAAATCAACGGCAACATGCGTCCAAATCTTGTTGATTCGGGTTATAACTGCATGCAGCCATTCAGCATTCTGATTCGCCGTCGGGCGCATGGCGCCCAAAGCAGTGAAGGCGGCAAGAGTTGAAACGGCACCGCCGGCGCCGCTTACGGGGATGTTCTAGCTGGGCAAAATGTGCGGAGTACATACACCCAGTGCTTCTAGGCGCTTGCCACTATAGTGGGTAACCAGAAACCATCCATGGTAAAACCTAGAGGTACAAAATGTCGACAGGTTGCCTACTATTGGGGCTAGGGCAAAACGCCTGGAAGATTAATGCATCCTGTCTGTGAAAGCGTGGGCCTCTACAGGACTTTCAGTTTCAGTGGACGGGTCCCTCATTTTTGTCAGGGATATATGCGTCGTTGTTTTTTTTCCCCCTTTGGAAGGGGGGGGGGGGGGCGGGGAGGTTGAACAGAACCTTTGGGGCGAACCTGGACGGAGCTTCTCTTTGGCGACGGAACACCTCGCCCGCTGCCCGGACGGATTTTTGTCTCCAGTGGGGTTGGGTTGCCGAAATTAGTCTCGCAGACCCGAGATGGGGGCGAAGGCGGGGGTTGGTTTGGCGTTTTGCGGCCGGGTTGCTGGCTCAGGGGAGGGGGATTTAGGTCTCTTGGATTTCCCATTGAAACCACACCCCCCACAAAAATGACAGGCCCAAAAATGTGGACCTCTGAAAGATCAAGGAGGCAATTTAGGTATGGTCTTTGGAGGAATTCAGGGGAATAAGGGTGTGTGTTCGCTTTTGGCAAACTATGGCAATTAATTTTAATTGGGACCAACCTCACAAGCATGAGTCCCCGCCTAAGCACCCTAAGACAGGCCAGTTCTGGGATAGTAACCGATCATGGCGGGGTATCGCAACAATCAGATACTGATCCATATAACTGGCAGCAGGGCACCAGGTTCGCAACTTTAATAACTTTTTTTAGTGGTTCTCGGGGAAATCTGGGAAGGGGGGAGGGCTGCTTGTGGGGGATGGAGATCCGTGCATGAAAATCAGGCATCCTAGTGACGGGCCTTCACAACTTATTCACAACCAGGCCCTTACGCAGCGTTCCCCCTGGAAGTGTTTGTGGCCTGTGGTTTATTACGTCAGCGGTTCGGGGTAGACTCTGACGATGTTTTTGAGAATATGTCCGCATGGCTGCTATCCACTTCTGCTCCTGCCCCTTTGAGACCCCTTTTTCCTTTTTTTGTTGACACATTTCCCATTAGCACTTGTTCCTCCCCCCCCCAACAAACCAACCACGGTTCCAAGTCATTTTATGCCGGCGTCCCTGCTTTCAATGTGTTTGGAGCTTCGCTTGCTTCACCCCCCTTTTGTTCCCTTTCAAAAGAAAACCAGGTTGCAACGCCGGCGGAAACCCACAAGCAAGTGGCCTTTTCTTGTCGACCCCGAATCAATATATAATCCTGTCCTGAGCGTCCCCTCCAGCGATCCCCTATGAACAAACCAGGTGATTCCCATTAGCCTGGCTTTCTTCCCGCTTTGCAGGCTTACCAGGGTTGTGGGATCACTCGGGGTTTATCCCCCCCTTCTGTGATACAAGTTGGACTCCCCTCTTTTTGCGGGTGGTTAGTCTTTGGCAGGCCCTTTTTGTTGTATCACAGAGGTGGGTTCCATTTCCCTTCCCCAGAATTAGCTCCCCCTTGTTTCGGTTTGCGTTTTTGGGGGTTCCCTTTTTCCACTACCGGGCGACAATTTTTGGAGCCTAGAGGCTTCCCTCACCCGGCCCGCTCGCGTCTCCGCCAGGTGAGCAAAGCCTGCGGCGCGTTGAGCGGACGCGAGGGTCCCAGCGACGACTGCGGCGAGCGGCGGCACTCGCAGCCCGGGACGGCGGCGCTGCACCATGCGGCCACGGTGCCCGTGGCCGGCGCCGGCCGGAGGCGCGCCCGGAAAAACACGGGGAGCCGCGGAGGTTCTCCTTCCGTTTGCTTAAGAATATGTTTTTGTGTTTTCCCTTGTTGGTCTTAAAAGGAATTCATCACTACTGGACATGTTTTTAGTTTTTTTCCTGGGGCCTTAACCAAATTCAAGTCTCCCTTTTTGGCGCGGGTCGGTTAATTGAAAGCTCGAACAAACGAAGGGTCTTGCAAAGGAAAGCTGCAGATGTTTTCGCGGTTTTCTTCGGAATCTGTTGACGAATCCCCAACCAAGCCCAAGTAAATATGGGTTACCTTTTGGGACTCTGGGTAAGCACGACATGGAAAACTATCACTAAAACCATTGGGCTACCCACTTAGGGACCCTCTGCATTTTGGTAAGGACGACCAAAACTGCACACCGCTTTTGGGGTTCTTAAGACAAAGACACTTGTAGGACCTCGAAGGAAGCCCCGCATTCGAGTCGAGTTCTGTAGGATTTGTGGACAAACATGAGTGCTTTGAGTTGGCGCTTCCCAGCCATACAGTTCCTCAGCCGTTTACTCAGTACTCACTCCCTGAGTTGCTTTCAACTATGAAAAGAAGCCTGTTTGGTATGATTTGTTGCACTGAGTGTTTTGAGTTGGCGCTTAGCCATAGTTCTTTTCAACTTAAGAGATCAGTTCATGTCGATCTGTAGAGAAAGTGTAACTTTGCTGTCTTCTTTCTTTCCCCCTCGACTTTTTCCGAGTGAGTCAATCCGGTCTGTTTTTTCTCCAACCCCCTACAGAGGTAATCTGACCCCCTATGAACCGGGTATTGCTTAGTGGGCATGTGTGGACATCCAATTGAGGTGGCATTTGTTTTGCCCCCCAAAGTCCTCTCAAACAAACATTGAGGTGTCTTCACAAGGAGCCCACGTTGGCCCCATGCCTCGTTCTTTTCATCGTTGTTATTTCTTTTTGGCCCACCACGGGAAAAAACAGAACACACACATGCACACACATCCGCGTCTCCTTCTTCGCGCAGAATTCGTCGATGCGTCTCCGGGAGTCGGGGAGGCAAGAGTCCTTGGAGTGGCTGAACGACCTGGTGGCCACGCTTTGGCCCAAGGTGGACCTGGCCGTCCAGAAGATCGTCCAAGAGCAGGCGGGGGGGGCCTCCGGAACTCGCTCGGAACAATCGGAAATCCGGCCATGTACCGCTTACGCCCGATACCTTCATTTTGTAAGGTAGCATGTCAACCCTCTACTAAAAAAGGGAGGTATTTCCCATGGAAACCCAGGTGTTCCAAAAAATACCCTTAAACCAGTGGGTGTGTGGAGTAGGGGGTAACCACTACGGTAGTTGTTGCCGTTTTCAGGAGCTTTCTGGACCAAGGTGGGATGGTGCAAGTGATCCTGCCCGGGGTGGGATGGTGGCGTCAATCGACCGCCAGCGCTTCATTCAAACAAAATCCAGTCGCCAACCGGGATCAATCAATTTCCTGTTCAACAAGTTACAATGTACCGGTGGGTTCCCATGACGTCAAAAGGACCCATTTTGCGGGAAGTTCCAACTCCCAACAGCCGAGAAAAGAAACACTTAAATCAACTTTTTGGATGCTGGGGCTGGGATACTTGCCTTTAAAATTGGGTTGCTTGTCTTTCACGGGGGTGTCCTTCAAAGAGACTGCTGATCCCCTTTCGGTTGCCTCCATTCAATTTTCCTCGCACCACATCGCAATGGGATCCAGACAGACAGACGGCGGGTACCTGTGGATTGTTTTTGATTTGCATGGATTTTTTGTTGACTCCAACATTGATTTATATAGACTAAAAATGGATGGCTCGTCTTTTTTTAAGGTTGGACCCCAAATGGCGCAACGGCTTTCCTTTTAGCTCCCTTCAACACCACCAAACAAGGAATCCCCAAAAAAGACGACGCCCCCACATACACCAGAATCTGAGCATGCTGTTCTTTTCACCCACTTGGGTCAATTTGTCGGATCTTGCTTGGGCTCTTTGCCAAGAACCCAAGCTCCAAGCTTTCTGGCGCCAAAAGCTTGTGGCTCATGGGAAGGGGCCTTTAGCATCTGGGAGGTGAGGCTGACATGGGTTGCACTGCCCCAAAAAACGAGCGCCTGTGTTGGTGGCATAGCAGCCATACCTCCAATGGTCGAAGGTCCGTTCTTGAGAATGCCCTCCCGGCAAACAAGTTGCTGCAAACTTCTTGGACAGCCGCGCGGCTTCGCCGGCCTTCAGATTTTCCGGCGATCTCGGGGTCTCAAACTGGAATCTTGGGGCTCAAACGCAGCTCAGCTCATCGTTACCTTACCTTTTTTGACTGTGTTAGTTACCTTACCTTTTCTGACTCTGTTCGTTTTGTATCTCCTTCAACCTTATTTCGTTGTGTTGCTGTACCCTTTTTGACCTTTTTGCATTTTGGGTTTCCTTCACTTTGCGGGTATCCGTTCGGCCCAGATTTCCGGATCTCGCTGGATACGTTCATGAAGGCCAAGCAGATATTAGCTTTACATGACGAAACTTGGTGTTCAAGTACGCCATTGCCCGACAGCCCCTTGCTTTTTTTGGCCTTCAAAGCCTTTCATTTGCTTTGAGGTTTGAATGTGTGATTTGTTGTCTGGTTTTAAAGATGGACATATGCTTCATGTTTTCCAGGGGACGTATTCGCCATGGGTAATTCTGCCTTTGTTTGAGGGCACCCTGTTTCTTGCTGTTCTAAAGGAACACCAAAAAGAACACCATGCAAAACCATTTTGGGCAGGTCCCCCTCCCAAAACAAA